GGGGGGGGGGGAGACAAAGAAGGGGAGTAGGTGGATGGCGGCGGCGGCGGCGGCGAGACCTTTCAAAGATCGAGAGGCAAGACGCAAGTGAGAAGAGAGAGCACAGGGAGGATAAGATAGATAGATAGATAGATAGATAGATAGACAGAGAGATGAGATGGATGGATGGATGAATGGATGGATGGTTGGAATGGATGGAATGGTCAGGGAGTGTGACGAGGCGGAGTCGCGCGATCGACGCAGCTGGACAGTGGGCAGTGGGCACTTTAACCAGTAAACTAAACCCCTCTCCTTGTTGGTAGTGGCAGTCGCGCACCAGAAATTGGACCCGGATCGACAAGCACGGACCTGCACGGTGGACGAGCTCGGCAGCGAGCGAATCTGGATCTGGCTGGAGAGCGAGCCAGCGAGGACGGGAGGGGAGGAGAAAGGCACCGGAGAGGAGCTAGTCGGGGGATTAGTTTTGACTGGGGCGCTGGATCTGCTGGGACCACAGGTGAGCAGCTTACGCCGTAGCGACTTTTAGTCCTTTTTTTTTTCTTTTTCTTTTTCTTTTTCAGCCGGCCAAATAACAGTATGTAGGATCCAGGTCTTGCCTGGTGTACAGTATAGGTAATCGTTGAGGTTGTAGTGGCAGTAGGCAAACCGGTGGGTTGGGAGGAAAGAAGTGGTGGTGGTTGGTTCTTCTGGTTTTGGGGCTGGGGACCGACCGACAGCCCAGTTGCGGCAATTGACTTCTATCGCAGTCTGTCAGCATGGATTTGGTCCAGTATCAGTGGTCAGTTTGGTAGGTCAATACGGAAGAAGAAGAGTAATAATAATAATAAGAAAAAAAGGGAACAGTAATAACCGACAAAACACGAGGCAATGGTGGTGGCAAGCTCACCCCCGCCACGTCCTCAGCTCAGCGAGAGAGAGAGAGAGAGAGAGACAGAGAGTGAGAGGGGGGGGGGAGGGAACAGAGAAAGGGGCAAAGCCGAGAAGAGTAAGGCGCCGCTCCTTTTTCGCTCATCCTCAGGAGTGGCCGAGGAAAAGAAAGACAATCACTAATAAATGGCCAGAGGACGTGCCCTGCCCAGTGCAGAGCAAATTGCCAGTAGGAGAAACTGGGCACTGGTGGGGGCTTCTCAGCAGGCCTGAGCAGAGGAGGGAAGTGAGTGGCGCTGCAGCTAGTAGACCCAAGGAAAAGGAGCGTGGATCGGCGTGCAGAGTGTATGCACTGTACTGTATAGGTGTGGGTGTATGGTATATATATGTGTGTGTATGTGTGTGTATGTGTGTGTGGGTGTATGAGAAGAAATAAAATAATAAAATATAAGATTAACAAGGGAGAGAGACAAAATCAAAGAGAGAAAGAATATAAAACATAAAAATAGACAAACTGACACCAGACAATAGCATAGACAGATAGAATTAAGTTGAAGATTACAGGGGATCGACTTGACCAACCTAATGCCTGCGGGGATCCAAGGCTAACTTAGACTCTGACAGTGACAGGTGTGTAGAAGTAGACTTTTTGTAACTATCAGATAGTTAATCGTCGGCTGCTCTACTACTAAATAATAAATGAATCCCTTCTGGACTAAAATCGAAAAGAAAAAAAAAAAAAAAAAAAAAAAAAAAAATCGTGTCGTAATCTGCGGCCAGAATCAGTCCATGGCTCATCTCTGGCCCAGGCAGCAGGTGAAGTCAGGGGGGGCTGTGAGCGACACGGTCGGGCGGAGCCGGACTTAGAGGAGGACTGGACGACGCCCACGACTGAAGGTCTCTTGGCACTGAACCATGGAGAGAGACAGTGACTCACTGCAAACAGGAGGATCAATGATGCGGATATCTGAATGTAGAATGTAGTAACTAGTTAGTTATACTGGTACTCCGTAACTAGTTATTAACTAGCTAGTAGCTACTAGAGAGAGCCTCTATATGGAGTAGATAAGTATCTAGGTAGATACAGGATTAAAGATAATAAAATAAATAAATAATATAATATAATATTATGTATGGAGTACTCATGCTATAACTAACTACAGAATAACTAGTTACTCTGTACTGTCTGACTATCTCTGTCTACAGTATACTACAGAGTATTCTGTAACATGAACGGGAGATCCCCGGTCGATCCAGCCGCGCAGTCGGGGTAGACTAGAGAACCTTTCTATGTAAGAGAAATGTCATGTCCCGACAGAGTGGAACGTACTGTACTGGGAATGTATTGAGAATGTCATGTATCTACTTAGTAATCTGTACACAGTATGTTGCATCGCTGACCCACAGTGTTACATATACTACCTAACTACTGGGTACTTACCTAGTAGGTACCTACTTATATAGAGTATATCTATCTTAATTACTTAGTATATGGAGCAAGTATGTAGTATTATTTGTCTTATAAAGATATAGATAATACTCAGTAACTATGTAGCATACATACTAGTAGGTACACACATGTATTAATACCGTTACTACATACTAGACCCTTGCCTTCTAACTACGTCGGTAGTAGTGTCTAGTCTACCGTATCTACGGTTAGACTAGACCAGGCCATCTAACCCAAGTAGACTTAGAGGAGTACGCAAACGACGGGACTATTGGCTCTATGTGGGACTCGCCGGACTAGGCAATGGCCATGCCGATGATCGGACAGCGGAGAAGGATGTACTCCGCAGTGCTCCTAAAACTACATACAGACTAATACGTATAACACTGCCTGGTATCTACTACCTAGTAGTAATAGTAATAGTAAAAGTAATAGTAATAGTAGTGATAGTAATAATAGTAGTAGTGTTGTAGTGTAGTAGTTATCCTATTAAAATGCCCTAAGCTAATCGAGTCTATTTAATAGGTATCAGTCTTACCGAGCTATAGGCTACCAAGTGCATGGTACAGTCTGCAGCCCAACAATCAAAGCGGGGAGCCACGGGTTCTGCACCCGTGACTGAATACGAGAACTGGAGTCGGAGTGGCCGTACTACATGTGTAGGACTAGAGAGTACCTACCTAGTAAGTACTGGTACCGGTAGTTAGTGTTGGTATGGAGTAATTAGTTAACTACCTCCCTAGTAGTACCTAGTAACTACCGTACTAACTAGTGAACCAGTAACTAAGTACCTAGGTACCTAGTAGTATTGCTAAGGATATTTAGCGAGAAGCTAATAGGCTAATTCTGCTGTAGCTACCTACCTAAACTACTAGGTAGCTACCTACCTAAACTACTAGGTAGTTAGATACCTAACTACCTAGGCTAGGTATGGTAATAACCAACTACTAACTAGCTCTAGCTAGGTGTAACTAGTCTATTCTGTAGTAGGATTACTCCGTAAGAACTGCTAAAACTCACCTAGTCATCTGACAAGAGAATGCATATTATTGCATACTACTCCGTACATACTCATCCGATGTCCGTGCTTTTTCCGATCCGAGTCAGGATTCGGATGGTGATCGGTCCATGCACGAGTCCTATCTGTATCTGTTGGTTGTCATCAGTAAGACATACTGAGAAACTGAGACACTAGCCATATGCGCTAGAGTATTAATCCACCTGGTACACTACCACTACTACTACTACTACTAAGCATGGCTCTCTACCGTGACTGTGGCTAGATTGGCATGGAACGCAATAAGTGGTTGGTTACTATGTATTTAGTACATACCTTAGGTAGTACCTAGGTAGGTACTCCATACCTACTACCTAGGTACTATGGAGGTAGTTACCAAGTACAGGTACAAGTAGTGGACATACTCTAGAAATAAAGTATTAAATATAACCTAATTAGCGGTTATTGTTGTTATCTGCAAAGTGTATCAGTAATATACTCCATATTAGAGTATCATTATTAAGTTCTAACTAATAAGGTACCTAGTAGTAACCATGAGCATCTTACTAACTAGCAGTCTCCGAATTCCAGGGTATATTAAACTTCGACTAGGCCGGCTAGCAGAGGAGGGGAGTATACTTTGGCGATGCCATCTTTATTTCAACTTCATCTTCAATAGAGTATGTAGTATATATCGGTAGTATCACCAATTACTTAGGTAGTCTTGATAGTCTTATCTATAGCCAGTAAGCCATTAACTAAATCAATTAACTACCTCCCAGTAGCTATTTAGTGGTTCAGTCCTTGATTAAGGTATATATATATATATAACAGCGTAGCTATTCTATGCCTAGTAGGTCAAGCTATAGTTAGAATATACTACATACAATTACACATTACCTTTTTGTGATCAAGGATATGAATAATCTCCTAAATACTCCACACACCGCTGATTCCCATCCCAACTGCCAGCTGGCACTGCTGTCACGGCCCATGCATTCGATTCAGCCATGTGATGGATTACCCTGTGTAATCTGAACCGTAAATAGGCTGTTTCTCATTAGATTAATGATTCCCTAGCCTACAACAGATAAATGAGCGATAAACGCAGGTTAGTAACTACCTAAAGTACTCCATACTCCATACTTCAGTTAACGAAAGATAACGAAAGAGAGAAGACAGGAGAAGACTTCGGCTGACTAATGAATCTCGCTTAGAGTAGTCTGGAATTCTCAGCCAATCAGGTACCAAGTACCCAGGCCGTAGTCTCCATACCTCCTAGGGAAGGAGACACTCCTGCTACCTGCCATATTGGCCCATTGGGATTCCTAAGCCAAAACTCTTGGATTTGTAATCACCATGACTCGAGTTCAATAGAAGGCGATGACTTCAGCTTGAATATTCCCTCAAAGTCTCCGAGCAATCGCTGAGACACACTAATATTTAAGATCCTGTACAGAGTAACCAGTCACGACTCCCTACCTCCTATCCATTGTCAATCAGAATGTTTATAAAGCATGGAATTAAGCCAGTTATCTCCGGCAGAAGCTCTGCAGCCAACCACTGCCGCCCGTGAAGAGTCATTCAGCGTCATGGAAAATCCCCAGCAGCTCCACCAGCTCCAGAGGTTTGAGAGCTCTCATCCTCGATTTCTGACAAATCCACATTTTTTTTTTTTTGCGTCTGGGATAATAATAATAATAACGCCCATAGATAACAATGTTGACGACCCTTTATATTCCCTGTCGTCCTGTGGGCTGTGAGAAGGATAGGCATCGTCTCCTCCAGACGTAGTCTGTTGGTTTCCTGGCATTGAAAAAAAAAAAAAAAGTAACAAACTCCTCATATTTAATTGAATGGGTAACCTAATCTAATATTACCTACTAGATCGCTGTTCTTTCTTTTTTTCCTATTTCTGAAAATCAAGAACAGATTCCAACACATTTCTCCGCAATGGCGGAAGACGAATACCGTCCCGAGGTAGTCTGCGACGACGAACCTCCCATTGACGCCAATGCCAATGCCGACGCCGATACCGACTCGAGCTCACTCGCCTCTTTGAGCCCCAGTGACGATGGTCGCTGGGGAGAACGAGATGCCGGCGACCACGTGTCGCAGCGCGCGGCGATGGAGGACTTTGAGGAGATGCGCCGCGAGTTGACCCGGGCAAGCCTTCAGCGGACGCGTTCCACCACCGCGCGAGAGGGTCGCCGGTTACAACTATCGCGCCCGGCCGTCCAGGCCAAGGACGGCCAGCGCGTGGTTGATGAGGAGGCCGCGACCGGCCACGACTACCCGGGCGAGCCCTTTGACCTCGGCGGCTTCCTGCTGGGTGGTCACCTCGAGCGCCGCACGACGGCCGGCGAGCCGGCGAAAAAAGTCGGCGTCACCTTCAAGAACCTCACCGTCAAGGGTGTCGTAACGGGGGCCTCCTTTGTGCGTACCTTGCCGGACGCCGTCATAGGTACCTTTGGCCCCGATCTGTACCATCTGGTCTGCCGCTTCCTGCCCTCCCTGCGTTTCGGCCGGCAGCCGCCCGTGCGAGACTTGATCCACGACTTCAGCGGCATCGTCCGTGAGGGTGAGATGATGCTCGTGCTCGGCCGCCCTGGGGCTGGCTGTAGTACGTTTCTCAAGGCCATCGCCAACGACCGCCTCACCTTTGCCGCCGTCGAGGGCACCGTCAGCTACGGCGGCATCCCCGCCGAGGAGCAGCACAAGCACTTCCGCGGCGAGGTCAACTACAACCCGGAGGATGACCAGCATTTCCCCTCCCTCACCGTGTGGCAGACCTTGAAGTTCTCGCTCATGAACAAGACTCGCAAGACTGACCGCGCGAGCATCCCCATCGTCATTGACGCCCTGCTGAAGATGTTCGGCATCACCCACACCAGGAACACGCTCGTCGGCAACGAGTACATCCGTGGCGTCTCCGGCGGCGAGCGCAAGCGTGTCAGCATAGCCGAGACTCTGGCTACCAAGTCGACCGTTGTCTGCTGGGATAACTCAACCCGTGGCCTCGACGCCAGCACCGCCCTCGACTACGCCAAGTCTCTCCGCATCATGACCGATGTCAGCAAGCGCACCACCTTTGTCACCCTCTACCAGGCTGGCGAGAGCATCTACGAGCTGATGGACAAGGTCATGGTCATCGACTCCGGCCGCATGCTCTACCAGGGCCGCGCCGATGAGGCCCGTCAGTACTTCATCGATCTCGGCTTCTTCTGTCCCGACCAATCGACCACCGCCGACTTTCTCACCTCCATCTGCGACCCAAATGCCCGCCAGTTCCAGGCCGGCCGCGAGGCGTCGACCCCGAAGACCCCCGAGGAGCTGGAGGCGGCATTCCGCCAGAGTGACGCGTACCGCCGGCGCATTTGGGACGATGTCTGCAGCTATGAGAAGCAGCTCCAGGATACCGATCAGGCTGACACCCGGCGCTTCCAGCAGACCGTGGCTCGGTCCAAGAGCAAGACGGTCTCGAGAAAATCCAGCTACACCGTCTCCCTGGTCCGCCAGGTCGCTGCCTGCATCCAGCGCGAGTTCTGGCTGCTGTGGGGGGACAAAACCTCGCTGTACACCAAGTACTTCATCATCATCTCCAACGCGCTGATCGTCTCCTCCCTCTTCCACGGCGAGTCCCTGGACACCAGTGGCGCCTTCTCGCGTGGCGGTGTGCTTTTCTTCTCCATCCTCTTTCTCGGCTGGCTGCAGCTGACCGAGCTGATGCCCGCCGTCTCCGGCCGCACCATCATCGACCGCCACAAAACTTACGCCTTTTACCGGCCGTCCGCCGTCGCCATCGCCCGTGTCGTCGTCGATTTCCCCGCCATCCTGGCCATGGTCGTCCCCTTTTCGATCATCGTCTACTTCATGGCGGGGCTTGACATGACTCCCTCCAAGTTCTTCATCTACTTTCTCTTCGTCTACACCAATACCTTCTGCATCACCTCTCTGTATCGCATGTTCGCAGCCCTGTCCCCGACCATCGATGATGCCGTCCGCTTCAGTGGTATCGCGCTCAACCTGCTCATCCTTTACGTCGGCTACGTCATCCCCAAGCAGACCCTCATCGACAGCTCCATCTGGTTCGGCTGGCTCTTCTACGTCAACCCCATTTCGTATTCATACGAGGCCGTCCTTTCCAATGAGTTTTCAGGCCGTCTCATGGACTGCGCTCCCTCCATGCTCGTGCCGCGAGGGCCCGGCGCCCAGGTCGGTTACCAGAGCTGTTCCTTGACCGGCTCGCAGCTCGGGAACACGTCCGTCTCGGGGACTAGTTACCTCGAATCCACTTTTCAATTGTAAGTCACTGCTGCTGTTATAGATTATATATATATATATAGAGAGAGAGAGAGAGAGAGAGGTGTAGGCTAACAGTACAGCACACGGCATCATTTGTGGCGGGATTTTGGTGTGGTCATCGCTTTCACGGTCTTGTACATTTCGGTGACCATCATCGCGACCGAATTCCTCTCCTTTGTTGGCGGAGGCGGCGGCGGGGCCTTGGTTTTCAAGAAGACGAAGCGCTCGAAGCACATGGCAGCGACTCCAACCAAGAGTGACGATGAAGAGAAAGCGCCTAATGCGGGAAACGAGGCCGTTCTGGCAAGGGGCGAGCTCCAGACTACTGGAGAGGAGACCTTCACCCGATTGTCTTCCAGCGAGCGGATCTTCACTTGGTCTAATGTCGAGTACACCGTGCCCTACGGCAACGGAACACGAAAGCTCCTGAATGGGGTGAACGGGTATGCCAAGCCTGGTGTCATGATCGCGCTGATGGGCGCGTCCGGGGCGGGCAAGACGACGCTGCTCAACACCCTAGCGCAGCGGCAGAAGATGGGCGTGGTGTCGGGCGACATGCTGGTCGACGGGCATCCATTGGGCCCGGATTTCCAGCGGGGCACGGGTTTCTGCGAGCAGATGGACCTTCACGACAACACGGCGACCATCCGTGAGGCGCTGGAGTTCTCGGCCATCCTGCGGCAGGAACGCGAGACCTCGCGCGAGGAGAAGATTGCCTACGTGGACCGGATCATCGATCTGCTGGAGCTGGACGAGATCCAGGACGTCATCATCAGCTCGCTGAACGTCGAACAGAAGAAGCGGGTGACCATCGGCGTCGAGCTGGCGGCCAAACCCAGCCTGCTGCTATTCCTGGACGAGCCTACCAGCGGGCTGGACAGCCAAGCCGCCTTGTCCATCGTGCGGTTCCTCAAGAAGCTGTCGCAGGCCGGCCAGGCGATCGTCTGCACCATCCATCAGCCGTCGTCGATGCTAATCCAGCAGTTTGACATGATCCTCGCCCTCAACCCTGGCGGCAACACCTTCTATTTCGGCCCCGTCGGGCACGAGGGGGCCGCCGTCACCAAGTACTTTGCCGACCGAGGCTTTGTCTGCCCGCCGTCGAGAAACGTGGCCGAGTTCATCCTCGAGACAGCCGCCAAGGCGACCCAGAAGGACGGCCGCAAGATGGACTGGAACGAGGAGTGGCGCAATTCGGCGGAGAACAGTGCCCTGCTCGCCGAGATCCAGCACATCCGCGACCAACGCAGTCGCGTCCCCTTGCCCGAGACCGGCAAGCAACATGAGTTCGCCGCCCCGACTTACCTGCAGACCACCATGCTCACCAAACGTCTCTTCCTTAATTACTGGCGCGATCCGTCATACTACTACGGCAAGCTGTTCATCAGCGTCATCATCGGCATATTTAATGGATTTGTAAGTCCCTTCCTCCCAAAAAAGCAAACCGCGCGTTACTGCCGTCATCTGTTCCTTTTTGCTTACTGGGTATTAGACATTCTGGAAACTAGGCACAACCGTGTATAGCATGGAAGATCGGATGTTCTCTATATTCCTGATTATCTTGATCCCGCCGATCGTGATGAACAGCATCGTACCCAAGTTCTACATCAACCGGGCGCTGTGGGAGGCACGCGAGTACCCATCCCGTATCTACGGCTGGGTCGCCTTCTGCACGGCCAACGTGGTATGCGAGATCCCCGCGGCGATCGTGACGGGCCTCATCTACTGGCTGCTCTGGTACTACCCCGTGGGGCTTCCCACGGACTCCAGCACAGCAGGCTACGTCTTCCTCATGTCGATGCTGTTCTTCCTGTTTCAGGCCAGTTGGGGCCAGTGGATCTGCGCCTTTGCCCCCTCCTTCACCGTCATCTCCAACGTGCTGCCCTTTTTCTTCGTCATGGTTAACCTGTTCAACGGCATTGTGCGCCCTTACGCCGAGTACCCCGTGTTCTGGAAGTACTGGATGTACTACGTCAACCCGGTGACGTACTGGCTTCGCGGCGTGCTGGCCGCTGTCTTCCCCTCGGTGCAGATCACCTGCGCCTCGGCGGAGACGACCCATTTCGACCCTCCGCCGGGAAGCACCTGCGAGTCCTACGCCGGCTACTTTGTCTCCCATGTCGCGGGGACTGGGTACCTGGTCAACCCGGCCGCCACTGCGGACTGCCAGTACTGCGACTACAGCAATGGGCGCGAGTACATGCACACGCTGAACGTGCATGACGACGACAAGTGGAGGTGTTTCGGCATCTTCCTTGCCTTTGTGATCATCAACTGGCTGCTGGTGTATTTCTTCATTTATACCGTCCGCGTCCGACGATGGTCGTTCGGCATGGGATATCTTTTTGGGGGGGTAGGCACCCTCAAGAGTATGAATAAGGTGATCAAGAAGAATTAGTTCGTTCTGCATAAAAATAGATAGATAGATAGATAGATCTAAATAATACGGTTCTACCCACCTAGTTAATCTATGCTACTATGCTACCGCTGAAACCAAGGCCGAATCCCTCCCTCGAATCTTCTTCCAGGAATAACCATCGGCACGGGCACCGTCCCCTCAAACACTCCCACCAGATCATCTGCAGGCGTATCGATCGTTTGAGTATCTCGGGCAGGGGTTTCCTTTCCAACAGGCACAAGAACCCCACACTCCCAATTCCGACAGTTGAGTTTCGGTTGTTTCGTGCTTCGGTCCGAGACGAGGCGGCCCCTAAGTAAGCTTTTTAAATACGCTTGGACTTGTCAGAGTACGAGAGGGTCGGTCTTACCATGCACTTTCCGAGATGTTGGCACTCCCAATATACGCCCATGCATTTACAGGCCCGTGCTTTGTAGTGACGGCTTCGTCGAGCCGAGCAAAGAGAATCTAAATCGTTCAGCATGACTCTCTTCTAAGAATAGGGGGAGAGATTTATATATATATACCTTATTATGCATGAGTACCATCGGGCGTCGACTGATACAATCTCGTAGGACGTGGCGCGGGAACTTGGCCCCCTCGTACCAATGTGCCTGGAAGCAGATCGTGCCGGCGCTGGGATCCCCGCCCTTGGAGGCCTGGACTGTCTCGTGCGAGGGGTAGAAGATGCGGAAGCGGTGCGTCCATTCCGTGTCTTCTGTCTTTGGTTTGAGCTCGGTGAAGTCGGAGCCTGAGTCGTCAGCTACCTCATCCTCATTTATACTAAATAGTTTCATTTGTAGATTCGGACAAACCCTGTGCGGCGCGGTAGATGGATCGCAAGAATTGGTCTGTCAAGGAGCCGATGGAAGATGCCTGTATGGGGGTTTTTTTTTTTAATCATTAGAAGAAAAGTTACGGTTAGACGGCTACGGTTAGGTTAAATGATTGTCTGGCTTACCACGAAATCAATGTTCAAAGGTTGGCTCGTCTGCAGTCCGAGGGACCTCACTGCCCGGCCGAGGCCGCAGTATCCCGTTCGTCGCCATGAGTCGCCCGTATGGGTTCCGCCGCTGAGGGGATTAGACCAGGAGGTGAAAAGAAGAGAAAACGGAGGGGTGGGTTTACATTGTATGAACAAAGCCAAGATTCTGTGTTTCGCCAAAGTCAAACCCTTCGAGTTTGGCGATGATGTTGGCGTTGAGCGTAGTCGCTTGGAGAAAGTAGACCAGGTCGTCGTAGAAAGGCGTCTTGGGCGAAGCTGGCTCGCCGCTTCGTTTCGGTAGATCAATCAAGAACACCATCTGCCTTGTTAGCAAGCTTTACTTTACAATCAGATACAACGGAAACACACATTCTCCATAACCCCGCGGTTCTCCCCCCAGTCGAATGGCACCAGGTTTGCACTTGGGACTACTAATCGAACATAGTCTGGATGGAAGAGGATCATGAGTTTCGAGTGCATGCAGTTAACCTGGCCGTCCATAGGCGGGAAACAAAGTCTGATGTTCCTCATTTCGGCTGTTTCTGCTAGATATTGTTGTCTCTTATTTTTCTTGTATTAGCAGAAATGTCATACACTCCAAGGGGTGACATCAAACTCACTGTAGCTTCTTCTTTGGCTTGCATCATCAGGATGAACCGAGTCCGGCTGGTGTCCAGCTTCGAAAAAACCCAGTCCATATCCCAGATGAAGGAGCTGAGGACGGCGAGCTCGAGGTCGGATCTTTGGAAAACCTCCTCGATCGTAATATCATCTCCAATCCTCGGGCACCCATTCGCCCATGTCTTTTTCACCACGCCTTGGGGGAACACAATCCCCGGCGTCCTCGGCGGCTGGCTGCCTGGCAGCGGAGTGGCTTGCTTACCACCTGGCACTGGCCGGACTGATACGTCGTCCTCTTTCTGAGTGGTTTCTGATTTCTGAAGCTTTGAACGTCCAACAGATGGCGGAGAGATGCTCCGTTCAGCCTTCCTCTTCGCAACACGCGCGAGACGTTCTTGTTCCATCTGTTTTCGATCGAGAACTAGAAGCCCCAAGGGAGTAGGCCCTTTCTCCAGCCCAGCCGAAGGGGCGGAATCAACCTGACGGATCTCTGGATCGCCATGCTGCTTGATTTCTTCTTGCTCTTCCCCTTCGCCATCAGCATCCTGCAAAGACAACTCGATTGCCCTCTTCAGATCATCGTCATCTCCATCCGTCTCTGAACCAATATTAGATTTGGACATGGGAACAAGCCCAGCCGGCTTGCCGTCATCGTCTTCACTTTCAGTATCAGTATCAGCGGTTAAATCAACGACGTCTTGCTGGCTCGTGTCGGTCGTCCTCCCTGGCGACTGTAGATCCCTGAGCGAGGCTACAATAGCTGCTCTGATATCAGCGTCATCAAAATCACCGGCATCCATGGTAGCCTGATCCATGGAGAATCAGCGCGACGCGTTGCCCGGCTGAGCAGCGGTCGCAGCGTTGTTTACTTTGATATAGACAGAGTATATATCAACACCACAGTGCACCATAGACATGAATAGAGTGGGGCTTCAAGAAGAAAAAAGCCGTTTCAAGGAAAAAATCAGATTATTTGAAATACGAGATAGAATGGTTGTAGAGTGTGAACGATTGTCATCCTGTCTGTCACCAAGATCTAGGACAGATACCACGTGATTTGTTTATGCCTGAGGCCCTGAGGTGTCGGTAACAGATCATTTATTGATGGGCTTATTTGGTTACAATAGTTTTCAGAATCGTATTCTTAAGATCACAGTCGAGACTCGTAACTATATGCATCAAGATTCCTGTTCTAGAGGGTTGGCTGTTCCATATGCAGCTGTCCTGGGCTTATCAACTCCATACGACTGGGCGTGTTCTTCAGTGAGGATATCCGACAATATCCATCAATGAAGAAGGAAAAGGTAGTGTGAAATGCCATGCTAGAAGAGGCAAGGGCAGCAGTATGTCTGCCCCAGGTCATTTCAGTCTCGAGACTGATCCTGATATATAGCAAGCAGCTGCACCAGGCCAAGGGCTTCCATTCAATCAACTCTATTTCAGCTTAGGTAGGGGATTCCAACTACCCGAAGCGGTTGGCTGAATGGATGTCGGTGGTGTGGGAAGTTCAGTCCTGCCAATCTGGCGCTGGATTGTTTCCTCGATGGGGATTTCCGACGAATGGAAGTCTAAAAACCCGCCTGTTTCGATTAGAGCGAATTGCGTGATAAATAAGAAACCAAGATTGATCACACGTTGGTGGCTGTATTCTCGCCATCGCTCTTTTGAGCTGGTTTTTCCTTCCCGGTATTCAAAGGAGGTTGCTGATCCGTTGAGGGAAAGCTAAGATGCTTCCAGTCCTCAATCTCCTCGATGATACACTTCAGTCGATCCCGGACACTTTCCACCGCGTAGGTTCCCAGAATGAGCCGGAGAGGCGGATAGGAGCAATGGCCGAGCTGCCAGACAAGTTCTGCCGCCTTGACCGCGCTGGCCGGCTGCTTGTCGCCGAGCCACATCAGCATCCGGCGCGCATGTGCTGCCGGCGAGGTTGGCGTATTGTACGGCTCGCTGGGCGGCTTGACGAGGAAATGGCCGTACAGAGGCAACGGCGACGAGAGGTTGTGCGCGCTCGGGATCGTCGCGGAGGGGGACACCAGGTCCCCGATGTCGTCGCGACGCATGTGGCCCGGCTCGACAAGGGTCCCCTTGATGTTGAAGCTGTCCACTTCGTAAAGCATGCTCTCCATCAGACCCTCCACGGCGTATTTGGACGCGCAGTAGGGTCCCAATCCGGGCACGCCCAGCGCGCCCGACGTAGAGCTGAAGATCAGATACCTACCGGTGCCCCGCGCCCGATAGTGCGGCAGCGACAGCTGGATCATGTTCAGGGTGCCCATGAAATTCGTCTCGAACTGGTTGCGGATGTCATACTCGTCCTGGTCCTCACAAGCCCCGATGACCCCGTATCCGGCGCAGTTGGCGATGATGTCGATGCGACCGAACCGCTGAATCGTCAGGTCGATGGCTGCCTTGACCGTCTCACGCACCCGTACATCACACAACAGGCCGATGCAATTATCGTGCTCGCTCTCCAGTTCCTTCATCGACTCATAGCTGTTCTCAAACGTGCGACCGACGGCGGCAACAAGATCGTTGTGGGACAAGGCGGTCTTGACGAGCGATCGGCCCATGTGGCCTGTAGCCCCGAATATCTAGACAGGGCAGAAGACAATCCATATTAGCTTGTATATCCGCCAGGATGTTGGTGAGAGAATTTATCCTCGTGCAAACGTACCAGCCATACCAGCGGCTTGGGCGGGTTCTGAGGGCCTGGAGGGTCGGTCGTGGAGGGAAGACTCAGTTTTTGTCCTCTTAAAAACGCCGAGGGGGAAAGAGGATTGGCCGCTCGAGGCGAGGAGTTTGGTAAATCCATGGACGGCGACCACTCCATGGGTTTTTTACTGAGACCGAAACGGTGGGTGAGAAGTCTGGCTTCTTTGTTGGAGAAAATCGGGGTTCAAATGAGGGGGCTGAGGCGGAGGCATTATGTTGATAGCACTGTCTAGGAATCTACAAATAAAAATAGAGCAACAACCCGGCTCACTTTTTTAGAATGGTGTCATCCTAGCAAGCGTAATTAATAGGATTGTAATTTGGCTTTTTCAAGAATTGGGTTCATTGAGTATACAAAAAAAACTAGAGCTAAGTATCGAGGTTATGATCTTCGTACAGTGTGCCCGAGACCTGCGTCAACTCTCATCAACGTCCAACTTCCCTCCGTAGCCGTCCAGCAGCCGACGAAGGAGCAGGCTCTGGCCAGCTGCCCACGGCATCCTCTACTTCTTCCAAGAACGTCGTACTGTTCTGGATGGAGGTGCCACCCAGCACCACGCGGACGCCGGGGGAGCTGGCGTTGACCTGGGCGACCATTTTCGCTTCTTCATAGGTGGCACCGCCAACCATGAAGATGATGATGTCTTGTGGCTTGTCTCTAGTATGGCCACCACCCTCCAGGAACGGATACTGGAGCTCCTTCAAACGGCCTTTGATCAAGTTCTGTAGGGTGACCTCTAGGCGCGGTGAGTGTTGTGTATAGACGTTTTCGACACCCTTCAGTCCTTTGAAACGGTCTCGAGCACCGGAGAAGAAGGATGTCGACTCGAATAGATCTGTAAAGCCCCCTGCTACAGGTGGAGCCTGGAGAGAATGATGATAGGCAAGCAACTTGGAGACGATGTTGACTCGGTGAGAGGGAACATTACCCGCGGTGACTAGGAGATCTAGTAGGACCGGGAGAGCGTTCGACGGCTGTTTCTCATATCGAATAGCGTAGAGAGCCACCAAGCGAAGCTTATTCTCCGCTGGTACGGACGGGAGCTGAATGATTCTCTGCAGAGTCTGACAGATTCATTGTAAGCAAATTGTATGATGCGTGTGCTTTTTTCACATAAAAAGGGGGTTCAGCATACTTTGAGGTCGTTCGCATGGTTATCATTACAAGCCAAGCTCTGCTCCAGCTCGCTCGCATCCAACAAGTTCTCCTCGCCAACTCTCCGGCTGAGCTCACCTACCAAGGTGACATGCTTGCTCACGTTCCCCGAGAGTTTGCGAAACTCGGGATAGTCTTCGACGAACCGCTTCATGTCTGAAATCGACTCGATATTCATGTTATTTTTGGTCTTGACCTGATACTGTTCCACGTATTCCTTGATGTTCTGACCCAGGTCGCCAAAGTTCTGGTACATGTTCTTCTTGAAGAACGGGTCTTGATCTTGTGAGAGTACGATTTCTCGAAGCTCTGGTCGAATGTCGGGTACATCGCTGAGATCGACTCTCCCGTTGTTGATGCCGATCAATTCGTGGACCATGGCTTGATAAGTCCATTGGGTGAGCAACGGGGTTATGGGGTCATCCCGCCGATCAAGAATCAAGAGGATTGGCGGCGTGTCTGTCTTGCGGAAGTTGAAGAGCTGTTCCTCCTGCGTCAACTGGTATCGGACCTCTGTCGCAAGTTTCTTGGTCATCAGACTGTTCTTCTCGTATCGGATCAGCGGGTTCTTCTTCAAAGACAGAAGCATCGCGATCACCCCCTCCGTTGCTCTCTGTAGCGCGTCTGCGTTCCAAAGGTCCGGCGAGTGGCTCCAAAGACGCTGCTTGGGGAAGCCCAGGCCCAGCGAGCCCAGATCCGGGTTGACGACAATGAAATCCGCAAAATGTTCCTGCACCGCCCGTACAACCTCATGGTCATCGGCCTCCGCCAAACGCTCCAGAGACGACTTGCGAATTATATTGCTAAAGTAAATGTAATACTCGCCGTACTTGGGTTCGCGGAGCTCGTCGATCAGGAACTGTACCGAGTCGGGCGACGGGCGGACAAAGCATAGGCAGCGCAGATGGCGCATCTTCTCCCGCGCGTTATTATCCAGTCGATCGATGAGGTACACTTCATGATTCAGAAGGGCCGATTGGGTAATGGCAGTCGATACGATGGGCACCTGGCGACCGCAGGTTAGTCTCGCTGCACAGACGTCAAGTACCAGAGCGCATTTCCCACTGTCTCACTATCAAGAAGCAAGATCTTCATCTTGGTAGATGAAGAGCCTGATGCAGGTGTGTCTCCAGCCGTCACGATCCGAGAGATGTAGCTGGAGACCGCAGCGACGACGTCCATATTGGCACGCGTTTGCAAGCCCACAGGGGCGCGGGGAAAAGAGGTGTATAGTTTTGGAGCTCGCTCTCGCTCGAAACTGGGAATCCGCGAAGACAGGGGCTCAGAGAATGGTCCGACAACAAGAACAAGGTCTCCGATACCGATCGCAAGGGTAATTAATCCTGGCCACAGCTCGTGGAGGTGGGTGGCGCCGATCAGCGGCTGTTGGGTCAAGAGGAAATAGACAAGTTGGTGCCTCCCGCCGTGATGGTTGGTTTGGCCGCTCCACTGCGGTATGATGGCATCGCTTCTTTTTGCTCTTTTTCTCCCTCCTCTCCACTTCACTCTGTGACGAGAAAACTGATAAGAGGCTGGGAGGTCTCCATGTCTCTATATACTATAGCCTAGTCATTGTTTACTCTTCAACTGGGCTGTATTGTTTATTGTTGGAAGTTACACCATGTTGCCCTATATTAATGCTGGTTTGTCTATCCCCAACAAAAAATATTGGTCGCTTGTTCTCAACATCTGATGGTTTCTTTACAATCTTATAGTATTTGAGTATCCTTCAGCGCTGATAGGAGCTTCGGTTGACGATGGTAAGTTATTTCTATAGTCTCTCTCCCTCTCTCTGAAGTGCCACGGATTCTGATATACAAATCCCTCGTGCAGTCAAGCTCATCGCGTCCTTTCTCATCTCCTATCCTTTGGCAGCGATCTTGAAGCGGATTCCGGACTCTCAGCCGTGGAAGAAGAATGTGTTTATTATCCTCATCGCACTGTTCTATCTAATAGGTCTGTTCGACCTGTGGGATGGACTGCGCACGCTGCTCTATAGTTCAGTCGGCGCCTATGCCATTGCATACTACGTGGACGGGTCGTTGATGCCATGGATCGCTTTTATTTTCCTGATGGGCCACATGTCTATCAGCCATATCTACCGGCAGATTCTCAATGATCCCCAGACGGTAGACATCACTAGTGCGCAGATGGTTCTGATCATGAAGCTCTCCGCGTTCTGCTGGAATGTCCATGACGGCCGTCTGCCACAGGAGCAGCTCTCCGATGCACAGAAGTATGCGGCGATTACCGAGTTTCCCAGTCTGTTAGACTATACAGGCTATGTCTGTTTCTTCCCGGCTCTCCTGATCGGTCCTGCCTTTGACTTTGTCGACTACAAGCGCTGGATTGACACGACTTTGTTTGACGTGCCTCCCGGGACAGATCCTTCCAAGGTTCCTCCAACCAGAAAGAAGCGCAAGATTCCTCGAAGTGGAACTCCCGCGACGAAGAAGATGCTCGCTGGACTGGGCTGGATCTTCCTATTTGTCCAGCTCTCATCGTACTACTACCCAGCCGATCTTCTCGAGGATAGTTACATGGAGTACTCGCTCCCTCGCAGAGTTTTTATCATGCATATGATCGGGTTCACCGCAAGATTCAAGTACTACGGCGTGTGGTCCTTGACAGAAGGGGCCTGCATCCTTTCGGGCATGGGATACAATGGCTTCGATGCCACGACTGGCAAAGTATTCTGGGACCGTCTCGAGAACATTGATCCATGGTCCCTCGAACGCGCTCAGAACTCGTACGGCTACCTGGGGAGCTGGAACAAAAACACGAATCACTGGTTGCGCAACTACGTGTACTTGAGAGTCACCCCCAAGGGTAAAAAGCCTGGTTTCCGAGCAAGCATGGCGACCTTCGTGACGAGCGCGTTCTGGCACGGCTTCTACCCAGGCTACTACCTGTCTTTTGTTCTTGGTTCCTTTGTGCAAACAGTTGCCAAGAGTAAGTGGTCATATCCATTGACTTTTTTTCGTGTACAAAGTTTGGCTCTTTTTTTTTTCTTTTGCTAATCAACCTCAAAGACTTCCGTCGCTACATCCGGCCCTTCTTTCTCACTCCCGATGGCAGTAAACCGACGCCCTACAAGCCTTACTATGATGTGTTGAGCTGGTTCGCGACACAACTCACCATGTCCTTCGTGGTGATCCCCTTCATTATCCTTGGTTTCGGAGACTCGATCAAGGTCTGGTCTCGAGTCTACTTCTACGGCGCTGTCCTTCTTGCGACCTCGCTCGCTTTCTTCGCCAGCCCCGGTAAAGCCCTCCTAGTCAAGAAACTCAAGGCACGCAATAGGCCCTACGTCACCCGCACCGTCAGTCAGGAAGCCGTGCGTCCTCCCACGCTGGGCCTGTCCAGTGATCTCGGCCGGGACATCGAAGAGGCCGTCCAGGAGATCAAGACAGAAATCGAGACCCGGAGAAGACGCGGCAGCGTGGTCACCATGCCGACAGGCGACGAGCTCCGCCGCGTGATAGAGTCCAAGCTCGGTCGGAAGCTACCATAAGACATGGACCATCCATCTCTGAGTGGATGCTGATCGATTGTGCGGCTTTGAGAACTCCTTTTCCTCTGTGAAATGCAGACAGAGCGTTGTGGTGAAGCGATGTCGACGAATCCCTTTCTTTTCAGCGTTCTATGCGATTCCCGGTGTTGACTTGGCTGAATCAAGTGAATGCAGGAATTGAATAGTAGAATAGAATAATGATTGTCCATTCAAGTATAATTGATCATCTTTTCAAAGTGTAGAATTAGTCTAGTCTATAACTAAGGAATGTAATCCTACATGTTAACCAAGTAATATCAAATCTAGGCTCGCTGAAAAGAAGAAACGAGATAAATCCAAAAGGACATATATCTCAAGTCTAAATGCAATGTAAATAGCTGCAGGGCTCATAAAGAGGCATGTATATAGATACATGAGTTGACTGAACAGGAGCAATAAACACCCCCGTATCAAGACCCGGGGGGGGGGGGGGGGATAAGAATCAGTCATAAGACAGGGAGGTAGAAGAAGTAGTAGTAACCAAGAATATAAAATCCAGATATGGCATCGCAAGATGCCACTCTGGTGCAGGCGGCAGCCCAGGGAAACAAAAAGGGGATGGCGAGAATTGAATCAAGAAGGGTAAAGTAGATAAAATTCCAGACATGGCATCGTAAGATGCCACTCTGGTGCAGGCAACAGCCTGCGGGAAACGAAGGGGATGGCGAGAATAAATCAAACCGAAGCGCCAGACAGGAATTAACCTTTTCGGGGTGGAAAAAAAATGTACATTATGTGCATAAAGTCGTATCGTGACAATCATCTCAGAAAAGAAAGACGTAAAATAATATCAAAGTCAGCCATGAAGGTGAAGACATAGCAGTAGTGTCCGGACCAGGGAGATTGGGGAGTTGAGGCTGAAGGAGGCGAGAAGAATAAGGGAGGGAAAGGTCTGTCGAAGCTGGTCTAGGCCAAGGCTATATGACAGGCTTTTACAGACCTGACCTTGTGCCTACGACGGCGAGTGTAATCTGAGAATAAAGGTTAGTATGATGAGAAACGTATAGAGATAAGGAAGGGAAAAGTTCTCACAATAATGATAATAATGGCTACCCCAAGAGGAGTCATCCATCGGTTAAGATTCCTCCACCATCGAGCATTGGCGTAGCGCTTCTCGTCGATATCAAATACACGCATTCGAAGAGCCGTCTCAATCTCTGGACTGCTCAAACTATCCTCTATTGACTTGGCACGGTGAGGAAGAGGGAGGAATGCGGCAATGAGCCAGGCTAAAGGCAAGTTAGTACCACATTCATTACAGGGAATGCCAACTCTTTGGGACCGTGGAAACCTACCAAGAGGAAAGATGAAGCCAAAGCAGAACGAGTACACCTGAACGTTGCGACGGCCAAACATGGGCTCTGTCCGAGAGTCCAGTGAGGGAGCACCCCAGAGACTACCCCGATATTGCGCTTGTTGTCGATCGGGATAGAGATGCGGCGACCAGCTCTGTTGTAATTGGCTATAGGAAGTATCAGGACGGTAGTCCGTCTCGGCGTCAGGGTCAGGAACCCAGTGACTTCGGGGATCCCGGGGATCGCTGACAACCCTAGGTTGCATTCGTGCCTTACTCAGAGCCGTCGGAATGTGTCCGAGGATACTGGAGTTTGCGGTGGAGGGTCGTGCAGTTGACGGGCGGCCATCGATCATCGCTAGGGTCGGGTTCGCGGGGCGGCCATCGCTGCGGTAATAGTATTTCGCCCAGGCGGGAATAACATTGAAAATGAAGCTCGAGCTGGTTCCGGGACGTCTAATGCTGGGAGCAGTGCTTCGCCTCGACCCGGAAGAAAGACTAGTTGGCAGGCCCGGATTTTTTTCACTCAGGACATCGGACCGAAGGCCGGAAAGGCTGTCGAGATGCTCGTCATCGGTAACGAGCCAGACGGAGGAGGAGGTGTTTTGACTGAGCAGAGCCGCACTCGGCCTGGACGGAACGGAGAGTCTACTCTCGGAGCGATCGACTGCGGGGGATACTGAACGCGATTCAGCTTCGGCCGACCACTGCGATGGTACGGTGGACAGGTGAGGGTTCCAGCGGCCTGACGATTCATCAGGAACATATTCAACCGGTGATGACGATTCGACATTAGATGTATCGACCCAGGAACTGGACGAGGATGGAGCCCGGATGATCGGATACTGGACGGGCACGCCGCTGTCGATGATGGTTTGCATATCTGAGGTCGACAGATCTCCCTGTGAGGAGTCCGTGGCGGAGCGCGTGCGGCTGGTCTCCCGGGAATTCAGCGCAAAGGCTGCATTTGGATGCACCGGTAATGGTCGCGTGTGGGGAGGTGTTGACCGAAAGGATTGTGAACGCGAGCTCGATTGTTCCGATGAGGCGCTGCGGGCCCACTGGGCGGCACCTGGATGTCTTACTACAGTCCCTAAAGAGTTCATGGACGAGAGAGAGTTGGAGCGGGTGGTCGAGCTTGGATTCGACGATGAGTTGCCAATGCGGACAAAGTTCAAACTTGAGCTGTCAAGGGCCACGAAATTGGGGCTGGACGGGGGCCCGATGGTCACCACATTGGGACTGCCATTGCTGGATGCACGCGTTGCCGGACCTGCGGTTTCGTCGGAACTCAAATCGGGCGATCCTGGTTCGGACACAACTGCCTTGATTGTTGGGGTCACTGTCGGCAGCGGAGGCATCCCATCGTCCGAGAACGCAGCATCCGAGACTTCCTCAGACTCCTCTCTGTCGAATGGCTTCTCCAGCACCTCGGTATCCGGGAATGTTGAGCGGCTAGATGAGGGATCCTCCTCCCACACCTGGGAAGGGGTGTTTACCGCATCGACGGTTGAAGAATCCCATGTATCATTGAAGGAGCGTTCGATGAGACTGTCGTCTACGAGCTGACTGGTTTCCGAGAAGGTGACCGTGGAAACGTCGTATGAGTCCGCAACGCCGTAGCTAGATGAGTCGGTCACGAATTCCTGACCCTTTCCGGGGCGCGGCAGTAGAATGTGTTCAGGTTTTGTGGGAAACGGCGTGGCCGAGTAGATATCCAGGCCCCTCGGTTCGTTTACAAGGCGGAGCGATTGGGCGGGTGACGCTGCCGAGGCCATGTTCGATTGCGACGGTGTTCGCTCGTGGAGTGCCCTCCGCGGCGGCGAGGGCGATGTGCGTTGTGAAGAAGACATTATGTTTTTGTAGGCCAGTATTATTGCATTATTCGAAAGGTACAGAGTCAATAGACGGTGAGCTGATGGCGAGATACGCCGTTGCAGCAGACACGCGAAGTCGTAGAAAATCCCTTAATTAAGATATATTAATAGTTCGGATGGAATGATTGCCAGATCGAAAAGAGTGACTTGAAACAATTCAACAGGTTGGTAGAGAGCGACTAGGTTTATTCTGCTGGGTGTATAGTATATAGTGAACGACGGTCGATATTCGGTTGGACCAGAAGGATCGATCAGATGGATGGGTGGGCAAAAAAGAGCGTCAGACGTAAGAACTCGTCAAAAGTTGATGTAGCTGCCAGCAGGAGGCATTAGAGAATGAGCGTCAAACCCCGAAAGCAAACAATGTTTCTAAAAGAACGACAGAACGACGAACGACTGGAGATGAAACAAGCAGCGCGCGACTCCCACGAAAGAAGGGGGGGCCGTGGAATTTTGTTGCCCAGCGGCGGTGAGAAAGGCTAGCAGTCGCCAGGCATGCAGGCCAGCCAAAAATAAACGACCATCAGAAGAGAGAATAATAAGGAATCAAGGCGGCTTCCCCAGGGGTATGCACCTAGACCACTAAAGCACGACCTGAAACCGCACGATTGGCAGAAAGGGTCTACTGCAATTTCGACGATGGGTCTTGGAGTCTCGACTGCTGCCGCCTACTCCGGAGTATGTTCGAGTCAAGTAATAATTATCCCGCCCATCGGACCCCATATATACGTAACACTGCGAATTTCCCACGAGCGATCATCGTCTCGATCGTGATCGTCAAGACCAGGAGCACATGGTGAGCACCGAGTTCCTCAGGCATAGCATCGTGCCATCTAGCCATCGTGCAATGTGCATCACCCCTCCTTAGTCTGGTTGGCTCTTCATAACAAAGACCTGCAGTGTCGCCCACAGAGAGAAAACCATCCTCGGTTCGTATGACTGGCCAGCCTCGAGTCTCTTTGGAGGGAGTGCAGGTGGTGGGCGCCTGTCGCGGTCGTAGCGGCGGATTCGTCGGCGCCTTAGAGTGGCTTAGATCTCGATCGTCATTGGAAATGCATCAAGCGAAGGGGACAAGCCCCCCGTACCTATCCTTTTAGAGCACGGTTAGCAGATTGGGAATTGGCCGGCGCCGAGTCTGGTGGAGCAGGGGAGAGATGATGTGTAAGAGAACCAGTGGCCCATCCGCCCTTCCGACCCGTTCCAGCTGCAGGCAGCGTGAGCCCACGCGAAATCCTGGCTTCGAGGGCCGATTGGTGGTGATGACTATTGTTCTTCATCCTATTTCTTTGGTTTTCTTATTGTTCTCTGTTAATATTGTTCTGTAAGAAGATATTAGCTGCTCTGGCAGTGAAAAGAGACTGACCAGCCAGGGCTACACTCCTGCTGGTCTTTTGTGTGCCTGGAAACTCTTCTTTATTTATTTATCCAGCTGGCTTCTGCGGAGCAAAACAGCCTCACTTGGCTCGGCTCAACCAACGACAGCAGAACCCAGGAGAAGGAACGAGACGACGCCTAGAATAATTTCTCGGCTTCGGTAGAAGCGGAAACTCGTGCCTCATTTCTTCTGAAACGAACAGCTGGCTCCACCAGAGCTCTGGAGCTTGAGCTTTTTCGGTGATCGACCACCGGCGTTCCCCTTTCCCAGGCCCAATCATCAAAGCAATTTGTCAACGACGAGTCTCCAAGGGTGGACTTTTAGACTTGTCGTCTCTTGAGAGCACTTGAATTTAGGGACAAGGCTACCGGTTGTCGTCATGGCTCCGATCGGCTTCATAGCTAGTCTCAGCAACAGTCTGTACCCCAAACAGCAAGGTATGTTTGGCGAGGCCGTCAGAAGCGAGATCCTCTGCGATGCTGAAACTATTACTAGTGGTGCCTGTCATTTCGGAACAAAGTGCTGCTCTTCTTTCAGTATGCTTGCCTAGAGATAGATGAGGATTCGGGGGAGGGGGCTGTGTGCCCGCCCCCCTTTCTGGATGATATACAATGTGTGAACTGTGATCTGATTCTAATCGTCTTGTCTCTAGATTGCCCTGACTGTGTTCTATGTGGCCCCCTTCTATCTGTCTCCCTCAACGCGGCCGTCTCCCACTCTAAGCAGAGATGCCCCCTCCGTCATCCGAGCGAGGGTCCGCATGGTGACACTCTCATGTGTCATCAGCATGCTCTTTGTCTCGTGGCTGATCGTCAAGGGAAACAACACGTCTCTCTCAGAAGCTTTAAAGCTTCTCGGCGTGTGGCCCATTGGGATTTTCGATATCGCGCAAAGCTTCCTCTTAACAGCGGTCTTGTTCACAGGACCACTCTTCGAGAGAGGAATAGCAGAGGGGGAGTGGAGAGAATGGATCCGAGGCGGCAGGATCTCGGAATCGCTATCTGGCTGGATAGGATGGCGGAACTACGTTGCGGTGAGTCAAAACTGATAGCCCGCTGACTCGCGTCCCTCACTAAGATCAACTCTAGGGCCCTGTCACTGAAGAAGCGATCTTCCGCGCGGCGATCATTCCGTTGCATCTATTGGCCCAAGTCAGTCCTGGCCGTATTGTCTTCATCGCGCCCCTTTACTTTGGAATCGCGCACGTGCATCATTTTTATGAGTTCCGCCTGACACACGCGGATACTTCTGTGCTTGCCTCTCTTCTGCGGTCCATCTTCCAGTTTGGCTATACCACCGTCTTTGGTTGGTATGCCACCTTCCTCTACCTCCGCACAGGCTCCCTTTGGGCAGTCATCCTCGTCCATAGCTTCTGCAATTGGTGCGGCCTCCCTCGACTCTGGGGACGAGTCGAGGCAGGTTATCTCACCTATCCTCCTGTTGTCCGCGGAAAAAAGGATACAGACATCAATCCTGGACACACGGCTCCTGGAAAACTCGGTCTCGTCTGGACAGTCGCTTATTATACACTACTTGTTGCCGGTGCTATTGGATTCTACCACCAATTATGGCCGTTAACCGAGTCGATTCATGCGTTGGCTTCATTTACCTCTCATGCGGCTTGATGGGCCCCTCGAACCATCCTGGACCTTGGTTCCATCGCTCTTGCGACAAAAAGAAAGCATATTTTCCGGTTATAAAATACGCGATTCCTCTCATATCAAATAATGAAGATGTTGGCAATGATATACTGACGCCTTTTTTTTCGCCTGTGAATTACTTTACTTTACTCAGTCCTGGAGTTTCCGAGTGCTTTTGGCTTTTTATGTTGATAGTTAATAGTGGCCGTGGTCCTTGAGACTTCTACCAACCCAACAAGATACAAAATAGAACTGTACAATGCCTTCAATAGCTCATCCGCTCATTATTGTAAATTCATATTCAAATGCTCAGAAGTTTATTGATACAGGTACTATCTATCTACTCAGGAGCGTAAGCTATCAGCTTATCTCCGATCGGTGTCTCCAGATTTCGGGATTTCAACATGAATTCCCGAGCGACTCATTTTCTTTGCATTTCCAATTATTTTTTTCGCTTTCCAATTTGTGTACATTTCTTTTCTTTTCTACACCACCTTCTCTTATTCGCGTGTTATCTGTTTTCTTTCCCCTTTGACTGACGACCCTCGTTTTCTTCAAACGCATCCCTCTTTCCGGCCTCATGGTGCTGCGCCCAATACGTCTCCCGGTGCCATCTCCTAGCAGATACTGCAAGAAAGGATACCAACTATCGCCAGGACGTTTGTTTTCGATCACATCATGTCAATTGCGAACCCGCCTCGAGGTCCCCCCTCCCTTTCCGGTCACTAAGACCTGTCCCGAACCGAGCTGCACATGTCCGCCCACTCCAGCATTACCGGAGGGGTTGCCGATTGATCATGACCAGCCGTTGAACGGAACAATGGCAGCCTACACGCAGCAAATCCTTGTATGCACGGGGCAAAAGGACTGGACCAGTCGCATTGAAAATGACGGGGAGAACCAGGGTTGGGGCGAACTCGTTAGGGGTCTAAAGCGTTTAATGGGACGCGGAGGGAAATACGCTGATGTATGGTCATTGTTTTCTTGGTAGGATAGGTCATTGCTAACGTTTGTGCAGCCATATAACAATGTCCTCGTCACCAATTCCTCCTTTCCCAGCGCTGAAAATGCCTCGTCTTCTTCGCCCGTTGCGTCGGCCTTTCTTTTCCCCAGCTTCAAATATATCCGAAACATCCCAGTTAACCTTCAGTCGCCGGAGGAGCAGAAGGGATTGGATCTTTCTACGTTTGTGCGCGCATATCTCCTCCCAGAGCAAATCCATGCGATGAACTCGTCGCTTCCTCCCTCCCGACAAGCGGAGTTGACTCGCTCCCCGGAACTCCAGTTGGACTTTCCGGAAATCATTGATATCAAGCACTCGCCAACAATCCTGATCTGCAGTCACGGAGGCCGTGACATGCGCTGCGGGGTGATGGCGCCAGCTTTAGAAACCGAATTCAGACGTGTCCTTGATATGCGCGGCTTCTCCTCCGACAGCACAAAGCCCAGCGTTATCGATGGCCCTCGCCACGCAAATATCGGTCTCATCAGCCATATCGGCGGACACAAGTACGCGGGGAACGTGATCATTTATATTCCTCCCGGGATGACCGTCTCCGATAGTACCATGCACCCGCTGGCGGGCAAAGGCATCTGGTACGGTCGTATTGAACCAAAACATGTCGACGGCCTTGTCCAAGAAACAATCCTCGGAGGAAAGGTCGTGGCGGACCATTTCCGAGGCGGGATTTCTAGCAATGGAGAAATCCTGAGGTTATAGATGCCTTGCATGTAAATTATCTCCTGGGCCATCAGTATTTAATTAGATATCCTCAATATAGACAAATAATGGGTTCTGAAGGATAATAATAGCGGAGTAATTGAATTGTTCTGGTAACTGTATGGCGATAGCGCTAATCCTGATCGAGCTTAGAGATATCTTCAAAACGAAGTAGGTAATAATTATCGGAAAGCTTCAGCGCCGTCAACAACACCAGCTGTGCCGCACAACATCCCTCAATGACTTCAATCTGCTTCGATTCATGAGACTGTATAATGATCGATCGTTGAAATCATGTATTCTTTATCGCGGCTACGTCTCCATTCGTCCCTCCTCTCGCGAAGGGGCCGTTCCCTTCAGGACGCTTGTGTACGGCCCAATCGCCTCGGCGCAGCAGCTTCTTCCCATGCGTTTGTCCGACTGACGGCGACTACATCCCGGGCGCGGAGACTAGATTTTCTCTCTATAGACAAGAAATGGCAGGAAAGATGGCAGTCTGACTCGGCGGGGACGGCAGCAGCAGCGGACGATACGAAACCCAAGTCCTACGTTCTCTCGATGTTTCCCTACCCGTCCGGAACTCTTCACATGGGCCACTTACGTGTATACACCATCTCCGACATGCTGGCACGATTTTACAGGATGCGTGGGCACGACGTGATCCATCCAATGGGCTGGGATGCGTTTGGATTGCCGGCGGAAAACGCAGCGATTGAGCGCGGCATCAATCCGGCAGATTGGACACAGAGCAACATTGCAAAGATGAAGGAGCAGTTACGGACTATATCTGTTTCGTTTGACTGGGATCGGGTGCGTCATTTGTACCTATGCTTCCAACCAATAGAGAAATCGGGCTAATTACGATGCTTTTTTTAAGGAATTGTCGACGTGCTCGCCCGAGTTCTATGAACATACTCAGCGGATATTCTTGATGATGTACGAAAAGGGCCTGGCCTACCAGGCTGAGGCGATGGTCAACTTCGACCCTGTGGACAAGACGGTGCTGGCGAATGAGCAGGTCGACGCCAATGGTTGCTCATGGCGCTCAGGTGCCAAGGTCGAGCGACTGAAGTTGAAGCAGTGGTTTTTCCGTATTACGGCATTCAAGGAGAAACTCTTGGAGGACTTGGGATCTCTCGAGGGAGGGTGGCCAGAACGGGTTTTGTCGATGCAGAGGAACTGGCTAGGCAAGTCCTTTGGCGCGAAAATCAAGTTTCCGGTGCTTGTGGATGGCCAGGGAGACCCCAACGTGGAAATCGATGTGTTCACCACCCGGCCTGATACTCTACATGGGGTCGAGTATGTCGCCCTCTCCTTGGACCATCCGATCGTGCTGAAGGCTGCGGAAAAGGATGAAGCGTTGCGCAAGTTCCTGGGCGAAGCTTCATCTTTACCTCCTGACTCCAAGGCCGGCTACAAGTTGTCGGCCGTGAGAGTTTCCAATCCATTACATACTATTGATAAAGAGAACCCACACGTTTCCCGCCAACTTCCTGTATTTGTTGCGCCTTATGTTATGAGCGATTACGGAGAGGGAGCCGTCATGGGTGTTCCTGGTCACGACGCTAGGGATCTGGCATTCTTCAAAGAGAACGTCAATCCCCCCTCAATTCCTTTGGTTATCCAACCGGAGTTGATTTCTGATTCCGTGGAGGCGACTGACAACATCGTGGCAGACGACAACGCTCAGGCTGTTACCCAAGAAGGTATCCTGAACGCAAGATGCGGAAAATATCAAGGCCTGCAGTCGCAAGAGGCGGCTAAGCAGATTGTCGCCGATCTGAAACAAGTTGGTCGGGGCGATTTTGTCGAGAAATGGAGGCTACGAGACTGGCTGATCAGTCGACAGCGGTATTGGGGCGCTCCAATCCCCATCATTCACTGTGCCGAGTGCGGTCCTGTACCCGTTCCTAAAGACCAGCTTCCTGTCCAGCTACCGAAGATCCAGGGTAGCTGGCTCAAAGGCAAGAAGGGCAATCCGCTAGAAGCCTCTGAAGAATGGTTGAACACCGAGTGCCCGAGTTGTAAGGGCCCCGCAAAACGAGATACTGATACTATGGACACCTTTGTGGATTCCTCATGGTACTATCTGAGATTCCTTGATGCTCACAACCGGGAAGCTCCATTTTCCCTCTCCTCTGCACGGCCCGTCGATATCTACATCGGCGGAGTGGAGCATGCCATCCTCCACCTTCTGTATGCTCGATTCATCTACAAATTCCTCGCGAGCTCCGAACTTTTCCCTGAGACCGGCCGGTCCGATTTGCCGGCTGAGCCTTTCAACAGACTGCTAAGCCAGGGCATGGTCCACGGAAGGACATACTCAGATCCGTCCACCGGCCGGTTCCTGCTGCCATCAGAGCTTGATCTTAGTAGCCCGGACAAGCCGCTCATCACTGGAACACAGGTTACTCCCAATGTCACCTTTGAGAAGATGTCGAAAAGCAAGTACAACGGCGTGGATCCGGCTGCCAGCGCATTGAAATATGGCGCCGATGCCATCCGTGCCCACGTTTTGTTTGCCGCACCGGTCAGCGAAGTTCTCGAGTGGGACGAGAGCAAGATCGTCGGTGTTCAGCGCTGGTTCAGCCGACTGTGGAAGCTGGTCGTGGACAGCAAGGAAAAGCTGGAGTCTGCGTCGTTCGCTCCATCATCACTGGAAATCTCACCTCCCGCTTCTGTCGCGAATCTTTCTAACGATGACGCTACTGCTCTCTTGTCTACCCACAAAACCATCCAGTCCGTGACTCACTGCATCGAAAACAACACGTACAGCTTGAACACGGTGGTTTCCGATTTGATCAAGTTGACAAACCTCCTTTCCTCTTCTCCTCCCGCCTCCTCCACAATCCTCTACCAGTCATTATCTTCCCTACTCCGACTTGTGGCCCCGATAGCCCCGGCTCTATCTTCGGAGTGCTGGGAGATTCTCCATTACACCGATTCAAAGAACGGTTCCTCGGTCGACAGCTGCTCGGTCTCTTCAGTCCTGGCAGCTCCCTGGCCATCCCTACCCCTCACTCCCGAACAGGCAGACAGTATCGCCGCTCGGAGCGGGCAAGTCGTGGCTGTGCAGATCAACGGCAGGCTGCGTTTCACTGTGACTGTTCCGCAGATCCCCTCCACAGAGACAGACGAGAAGGAGTATCTCCTCGGGCATATTCTGGACAGCGACGAAGGGCAAATGTGGTTGCGGGAACGGAACGACTGGGACAAGAGACGGCGCGTAATCGTCGTCAAGGGCGGGAAGCTGGTCAACATTGTGTTCTGAGCTTGCTCCTTGTCTTTATTCTGTACTATAAGCACCCCTTCAACTGATCAAAGTGTAAGATAGATGGATGTATATAAAATTCTACTCATCGAGATTTTATTTTTATGGCACTGGGTCAATATTATAACAGTAGTAGAAACATACTTGGGAATGCTCCAAATGCTGAACGTGCACCGCATTCTGACAGGAATCAGAATATGAGCATTTTTCTTCGCAATCTCATAAGACGGTCGTGTTGGTTTGTAGGAGCAGTAGTCCAACTGTTTCAATTCTTTGCGGAAACGGTAGAGCGAGCTTAGACTGCCATATAGTCTGATCGAGCAGATCTGTACCTAGTAACGGTATGCTCTCCACCCAATGGGTTCTGATTTCTTCATGCCAGCCAATTCTCTCAGTCAATTGACCCGTGCTACTCGATCTGACTTGGTTTCGAAATGATGTCCTCCGTCTGTACTCCTCACGCTCGCTTTCCCCCCCCCTTCGGTTGGACTTCGGATCAGATCGGCAAAAGGTACGGCGATTCCTCGGGGTACGGGATAGAGAACCCATTTTTTGTGGATAGCGAAATGGTATTTGAGGCATTTTGACAGGGAGATCTCCAATTTATGAATCTCCACATGCGCGGTAAAAGAGCCTGGAAGGAGAAGAGCAAAGATGCCCCTCACGACGGCTTAGTCATCTGCTCTCCCCTCACGGAAGTGGGGTGGCATACCTGAGGAGTAACATACCTTAGGTACCTAACTGGCCTTTTTTATCTTGCTTGTGAGGATGAAGCTATCTCTAGTGCTATAATTAAGTGAATCTAGAAGTAATTTTCCACCCACAAGTCTCAAAAGCAGAGGTATAGGGACCTATATTGTTTCTAGAGGAGGGCAGTGTAAATTGGAGAAATCCTCCCCGCACGGTGCTTTGGCCCGCTCTCACGCCTACTCCATAAAGCAGAGAAAGCTGGCATGGAGTCGTCGTTGGTTAATGTGACGCTGTCCCTCGTGCGGAGATGCCTCTCCGTGTCCACTACCATCCTCATCCTCATCTGCAGCTCATCTGTAACACGTCGAGTGGAAAGGTGGGGCTGTCTCTCAAGGTTCAAACCGCGCTCATCGAGCTTCTCAGGCAAATCGGAGGCATCCGCCTATCCCGGTCTCTGAGGGGAAGTTCTGTTCAGCCTCTCGCAATATGCCGTTGTCAAACGAGGGGTTTGGAGGGTGGGAGAGAAGGCGAGAGAAGGTTGCGAGTGTCGTATATATTGAGGCTACAATCCGGCTTGGATGCGATTCTTCCTCCATCTGCACTGCTCTTTGATTCTTACGCTTCCCTCGTCCATCTCTACAGTCTAGAGCTTCCATCGCCGCATTCAGTAAGTGCCTTCTACCCGTGCTCCTGCTTTTCCAAGACCCTCGTCAAACCTTGTCTATACCTGTCTATATGTATATATACTGTCCGGAAGTCCCGTTACTGACCATCTACTGGCAGACCATATACTAAATCAGAACCGTGGTTCTATCTTTCTTCCTCATTCAAAATGGTATTTATCCGATCACCTCTTGTTCGCCAGCTTCAGCGTCCTGCGTCGTCAATCCTGTCCGCCGCAGGGTTTCTTAAACCGTCTCCGCGGACGAAGCCTTTTCTTGGTTCCCGTACACTGACAGCTTCTGCTAAACGACAGGGCAAAGTTCTTATGGTCCTTTATGATGTAAGTCTATTGTCATTCTCTCTACACACGTACCAGCTTGCTCACCATATCTCTTAACAGGGCGGTGAGCACGCCAAACAGCAGCCTGGTCTTCTGGGCACCACCGAGAATGAGCTGGGCTTGAGGAAATGGATCGAAGAGCAGGGCCACACTCTGGTCACCACCTCCGACAAGGAAGGCGAAAACTCCACGTTTGACAAGGAGCTGGTCGATGCCGAGGTCATCATCACCACCCCGTAAGTTTCGTTCTGGATATAATCATGGTTGTCCTCAGTCAAACTTATCAAATGGCAACAGGTTCCACCCTGGATACCTCACTGCCGAGCGTCTGGCCAAGGCGAAGAACCTCAAGCTTGCTGTCACCGCTGGTGTTGGTTCTGACCACGTCGATTTGAACGCTGCCAACAAGACCAATGGCGGTGTCACCGTTGTCGAGGTCACTGGCTGCAACGTCGTCTCCGTCGCTGAGCACGTTGTCATGACCATCCTTCTCCTGGTCCGCAACTTCGTCCCCGCCCACGAGCAGATCCGCAATGGAGAGTGGGATGTTGCTGCCGTCGCAAAGAACGAGTTCGACCTCGAGGGCAAGGTCGTCGGCACCGTTGCCGTTGGTCGTATCGGCGAGCGTGTCCTGCGCCGCCTAAAGCCCTTCGACTGCAAGGAGCTCCTTTACTACGACTACCAGCCTCTTAGCCCCGAGACCGAGAAAGAGATTGGCTGCCGTCGTGTCGAGTCTCTTGAGGAGATGCTTGCTCAGTGTGACGTCGTGACCATCAACTGCCCTCTGCACGAGAATACCCGTGGTCTCTTCAACAAGGAGTTGATTTCCAAGATGAAGAAGGGTAAAATTTGCCCTCTCTATTTTTTTTTCTCTTGACTTGATTCAAAAAAGAAAAAAAACTAACCTGCATAGGTTCTTGGCTCGTCAACACCGCCCGTGGTGCCATCGTCGTCAAGGAGGATGTCGCTGAGGCTGTCAAGAGCGGTCACCTCCGTGGCTACGGTGGTGACGTGTGGTTCCCTCAGCCTGCCCCCAAGGATCACCCCCTGCGTTACGTTCAGGGCCCATGGGGAGGTGGCAACGCCATGGTTCCTCACATGTCCGGTACCTCCATCGATGCTCAAATCCGCTACGCCCAGGGTACCAAGAACATCTTGGACAGCTATTTCTCCGGCCGTGAGGACTATCGCGCGCAGGACCTTATCGTTCACAAGGGTGACTATGTCACCAAGGCCTATGGCCAGCGGTCCAAGGCTTAGACGTCTTGCCTGTGTGAGATGAAAAATGATGACTTCTTTTTTCTTTCTTTTCTTATTTTATCTACTGCCAATTTTCCGGGTAAAAATTTGGCCAATTTTTATGTATTTAGCATTCATATTTGCATAATACCCAGATCTAAAAAAAAGAATCTTTCCAGTAAGATACATAAAGGAGAGGGGGGAGAATACAAACCACTCGATTGTATACTCAAAAAAGCCCCCAGGTGACGAGACGTTAGAAAAAGGTATAAAAATGCAAACCCATCCAAACGCCACTCCGCATGCAAAACCAGGAGGGGAAAGAATGGAAGAAGAAAAAAAGAATATTATTCACATCAATGGAGAGAAACGAGGCAGTCAGCGACGGATCTCCGGATTGTGGCCAATCTCCGGTTCATCGTCGCTGTCATCCATGAAACCCTCCTCCAGGTCTCGACTCAGCCGGCTCTCAGTCTCGGCAGCCGTACTACGCCGTCTCTCCAGGGCCTCCCTCCTTGCGCGGTCCATATCCATACCCACCATGATCTCGCCTTCTTCGTCATAGATGCTAATATTATCCGTTCGGTCGATATCCAGATGCGACTGAGACTGCCACGACGATGGTAGGAAAAACCGCATTACCCTATCGCTGATGCGGTCGCGAAGAGACCTGGAGTGCGCCGAGATAGCGTCTAATGGCAGATACTGCGCATATCGCTGATGGTAGCGCCGGAAGAATGGGATGATCAGGAAGGAGAAGAGAAGGTATATCGATAAGGAGATGAAGGCCGGTACGAGGATGGTCTGGGAAGAATATCAGTTGAGATCATATTACTGTGGTTTGCAATAGAAAATAGCTAAAAAGGAGAAGAAAAAAAAAGAGAGAGATGACCTTCGCAAAGCTCGGAGAAGGCCCCATGGTCTATTTCATGAACACGGAATGTTCTCCGTAGTAACTATCAGGCAGGAGCCTAGAAATATGTAGTCGACGGCTCAGACAATTTATCGACGCATTTGTAGCCAATTACTAGATATTAACCATGAAACCTTCGAGCATGCTTCTAGAGAGCTGGGCTTAGCTCACTGCCTAGAGGCATATCTCGTCCGATCCACGGAGTAGCGAGTAATACTATCGCTTGCGTCTCCTTTACGCTTAGTTTCCTATGGCAGATCACGTGTCGAACGTGGGGCCTATCGGGATCACGTGCTGGATTCCCCTAGAGGCTAGCGCGTTCTAGAGCTGCTGTTCGTCCCTGCGCGAAGCCCCCTAATGCCGTGCTGGATCCAGTGGGAGAGAACACAAGGGAATTCCACTCCTATCACCCCTCCCGAATTTGGCAAGCCGGGAAAGAGGAAAAAAAAAAAGAGGGAAAAGCCTTCGAGCGTGCCGTCTTTGAGGAAGCTACAGACACTTGCTTCGGTCTGTTCAGTATCCTCGGTGTGCTCGTAGTGTTCGTTGTTCGTGCCCTCCCGTCCGGATCAACAAAAGGACGGACGACTTTCCTTGGCCCCCTCTACAGGTAGGTACCTACCTTCCTACCGGTACAGTGCCACCACCGCTCCGCAGCGGGTACCTACGCCTCTACGTACGCGTTGCTTTTCAGGAGTGAAGTTGCAAGAGAGCAGAGTGTGCTCATTCGGTTACCTTTTCGTTTGCGACCACCCTGCTATCGAACGACGCTCATGTTGTGCCCCGTCTCTACCGAGCGACGCCCGTCAAGATGCCTACCAGTTCGTCCTTATCCGACAAACCGAGACAATCCTCGAACAGCAAATCGTTCTTCGGGAGGAAGCTGCACAAGGAGAGACCGGGGGAAGAAAGACATTATGAGGGAAGCAGCGGGTACGAGTCGCTAGTGCCGCCGGCCAGCTCGACTGCAGGTTCTCGTTCGTCTCGACATTCCAAACGGTCGTCGATGCACTCGATGGAGGCCCCTTATGAGTCTGACTCAAGCGGCTTGGCGATGACGGCCGGGGTGATCACCTCCATTCCCTTTGATAGTCTTCCCGCGGAGACCAAGACCCCAGTCACAGTCGACTATCTGTCCAGGGCGGGGGAGGTGTCGCCGCGGAAGGAACCCTCGCCAAACCACATCGCAAAGAGCGGAGGAGACTTTCATCAATATCCAGCGTGGAACCCCACTACGAGTCCACCTAACGGGCTTTCCTCTCATCCCACTGGGCCCCGTCCGCCGCCGCATGCCTCCAACAACGTTGGAAGTGCGTCGTCCTTGTCCAGCGACAAGGGACATCGATACCAGCAGTGGGCTCGACCGGGAAGCTCGGCAGCGAACACTGGGTTTAGCCACAATTCAGCGTCAACCGTCGACTCCTCTTCGAATTCTCGGCTGTCGTTCGACCAACAGAGCATCTACTCGACTCTTTCCTCCAACACGCGGGGTTCTAGTTATTTCTCCTCCGACGGGTCTTCTCGTACACTGACAACATCCACTTCGGCGGACCGTGCAACCTTCTTTCCCAACGCACGCATGTCGATCGTCCAGTCTTCCTTACAAGCCATCCAGCCCGCGGCATCCTCCCTGGCGTCGTCTGGCATCTCTCCCGAACAATATCTTACCCGTCCGAAAGACGACCATATTGTCGACGAGCTTTTCCTTGAGCTGATGCAGAAACGAGGATGGCAAAATCTTCCCGAACAGGCCAAGAGGCAAATGCTTGCATATCCCGCTTCGAAGAAGTGGACTCTGGTTCATCAGGATCGGTTGACTGAGCTGCAAGGCGAACAGAAGAGGCGCCAAAATGCTCGACAGACTCATGGAAATGATGGCCATTCAGGGATTCTGGAACGTGCCGATGAGGAGGGCAGTCCGGAATGGTATGTGCGGAAAGTCATGGATGATACAATCACTTCCAAGCAACTCGCCAGCTTGAGTGTCAGTCTACGGACTCAGCCAATTAGGTACGTTAAGAGAGAGAAAAAAGAACTATTTATCCCGGTCCCATCATCAGCTTTTGACAACCATACAGCTGGGTGAAAGCTTTCGTCGAAGCACAAGGCCAAGTGGCTTTGACAAATGTGCTTTTGAAAATCAATCGCAGAAAGGTGTCTGGGCCGGTGCCTGCTCCGTCTGTCGACAAGGACCTCGACCGTGAATATGATATCGTGAAGTGTCTAAAGGCGCTCATGAACAACAAGTACGGAGCCGACGATGCCCTCTCACACCACCAGGTCATTATAGCCCTCGTGAGCTCTCTGCTCTCACCACGGCTGCACACGCGAAAGCTTGTCAGCGAGGTCTTGACCTTCTTGTGCCACTGGGCAGAAGGTCAAGGTCATCAAAAGGTTCTACAGGCCATGGATCATGTCAAGAATCACCATGGCGAGACGGGACGCTTCGATGCATGGATGCGTATTGTCGAAGTGACAATAGACGGCCGTGGGAAAATGGGAAGCTTGGTAGGAGCAAGCGAAGAATACCGCAGCGGAGGCATCGGCATGGAGAACCTTTTGATGGAATATGCCGTTTCTACCATGCTACTCATCAATATGCTCATCGACGCCCCCGAAAATGACTTGCAGCTGCGATGTCATATCCGAGCCCAATTCATCTCATGTGGCATCAAACGCCTTTTGGCGAAGATGGAAGGCTTTCAGTATGAGGTCATCGACAAGCAAATTGAACGGTTCAAAGAAAACGAGGCCATCGACTATGAGGATCTCCTGCAGCGAGAAGGCAGCAGCGTTAAGGACAGCATTGAAGGGGAGGTGAAGGATATGAGTGATCCCCTGCAGATTACAGATGCTATCCAATCGAAGATACAGGGAAGTCGGGCCCATGACTACTTCCTGTCCGCCATGCAGCATATGCTCCTGATCCGCGAGAACTCTGGTGAGGATGGTCTAAGAATGTTCCAACTTGTGGACGCCATGCTCAGCTATGTTGCTATGGATCGACGGCTCCCGGATCTTGACCTACGCCAAGGCCTGAACTTCACAGTGCAGAGCTTACTAGATCGGCTTCATACAGACGCCGAGGCAAGACGAGCGTATGATGAATCTTTGGAGGCACGTCAGATCGCCGAAGCCGCTCTGGCTGAGCGCGACGAGATGAAATCGCAGGTGGAGCTGGGAGCAGACGGCCTGGTAAAGAAATTACAGAAACAGATCGAAGAACAGACCGGTATCATTGAACTTCAGGCCAGACAGAATGAGAACTCGAAAGCTGAGCTGGCAGAGGTTCAGCGGCTCCGCGCCCAAGAGCTTCAGCGAAATGAGCTGGAAACACGGGAGCTTTACCTGATGCTTCGAGATGCCCAGGATATTGCCGCGTCCAATGCGAAGAAGAGCAACCTTGAAAATATGGATCCATCGCAAATGCGTGGAATCCTCGACCGGGAGAAGCTGCTTGAGAGGTTGGAGATGCAACTTGAAAGGACAAAAACGCAGTTCAAACTTGAAGGAAAGGTTTGGGGTCAACATGGACCCTCGGACAGATTGCGGGAACTCCGAGAACAGATGGACGGGGATGGGGAGTTGACAGAAGCATTCCAGGAGCAGGCTCGCCGTAACCTGGACACGACCGCGTTTGGATCTGTTTACCGCAAGAGAAGCCATGTACCTGGGATGGAGCTGGACGCGGAGGTACTGTCATCCTTGGAAGAGGCAGGAGCCGAAGAAGCCGTTGAATATGAGAAACCGCGTCTTGTGCACCTGCAGCGGCCTCGTATGAACCCGGCTGAAGCAACCGGATTACTGGGGGAAATTGCGTCTAAAGTACCCAAATATGATGCAGACGAACCAGAGAGTGGCGAGGAAACTCCTACCGTTCCCTCAACGACAGAGCCTGACACGAAGACTACCCCCGAGGAGGAAAGTACAGGTAAAGATAAGGACGAAACCGGAGACATCAAAACAGACGGAGAGAAAGCAGCACCTCCACCGCCGCCGCCTCCTCCTCCTCCCCCTCCTCCTCCTCCTCCGCCTCCGCCTCCGCCTCCGCCTCCACATTCAGGCTTGGGGGCAGGCCCTCCACCACCGCCGCCACCGCCACCTCCTCCACCTCCTGGTGCTTTGATGAAGGGTGTCCCTCCGCCTCCGCCTCCTCCGCCACCTCCGCCTGGATTTGCTGGTGGAATCCCGCCCCCGCCGCCACCACCACCGCCTCCGGGGGCTTTCGGTATGCCTCCTCCCCCGCCGCCACCTCCAGGGGGTGTGGTTGGGGGTTGGAGAAGAGCCAACTACGTGCCAGATGGCCCCTCTATTCCAGGGGTTGTCATGTCCTCTATCAGACCTAAAAAGAAGCTCAAGGCACTCCATTGGGATAAAGTGGATACTCCTCAGGTGACAGTGTGGGCAGCGCATGCACCCACACCGCAAGAAAAGGAGGACAAGTATACAGACTTGGCAAAGAAGGGTGTCCTGGATGAAGTTGAGAGGCTCTTCATGGCGAAAGAAACGAAGATCTTTGGCAGCGGGACTGCAGCAAAACAACGAAAGGACAAGAAACAAATCATTTCGAATGACCTGTCGAAGACATTCCAAATCGCTATGGCCAAATACTCCCAAATTGCCGCGGACGAGGTGACGCGCATGATCATTCACTGTGATCCTGAACTCTTGGATAACATGGTTGTCATGGATTTTCTGCAGAGAGATGATCTATGCGCCATTCCAGAAAACGTTGCCAAACTAATGGCTCCTTACAGCAAGGACTGGACTGGTCCTGATGCTGCCAGTTCTGAACGTGAACAAGACCCAAATGAACTCACACGCGAAGATCAGATTTATCTGTACACGGCATTTGAACTGAATCACTATTGGAAGGCTAGAATGCGCGCCCTCGCATTGACACGCTCCTTCGAGTCTGACTACGAACATATCTCTGCCAAGCTTCAAACCGTGGTCCAAGTCAGCGAGTCACTCAGGGACTCTGTTTCCTTGATGAATGTGCTCGGTCTCATTTTGGATATTGGTAACTTCATGAACGATGCAAACAAACAGGCCCAAGGGTTCAAGCTGGGCTCCTTGGCTCGGCTAGGAATGGTCAAGGATGACAAGAACGAAACCACGTTCGCTGATCTTGTTGAGCGGATCGTCCGAAACCAATATCCAGAATGGGAGGGCTTCGTGGACGAAATCTCGGGTGTGATCAATCTGCAGAAGCTGAACGTTGATCAACTCCAAACCGATGCGAAGAAGTACATCAACAACATTAAAAACGTCCAGGCAAGCTTAGATGCTGGTAATTTGAGCGACTCTAAAAAATTCCATCCTCAAGACCGAGTGAGCCAAGTGGTACAACGGAGCATGAAGGATGCTCGACGCAAGGCTGAACAGTTGCAACTTTACCTAGACGAGATGGTCAAGAGCTATGATGACATCATGGTGTTCTACGGGGAAGATAATACTGATGAGAATGCCCGTCGTGATTTCTTTGCAAAACTGGCTGCCTTTTTGCTGGAATGGAAGGTATGTTATTGGAAACGTTCTCTCTGCCACGTGCTTATTCACATACTAATGCTGTTGCGATGGACAGAAATCGAAGGACAAAAATGTTTCCCTGGAAGAGATGCGGAGGCGGACAGAAGCGTCGTTGGCTCGCAAACGCATCAACCCAGCGCTCGCGAACAATGGCGCATCCAGCGGAGATATACCGAATTCGCCCGCCACTAGCGGTGCCATGGACTCACTCCTGGAGAAGTTGCGCGCGGCGGCTCCCCAGGCTCGTGATCAACGGGACCGTCGTCGGCGTGCTAGGCTCAAAGAAAGACACCAGGTTCGCGTTGCGTCCGGACAGAAAATGCCTGATATGCTTGGAGCCGAGACCCCAAAGAACGGCGCGGAGGACGAAGCTGTTGATCGACCCACTGCAGAGAACAACCTGCTAAGCCCCAACAGTGCCGAGGAAGACGAGAACCTTGCCACCAAAGAGACCCAAGTGTCCGAAGGCGAAGACATTGCTGACCGTGCCGCCAGCATGCTTCAAGGGCTCAGAACCAACACCGAGGCGGATGGGGAGCGCGTGCGGCGCAGACGAGAAAGCGCAGAGGAAGAACGACGCAATCGCCGGTTACGAAGGCGCAATGGAGCTACCAATGGTAGCAAAGACAGCGCGGATACCTCCGTTCTATCTCCAGTCAAGGAGCCAACCTCCCCGACGAGAACCGACCCTGCCGAGCCCGATGAATCCAGTCTCTCCGGCCTCGGACATGAGGAAGAACCACCGTTAACACCGTCCATCATCGTGTCAGATGACATGGCGGACGAAACCGTTGATCCCTCGTCTCCGAACAAGCCGATAGAGTTGTCGGGTTGATGTGCCATCATCGTCTCGTCTCTCCTTCGCACCAGATTCCCTCCCGCTAATGTAATGTTTGATAGACTCGACTTGACGCCGTCTCGGAATTTCCTTGTCATGACGTTAAGTGTATAATAATACTTTGTCCTGGTGCTTCAGGGACCATCTTAAAGGACTGATCATCCTTCATTCTGCCCTGCTTAATTTTCGATGTTAATTTTTTTTTTCTGCCACCATTCGCATTCTTGGGACTACCTTCCTTCTATTCGCTTCATCTCTTCTCTTTCTTTTCATCTTTCTCCTTCTTTCATCTCCCCCTCTTTCTTGATCTTTCCTTTTTTTCTTTACATTCATCAGCCTACGTGGTACTGTACATACCCTCTCTCTTGTTCGTCTTTCGCTTCTCCCACTTCTTTTCCTTGGACTTTCTTCTGAATTTTTTTTCCTTTTCTTCTTTTTTCTTCTGCCAAGTCGCAGCGGTGACCCTTACAACATTGGCATTCGCCTTGACCTTTTGAACCAGCGTTGCATCATCTCACGGAGGATTGGACGGCGGATTCGGGTACATAGTTAATGGCATCCTTCGAAGCGCAGGCGCTCCGAAGTGATGTTAAATCTAATTCTACATGGCATATACTAGAAGAAACCCTTGGTTTACTATCGTTTCATTCGTAGACTTGTAGAATCTCAAGTGACACGATGATCTTCGAGTCTTGCTCAATGAGTTGTGAATTCGCTATCAAGTCACGTGGTCCGCCTGTCGACCTCATCCCGAACTACTGCGCGAAACCAAACCCATCTCACAGCCTCTAATCCCACCGGATCGTCGGTCTGCCCGCGTATGCGTGGATCTATCCTCTGGGTTTCGCGTTGGGTCAATCCCTTTCGCCATCAATGGACCCTGCCGGCGTTTGGGGGACCTCCTAACAGAGTCGCCTCCAAACGTGCGGCTCAAGTGCTGCTACCTCGAATCTCTAGAAACGGAGTGCGGTGCTTTTCGTCCTACCCGCCTGCCTTTTTCTCGATTGGCCATGATTCGACCATTTACGCGCTTTCCACTGCTCCTGGGAGGGCTGCCATTGCTGTGATTCGGGTATCTGGATCTGCGTGTGTAAAGGTATTTGTTCCTTCCATTCAAGATGGGGTGTTGATAGATATCAACGACTGATTTTTTTTTTCTATTTCTTTCTTTAGATCTACCAAGCCCTCTGTCCTTCGTCACCTCTTCCCAAACCACGCGTTGTGGCACTCCGAACTCTGTATGATCCTACGCAGACAGCTTTGAGTAAGAACAGCGTGCTCGACGCTGGCGCTCTGGTACTGTACTTCCCGGGCCCGAAGACAGTCACAGGCGAAGAAGTTCTAGAGCTGCATGTACACGGCGGTCCGGCGATTGTAAGGGCTGTTCTCGGGGCGATCGACCGCGTCAGCACGCCCGACAGCCTCATCCGCTACGCCGAGCCGGGCGAGTTCACCCGTCGGGCGTTTATGAACGACCGGCTTGATCTACCGCAGATCGAAGCCCTCGGCGACACCCTCCATGCTGACACAGAGCAACAGCGTCGGCTAGCGGTACGTGGCGCCAACGATGCACTCTCCAAGCGATACGAGCAGTGGCGCCATCAATTGCTCTATGCCCGGGGCGAGTTGGAAGCCCTGATTGACTTCTCCGAGGACCAATACTTTGATGAGTCGACAGAGGAGCTGGTCGATTCTGTTGCCTCGCAGGTGCGTGCCCTGCAACAGCAGTTGAATTTGCACATCCACAATGCATCTAAGGGAGAGCTGCTCCGGAATGGGATCAAATTGGCATTGTTGGGCGCTCCAAACGCAGGGAAAAGCTCTCTTCTGAATCAGATAGTGGGTAAAGAGGCGGCGATTGTCAGCGCAGAGGAAGGCACAACTAGGGACATTGTGGATGTTGGGGTCGATATTGGCGGGTGGTACTGCAAGCTCGGCGATATGGCCGGCATTCGATCCGAAACAAATGGTTCTGGAGTTGGCCATCGCAGTGGCCTAGTGGTCATCGGTGCTGTTGAAAAGGAAGGTATCCGACGGGCCAAGGCGCGTGCGATGGAGTCGGACGTTGTCATTGTGGTGCTCTCGCTGGAGACCAACGGTGGTAGCGAGAAATTATATCAGTTATCCGTGGAGCCGGAAGTCCTGGAGGCCGCAAAGGACTGTGTCGAAGCTGGCAAATGTCTTGTTGTTGTGGTCAACAAATGCGACAGGATTCCTCTGGAGACTCGAGAAGCGACGGGAGACATCCCACAGGGGCTGCAAGACCGTATTCACAGTCTGTTTCCTGTGGTGCCTGCAAATCGTATTTTCGCCATCTCCTGTTTGGAAGCACAAGGTCTCACAGACTCTCAGCGTGGAATTGACCCAGGTGGGATCCAGACTTTCTTGAAAGGGCTTGTTACCACGTTTGAAACGATTGCCTCGCCAGTGGGCATGGAGGGTGATGAGCATGGGAAATACGATCTTTCCTACTGGGAGGACTCTCTGGGTGTGACCCATCGACAGAGTTCTAATCTTCAGCGGTGTCTCGAGCATCTCGATGACTTTTTGGCCCAAACACAAAAAACGCACCACAGTGGCTACAACAGCCCTGATGTGGAAGAAGAAGTCGATATTGTGCTGGCCGCTGAGCATCTGCGGTTTGCCGCAGACTCGCTGGCCAAGATCACCGGTAAAGGGGACGGTGGAGATGTAGAGGATGTCTTGGGTGTGGTCTTTGAAAAGTTGGTTACCCTAGTTTCAACGAATGAAGTTTCTGCAGGATTGCTAACAAGATGTGATAGATTTTGCGTTGGCAAATGATGTGAAGAGGCTATAAAATGACTGCTATCATACAACAACCAGAAAGAATCATTCATTCTCTCGACATGGAATGGCAATATAGGAAACCCCGATTTCTTTCTCACTTTCCAACCACGATTCGAAGGGTTCTCGATCCAACCAAGCCTTTCGTTCATGATGCAGTTCCCGTCTGTTTGATGATCCAAAATGAACGGGTTCCAAACAAGCCGATGCCAATTCTCACCGTCGATCCGGAGCATTTCACTCCTCGTCGTCGTTTTTGTCGTTGTATCCGCCGCGGCCCTGCATGGGTAGGAGTACAAAAGGAGACGAAGATGGAGAGAAAAGGGCAAAGACGAGCATCCGCGAGGAGCCCGGCTGTGAGAACTCCGAGTCCGAGGTCTTGTTGGGTCCGTTGTATCCTCCTCGCCCCATTGACAGTAGTGATGATGGATTAGACCAAAAGCTCGACGGGGCGTTGGCCAGTCGAGTTGAGGTGATGTATATTTATATATATATATATATATGTATAGACAGCTGCTGTTGGTGGTGTAAGCAGCAATTCAAGTGGATAATAATATCAAGTATAAGCAAGAAGGCACTGATTGTACAAATATCAGTTGGATCTCTTGATACACTAATAAACGATAGCTGGATACCTCTTTATATACATTTCCCCTCCTCTGCTTGTGTATATCTGCCTTGATTAATGACACAGATTGCCCGGGCTTCAACCAGGCACCACCGATGACTACACCCGGGCGCTGCCTGGAATGACGATCCGAGTCGGGGATGCCAATGATTCAATCAGCTTCACTTTTAGTTACTGATCTCTTGCTACTTGTCCTGGTCTGGCCCTCTGGGACTAGGGACCTTGGCTTGGGAAACCAGGCAACCAGTCTGCGGGTTATCGCGGCGAAGGGTCCCGATAAGCTGTTGGACCAACTACAGGGTCAGCTGCAGAGAACGCCGAGACACGATGACACAGGTGACTCAATCCGTCTGGATAGGATGAGACTGTTGACTGGCTGTTGACTGGCTGTTGGTTGATTGGGGCTCGATACAGAGTAGATGATGACTCAGTTACTTTTGTCTTCCCCCTCCTGCGTGGTGTAACTGGCGGCGGTGATCACAAATAGTATAGATGCAAATGTGACATATGGGGTTTTATTCGTGATTTATATTAGAGTGTTACTTTTATACTATATTTAGAATACACCATTGAGATGCCGTTGGTATAACGGTAGTGCAGAGTACTGGTCCTCTACTTTGTGGTTTGGTTAGGGCCACCAATGTATATATTAGTTAAAGACCAGCAGCAGTCAAGGTCAAGAGAGGCCGAAAGATGTGGTTGAAAAACGAAGAGTCTAAATATAAAGGTTGTGACACCGTCTCTCATAAAAGATATCGAGATACCGAATCAAGGACTGGGCCTTGATGCATCAGGTAATATAATGTCAAAGAGACCTGAGCATATAGGGAAGAATAAGACTCAAAACGTGATCTTGTGCAGTTGCCTAATCGCTCCAAATCAATTGACCTGTAGTTTTGTTCCTACCAATTCAAATAGCCAAGAAAACCACCGACCAACAGCTCGGGTATATATACAATATGTCAATTTAGAAATAAATGGTACAGACTTGTGTGAGTTGCTCATGCGTCGATTGCGTTCTTCACCCACTTCTCTAGACCACCCTTGGCGATGATCTCTTGAACGTTGGGCGGGAGCTCGCCGACCTTGTGCGTCCACTTGGGCCCGTTCTCGCCCTCCTGGATCTCGATGCGACTGCGGCGGACGTCCCACGTCAACTTCCAGCCCGTGCGGCGCGTAAGGGCCTTGCCCTGACTATCTCCCGAACCGAAACTCTCGCGGAGTCGGCTGATCAGGCGAGGGACTTCGAGACCCATCAGAGCGTTATTGATGCTGTTGCGAGAGAAGATGTTACCAAAGCTGCCGGCAACGACCAGAGGGATCTTCTTGGCGAGAATGGCGGTTGCGGCTTGTTCTCTGGAGCTGCCGCAGCCAAAGTTGTAGCCGGACACCAGGATGTCACCCTCCTTTGTGATGGTGGAGAACTCCGGGTCGTAGTTGGACATGCACACCTGCGCCATAGTCTCGACGGGCACGTAGTCCTGATAGGTGTATTTACCGGGGTAGATACCGTCGGTATTGATGTTGTCTGCGTCGCAAAAGACAATCTCTCCGGACACGCGCTCGGGGAATCCAGGGTACACTTCCGTCAGCGCCTCATCGCTCTCTTCGACGACCGGCTCGGAAGGCTCCTCGGAGGCGAACCGCTTCTCTCCATCGGCGACAAGATCATCCAGCTGACCGATGACCTTCTCGAGAGCCTCTTCCGCGGTAAGCATGCGGTCTTCCTCACGGATGCCGTCACCTTCGCCTCGCACCACACCAGACCAACCCTCCGGAGCTTCATAGTAGCCCGGTCCGCTGATCTTACCATTCAGGGCACTTGCAGCCACAACCTCGGGGCTGCCGAGATACGCCTTGGCATCGGTGCTGCCCATGCGGCCCTTGAAGTTCCGGTTCGACGCACTGATACCGACCTCACCCGGTTCAAGTAGACCCTGACCCATTCCAATGCACGGCCCGCATCCGGCAGGCAAGGTTGTCGCACCGGCCTCCAGCAGGACCTGCCAGTCACCGGCTCCCTCCGCAGCCAGTTGCTCCGGGATAGAGGCTGCTGCAATGTAGAATTTGACGCCATCGGCAACCTTGGGGATTTTTCCGCCGTTCTTCTCGGCAGCATCCTTGAAAACCTTGGCTGCAGCCGCGATATCCGAGGCGCGCGAGTTGGTGCAAGAGACCAGGTAGGCCTTGTTGACCTTGATATCCAGCTTCTCCAGGTCCGGCAGAGCGGTGGCCACTTTGACCGAGTTGGGTCCTGCGACGTAGGGAGAGAGAGTCGAGAGATCAAGGTAGATTTCCTTGGCATATTTCGCACCCTTGTCAGCGGTCAGGGGGTTCTCAAACAAGCTCTCCAGCGCCGGGTGGGTGAAGTTGCGAGGAGCCAGCGTCTTGAAAGGTCCCTCGGCAAGGCCCATGGCAGCGGTGGTCGCCTTGCCTCGCAGCCAGCCCTTCAGTACATCATCGATGGGGAACAGTCCGGAGAGCGCCCCCCACTCAGTAGTCATGTTGGCAATGGTCAAACGGGCGTCGACGGGTAGACTCCGCATCGTCTCCGCAGAGCCTGAAAACTCAATGGCATGGTTCAGAACATCATCTTTGTCAAACAGACCACACAGAGCGACAATGACATCCTTCGCGGTCACTCCCACGGGAAGGACGCCGGTGAAGGTGACCTTGGCAACGGGAGGAATCTGCCACCACGTCTTGCCGGTCGCCCAGATACTCGCACCATCGGTACGGACAATAGGAGTACCCAGACAACCCACACCGCCATACATGTTGCTGTGGCTGTCGGAGGCAACCACAAGCGTTCCAGGCCAGGCAAAACCGTCTTCCACCATGATCTGATGACCAATACCACGACCAGCGGGATAAAACTCGACGCCATGGAGCTTGGCAAACTCCTCGATCTGCTTGTACTTCTGCAGGTTCTTGTCGCTTTGGTTCTGCACATCGTGGTCGAGAGTCATGACGATTTGGTTGGGATTGTGCAGCTTCGAGGCGCCAATCGACATGAACTTGAGCGCCACGGGCCATGAGTTATCATGGGTCATGCAGCGGTGCGGCGAAATGGTGACATAGTCCCCCGACTTGACGAATTTGTCCTGGGCCAGACCGACCGAGTACTTCTGAACGATCTTCTCCGTCAGGGTTTGCGGGACGTGTTTGGAGGCCTGCAGCGAGGAGAAGATGGCCGCGGACGATGGGTTTTCCAGCTGGGAGTGGAAGACATCCTGTCTATGGGCTCGAGACGTCGAGAGGAATCGCTGCGCCAGCGTCGTCGTCCTTGTTGTCGGCAAAGGGCAGCGGACGAGCGCCCAGCGCCTGCCAGCGGTGCCGGAGGCCCACAGTCGTGACTGTAGAGTATGGTTGTCAGCTCATAAATACCTTGAGACGACATAATTGAAGAGAAAAAGGCGCAAGGAGACTGCTTACCGTCATCTTGAAGCACAAGGCAAAAGTATGACTCGTAGAGAAATAATTATTAGAGGACGAGACGAACAAATGAAAACGCTTGTATTTGCATCTACGGGGAAGAGCCGATGCAAACGCGCCAAGCCTCCGGGATCGGAGCTGATAAGATAAATTATTTTGGTAACTCCAAAAGCTGTATTTTTCAAGTGTAATTAGTGTAATCATATTAATATACAGTGAGTATAGGTAGGTAGTTAATAGATAGACTTCTGTTTTAGTTCATTGAAGATAATATACAAAATATACAAGACTGGCTAGAGCTTCCAGACAGCCCAGTCCTTGAGATCGAGTTCCTTGAGGATACCCTGGAGCGGTCCCTGGAGCTCTGACCCTTGCGCCCAGATCTTTTCTCCTGCCATGTAGCGAATGAAGCCGTCTGGTCCTGATACGATGATGAATTTCGAACCTGGGGAGTTGCCCGAGGGAGACGGTGATGATTTGACCGAATCCAGGATGGTCTGCTTGCTGATGAGCGAGTTCTCCTCGTCGACAAAGTAGTCTACCTTCACCTGGTTCGGGAATTGTGCCTTGAGATCTTCCAAGTCGCGTACCATGGGACAAGCGTTTTCTTCTCGTTGAGAACGGGTAGTGGGAGGAGAGCTGGTCTCCGGCGCGCGACCAAACCAGCCTCCTAACCAGCTGCCCTTCTTGGGTATCGTAGGTTGAGTATCATTCACACCACCCGCGCAGTCTTCTCGTTTTCGACTCGCCCATAAGATGTGGATTCGCGGGGTGCTGGTGCGGCTGGCATGGGTGAGAAGAGAGTGGCCAGCCTGTACAGCCGGGGCGATGCCTGTGCCTCCAGCAATAAACAAAATCTCCTGTGTCTCAGATGGAATGGCAAATTCAACCTTGGGTCCGCGTACTTCAACTGTCGACCCCAATTCGAGAGCATGCAGATACCGCGAAACCTCACCGTGCGGATCTCGACGGATCAGAAACCGCAAACAACCGTCGTCTTCTTCCTCTGGAGAGCTCGTCGATGACGTTGGAGGTAGCGGGGTGTAGTCTCTCCCAATCTGCAACTGCGGCTGCTTGAACATCACGCTCCAAATCCCTGTTCGCCATGCATCTTCGTAGACCTCCCGGTTATTCCCTCCTGGTCTTGACGGCCGCAGTGAGAAGATCGAACACGTGGACGAGACCGGCTCTTTCGCAACAATCCGATAATCGACAAAGCTGGCCGGGTTCAACGTAGCATCCGTCGACCGCTGCTGGGCTCGCACAAACGCCCCCGTCGCTGCAGCAGCAGCTGTGATAATGGTCAACCGCAACCAAAGCCGCGATTTGGGCGGCGGAGACGCCGAGGTCGAGCCACACCGCGCACCATGTCGTTGCTGCTGGATCACACGCCTCGTACAGGACCCGGCAGACAAGAGACACGATCCGAGTCCCAATCGGGGCCCTCGCGGCGTCATCGAGCAGGAATCTGTAACTGCGCAAGGGCTGTCCACGTCATATCGTGTTTTTTTCCCTCTTTTTCCCTACGGACGTTTTGCTGCGGCCACAACCCTGCGCTAAACCTGATTCGGCCGCCAACCCAAACCCCTAGAGAGGATTCTTTGTCGATCGGTCAAGGAAAGCATCGTGAGATTCTGGAACTCGGGCACGCCTTTCGCATTGCTGTCTTAGCGCGGAGCATGGGGATGCCTGTCGTTATAGATTAATATCCTTTTCGCTTTCCCGGAGCTCCAGAGAGAGAGAGAGAGAGAGAGAGAGAGAGGCTGTGCGTCTCTCCCTGCTACTCCGTCAAACAATAACTACCTACCTGTTTACCCGGCCACCATGTCGCCGGTTGCCTATTCGCAGGAGGCTCGACACGCTACAAATGCTACTCGTGATTCCCTGGAACTTGCCTCGCTTGCTTCTTCATCTCCTGGATCTGCAGGTGCATCTTCACGGTCCTCGTTAGCCTCCGGCATTGCCTCGTCACGCAAGCTCTCCCTCGACGATGAAGACCCTCTGAACGACAATTTGAATGTCGAAGCTAGCGGACGCCCCCGATCGGCGCGGTCCTATTCGATATCTTCCGCGTTCGACTTTGGGCGGACCCTGTTTCCTCTCTCCGAAACTGCTGGCGGTTACGCGCCTGTGGGTGCTCCGTCTCTACATTCGCTGGACCGGCATGGTGGGGTAGGAGATGGGTCGCTGGAACGCAACAAGACGCTGACATACTTGAACGGGCTGTCGCTAATTGTTGGACTAATTATTGGGTCGGGGATCTTCTCTTCGCCGGGCCAGGTTAACATCAACACGGGGTCTCCTGGTGCTTCCCTCATTATCTGGGCGGTTGCAGGATTGCTGGCCTGGACTGGCGCAGCGAGTTATGCGGAGCTGGGAGGAGCGATTCCGCTAAATGGCGGTGCCCAGGTCTATCTATCTAAGATCTTTGGCGAAATGATGGGGTTTCTGTTCACATGGTGTGCTGTACTCGTGCTGAAGCCCGGTTCAGCCGCCATCATCGCCATCATCTTCGGCGAGTACATGGTCCGCGCCGTCGTCGGCGCAGATGTCGAGCCGGTCAACACGTGGATCAACAAGGGTGTCGCAGTTTCCGGGCTGGTCGCAGTAACGTTACTTAACTGTGTGTCCACAAAGCTGGCCACCCGCGTCGGGGACGTCTTCATGCTGTTCAAGTTTGTCGCGCTTATTGGAGTCACGGTGATAGGGATCGTGGTGGCTATCACTGGGCTTTCGTCAACGGGTGCTGCCAATCAAGAATGGAAGACCCAGGGCTGGTTCGAGGGAACCAGCACCGACATCTCTAGCTGGGCAGTTGCGTTGTATGCGGGTCTCTGGGCCTTCGACGGCTGGGACAACACCAACTACGTTACGGGGGAGTTCAAGAACCCCAATCGAGATCTCCCTCGGGTGATCCATACCGCAATGCCCCTGGTGATTCTGTGCTATGTGCTTGCAAACGTCTCCTATTTTCTCGTCTTGCCTCATTCGACCATCGAAGCCACCAACACGGTTGCGGTACAGTTTGGCTACCAGGTGTTTGGGCCAGTAGGCGCCCTAGTGTTGGCCTTGGTGGTCTCAGCTAGCTGTTTCGGCGCACTGAATGCGACAACCTTCACCAGTGGCAGATTGGTCTACGTCGCCGGCAAAGAGGGTTACCTGCCTGCCTTATTCGGCAACCTCGGGCTTTTTGGTAGCGGCTCTGCCCCTGCTTCGGGCGGCCGCCTGAGACGTCGCTCCGGGATCACTAAGCTTGTCTCGCGGTTGTTCGGGGACAGCGCCGGCTTCGGATACACCCCGACGAATGCGATTCTTTTCAACAGCCTCCTCACTCTCGGCTACGTCATTCTGGGCGATTTTAGCACCCTCGTCACTTTCTACGGCGTGGCGGGATACACATTCTACTTCCTCACAGTGCTCGGGCTGATAGTCCTCCGCATCCGCGAGCCGCACCTCGAACGGCCTTACAGGACCTGGATTTCCACCCCGATCATCTTCTGCTGTGTCAGTCTGTTCCTTCTCAGCCGCGCCGTCATTGCCGAACCATTGCAGACTTTGATCGTTGTCGGCTTTATCATTGCCGGCATTCCCGTTTATTTCTGGCGTATATATCAACGAGACGGCAAGGTTCCTCTCCCGTGGAAACGTTGGAAACTTAACCGATAGTCTGAGGCTTTCCAAGCCATGCCATTTCTTTTTCGTTTTCCTTCTTCTTCTTTTTCTTTCCCCAAACCCTACATTTTTAATCATACTTCATACCCATGCATATAACCCGGGTATACTTTGTGCGGTGTGTATTCAGCGTTTCTCGACACTTTATAACCAAGAGGAGATCTTTTGTTTTCGTCACGACCTGTCATGGAAGAAGAGATAATACTATTTTTGATGGAGTATGCAAGACCTGTCCAGCTTATGCGAAGTAATCAGATATAGTTACCAGGGACTAGAATACAGAATAAAACTTCCTAAACAACCATCTGTTGGAGAATATATGACACGGCTGAGCTCTATTCATGGTCTGCAAACCTTCTACTCCTCTCGTTACAGCATTTTCTCACAATACTCAACAATACATCAGTGGTTTCATTATCTTTCATCCCATGAATTTGGGGCCGAAATACCGGATACCCCTCCTCCCCACCCTTGGTCATATCGGAGAGATTGTCCCTCGACGAATACTCAATCATATCTGCCTGATGCCTTGTAGGTAGTAAGTACAAAGATTTGACTTCGATTTATGTTTACTCCATAGATCTACCTATTGGACAGTAAGTAGTTCCTATACTACCCCTTCTTGGTTCCTGAATCTGATATGGATAGATATACTACATAAGCTTCTTAGATCAAAACAATGAAACACACGGCATCGTGGCAGGACATTGCGTCCCAAAAGCGCCAGCTAAGGGATGCTGCACTTCAGCCTTATCTCGTTGACGACCTGGACCAGCGCTTACCTCGCGTTGAGAACGTCGAGGAACGCACCCGGTTACCTCTAGACCCACGATCTCAAATGATCACGGACATAGACAGCGTTACAGATCTCCTCCAGTGTCTGGGCAATGGAGAGTTCACCGCCGAAGAGGTGACCACGGCGTATATACGAAGGTAAGCTTCTTCGAATTGATTCCATGCTATTCTATCCTGCTTATTTGAATAGAGCCACCATAGCCCATCAATTGGTGGGTGATAAATATACAGATCCTTACTATCCGAGACAAACTTCTCACAAATCTTAGACAAACAGTATCACTGAAGTGCTATTTGACGACGCCCTGAAGCATGCAAAAGAACTCGACAGCGAATTCAACCTCACAGGGAAACTCAGAGGCCCCCTTCACGGCATCCCTTTTACTCTCAAAGACCAGTTTAATGTTCAAGGCGTCGATACCACTCTAGGCTATGTTGGTCGGTCGTTCCATCCCGCCACCGAAGATGCGGTTTTGGTTTCGATTTTGAAACAGGTGGGTGCAGTCATCATTGCAAAGACGAACCTGCCACAAAGTATCATGGTTAGTAAATCACTCAGGCGCGTACTCTGATAGTTAATATGAGTCGACGTCGCAACGAATCTGATATATATGATCTCTTATATAGTGGGCGGAAACGGACAATCCCCTCTGGGGCCTCACCGTCAATCCACGTAACCCAGAATTGACTCCATGCGGTTCCACAGGTGGCGAAGCCGTACTGCTGGCTCTTCATGGATCGATTTTTGGCTGGGGGACAGACCTTGGCGGGAGTGTGAGGATGCCGGCATATACAATGGGCCATTACGGGTTCAAACCTACTGTATGCTAGGTCTTCCATCTGCTTGTTCCATACACACTGATTTGTTTTATAGAGTAGTAGGCTTCCATATGAAGGAGTCCCTGTTTCAACAGAGGGACAGGAACATGTCCCTTCTAGCATTGGCCCGCTGGCTCGTGATCTGTCGTCCATATGCTATTTGAGCCGGATGATAGCTGACACAGAGCCATGGAAACTCGATCCCAAATGCTCTCCGATTCCCTGGCGGGAAATGGCATTCAGAGAAATTCAATCACGACCCATGGTGATAGGACTGATCCTTGACGACGGGGTGGTCAAGGTCCATCCACCGATACAACGAGCATTGGCGGAGGTGTCGGCCAAGTTGAAAGCAGCAGGCCATGAGCTTGTTGTCTGGGACACGTCCGACCACTGGGAGTGCATCAAAATCATGGACCTCTACTATACGGCCGATGGGTGTGAGGATATCAGAAGGGACGTGGCTGTCGCCGGCGAGCCCTTGATTCCTCACGTCGAAGCCCTAGTGAACAGAGGCAAGGCGATCTCTGTCTACGATTACTGGCAACTGAACAGACGCCGCAACGCCGCGCAAAAGAAATACCTGGATAAGTGGAACACCACGCGCTCCGCGTGCGGCAGACCCGTGGACGTTCTCCTTGCTCCTACCATGCCACACACGGCTGTCCCCCACCGGCATGTGCGTTGGGTCGGATACACCAAGATCTGGAACTTTTTCGACTACCCGGCGATTACGCTGCCCATTGATAAAGTACGGGCAGACAAAGATACACTCCCGACTGAACCCTATCAGCCCAGGAACGAGCTCGACGCGTGGAACTGGAGTCTTTATGATGTCGACGTTATGAAGGGCCATCCTGTATCTCTGCAGATTATCGGGAGAAAGCTTGAGGAGGAGAAGGTACTAGGAGCGGCTACTGCGATACAGAAAATCTGGCAGGGTGAAGCATAGAGACCGACATTTACTCACTACAGCGTCATCATAGAAATTGCATTTTGCACCCGATACAACTGTCTCCAACAGAGATAAGAAAGGACCTGTCTGTCAGGCAATCAATATCTGTATGAACTTTTCCAACATCCGTGAGAGTATAAACGTTTGCTTGACCCCGCCTCATTATCTCACCACGAGGGAGAAATGCATGGAAATGACGGAGCTGTTGCTCGACTTTGGGATCAAGTACGACCATTCCATTTCAAGCCACGGCTGTCAGATGTAATGGCTCTGGACTGGCTACGAGTAGGTCAGATCGATTACAAAGAAGGCCCTGAGGGCTCAGGGGGGTTCATCGTCCCCGGCAGCCAAAGCATCGATCAGCTACCGCCCATGACGTTCTTCAAGAGTGCACCAAAGATTCCAGGGTCGTGGATAGTATTCAAAAGGTCATGGCTTTGTTTGATTTGGATTTATTGCTGCTTTGCTTCTTGCAACTTTTGGCATTTGACGTTGATCGGGACCACTTCGACTATTTCTATCACAAATATGATATCTTATGTTCCCAATGACTATCCATTCCGATGTCTCGGGCAGACCTGGTGTTCTTCCCATACATGAGCGATATACCTTTTCCAGGTATTGCCCGTAGGTCTTATACTGGCGTGGCGGACTGCTGTAGGGTCATCCAACATTTTAACAAACACGAAGGCGTCAAGTGGGTAACCATGGAGCCGATGTGTGAAGACTTCAAGGGTAGGAATCAGCCTCCTGAGGCAACTCCGATGCCAACCTTCAAGCGATATTCTTTTGATGGTCTATATGCATGACATCATTCATAAAATGTCCCCCAAAAGAGTTCAAGCCTAGGTAAACTCCCGGGGTAGAGAAACCATGCCAAATTTTGACTTCAAGCTTTGGGCTGCTGGAAGAGATGTGGCTTCATGTTGATTTTGCAAAGCTTTGCAATGCATCCGCTCAGCTGGAGCAAGGACTGCACGCCATCGAGAATTCGCATGTGTGTGAAGCCGATTTCTTTAATAAACTCCAACTTTGAGTGCTCGGAGAGAGTGGGAATCGTCTTGGTGACCCGGAACATTGTGCTGATTATATCATGGGATGAATACCCTAGGTCCCTGTAAGAGAAACAAGATTAGCTTAACCCTCCAGCTAAACCTCGTCTCTGGCAGTCGTACCATAACTCATTCAGAGATTCCAGAGCAACGTCAACTTTGCCTTCCCAGCATGCCTTTATCATGGCCTGAACCTTGATTGGATGGGGACTGTCGACCACGCGGAACACATTGTCTCCGCTCACAAACCCAAAACCGGACCAGGTACTTTGCAGATTGTTAATCGCTTGGCGCATGTCTCCTTCGGCACTGAAGACTAGAGCGGCAATCCCATCCTCTGAGTATTCTACCTTCTCAGCTTCACAGATCTGGGTGATACGGTGTACAACCTGTTCGTCGGTCAACCGAGCGTATCGAAGAATCGCACAGCGAGACTGGAGAGGCTCAATGATCTTGTTCGACTGGTTACAGGCAAATGCGAATCTGGTAGTGGAAGAGTAGATTTCCATCGTCCGGCGTAAGGCTTGTTGAGCCCCAGAAGTCATACTGCCAAAAAAAATTCGGTTTTAGTAGGATATCGCCAATATAAGGTTTATTTTATGGTGACACACCTGTCCGCTTCGTCTAGAATGACAACCTTGTGCCGGCCAGGTGGGAGCGTGACCTTCTTCTGAGCAAACCCCTTGATGCGATTCCTGACAACATCGATCCCTACCGAGACATTGCAACATGATTAGGACCTGGAGGTTGCCCAGCAAGCATGCACCGTTGCTTCCTTACCTCTTTCGTCACTGGCATTCAGCTCCAAAACAGCTTCTTTATATGCATGCCCGAGAAGCTGTCTTGCAAGACATAAAATGGATGTTGTCTTTCCAATACCAGGCATACCGGAGATGATAATGTGCGGCATATTCCCATCCTTAGCAATAATTTTTAGACGTTCAACGGTTTCTGTGTTGCCGACAATATCGTTCAAGAAAACTGGGCGGTATTTTTCAACCCTGGAGGCAGCATACTGACTCAGCTCAATCAACTTAACAATAATCAATACTCAACGCACAGAATGATCCATCAATACTCACCAGGGCAGTTCATAGTCCGGGGGCGCCCCAGCTGTAGAAGCCCGGAGGCCATTGCGAGCAGCATCAGCCGATGATTCTGCCTGTACCATTTTGGAGCAGCAGATTATATGTTAGATGATCCCAGAGAACACAGGAGTTAGATAAGTGCTAGTGACTACAGTTAAACTGTAACAAGAGTGATAGAGATTGTTTAATTAATTGCTCAACGCTGAGTCGCGAGCAAGGCGGCGACCCGACGCGTTATCCCGCGTCTTGAGCTGAGGCCCGTGCATGCTAAAGCTGATTTGTTATCAATCTCGACGACCTACGAAGTAGGCAGGCTTCTAGAGTCCTATAGTTACTACGCCCTATTGCTCTATTACAGTCTAGCCCTTTCACGCAATGAAACATGACAAAATAGACTATGTTTGTATATGTGCTACGCAGGTCATCCCGTGATTGTCAAGGCTCTGGAAAGCGTCGCCCGATTTCTCCCCCTCTTGTCTTCCCACTCTCCGTTGGCCTTGACTTGGGATGCTGTATTCTTAACAGTTGCTAAAGAACTGCTCTGACACCGTTTCTTGAACCAGCCGGTATCGTCCAGATGTCTTTTTCCTAAATACAGACTGTTCAAAATCAATACCTTGGATAGCCTTATTCTTAGTCAACCACTGGCCAACTGGCACTCCTATTATCCATACTCGATATTTCCATACTCGATATTTCTTCCAATTGCCTCGGAGAGATATTCACTCTCTTTACTCTCTTTCTACTCTGCAAGTATCCAAAGGATTGAGTACAAGAACAATGGGCACAACCTCCGTCCGCCGCAACCTGTTTCAACACAGCCTCAATCGACGAGCAGCACCTGCTGCCCCGTCTCATATACCTGCTCACGACGGATCTAACGGCGTTCACCCCTTCTCGCATCACACATCAAGGTCGACAACGGATGGATCGAACTTTTCATCCCTCGGCTCTGGGCCCGTCGATAATGGAGAAATCGTTGCTCGAGACAAGAACGGGGCCTACAAACTAGACATCCCCTTCTTCCAGCCACTTCTTCCGAGCAGAGATGGTGAAGAAATGGAGGGTGTGGAGAGGGGGGCACCCAGTGTAGGGGCCGATTCTACACGGGTTGATTCGACGGGTGAAGCAGAAATGAATGTCCGGGACAAGGAGAGTATGTACTACTATCTGAAGAGGATTGTACGCCTTTCGCATTCTGCTAACTTGGCGCTTGGAAGAAATTGAAGCACGTTTGGTCGAACTCATGTGCAGGAACCGTAACAGGCAGATGAGCAGTGAGCCCGCCGGTGCGTTTGAAAGACCTTCTCTTTTTCCTTTATTCATAATTTTTGCTTTGTTATTGTGTTCGTGCCGGTGACAATGAGCTAACATACTACAAGCAGAGATACTCAACCTCATCCAGCAGAGTCTTCGCGACAAGGCTGCCGCTTTGGATGACGATAATTGGATGTATGAAGCGGAACATGAATCCCGGATATGAGTGACATCATTTAGTGGCTATGCCAGACTCAATTACATTGCGCTTGAGTATGTTCATTTCCGGAATATTCTCATTATAGCACAGGTTTCACGTCAAATTAATCCAGTTCCATGTTCGTTGGGGGGGCTTCGGGCTTCCGAGAGCCACCCAAGGCTCGCAATGGCTTCCTTGCATCAGGAGCATCTTGATTTCCACCGAAGAGCATGTTGCTCATCATGTCCAGTAACGGATTACCTTGCCTCGGAATCTTGATGCCAAAGTACTGCTCGCCAATTTGGGCAAGCGCGTCGTCCCAGATGCCAACCTCTCGAATGTGCGAAGCATAATGGGTGGTGAGTTGTTTAAACAGGTTGGGGCTGGCCCGTTGAATGGTTAGGAGCAACATGCTTATGAAGTTCAAAAGTGGCAACGAAGGATACACCCGCATATCCGAACTAGAGCTGCTCACGTCCTGGACAGCGAGCGAGGTGTTCGACGACAGACGCGATGTGAATATCAGGAATGCTTTGTTGGCGCTGCGGATGTTTCCCGTTAATAGATAGGGGAACACTGCACGTGAGGCATATATAGCTGCGGTGTGAGGCTCGTCGTTTGTGTACCACTCGTACTCCAACTTAGCCAAGGTCTCTGCGGACTCAGAGGTTCCAAGAATAAGATGCTTCTCGGCTTCATAGGGCTCGTTATCTATGTATTGGAGTTAGGCCATAATATGCAGCTTGTAAATGAAGCTTCTACAAACCTTCTGCGTAGACAGAGCCGGCCGCATGGTGTAGTTCTGGATCTCCCCGTTCTAGGGGACCAAATCGTTGACTCCAACCAATCATTTCCTGAATAAATCGTTTCCGAGTGGGTTCTTCCGGAGGGAATTCGCGCAATACTTCTATCAGGCGCTCTGTTGAAAGATATCTGATTAGCGCAAGTTTCCAAGAAGGCATACGCCAGATTGCAACCCTGGGTATTTCCGTGAAGGCAAGCTGTAGATGCGTTCCCAGGGTATTATTCAGAGTGTTTGACTTCAAGCCTCGCATTAAAGGGACGATGGAGGTCCAAGCTGGACTTACTCTTTCGTGCCCGACCATTCGTGTCATCATCGCCTCCAGAAATCTCCCACTCTGCTTTATTGTAGACTTCCACTACCAGCATGATTGCCAAATCCCCACCGCTAGCAGATGCACCTTGCTGGGAGCCTGCTCGTAGTAGAGCAATAGCCCCGCCAGTCAAGATCTCTGCTGCGGAATCATAGTTGGACTGCTTGATATATCGAGCGGCGATGACGCGAAGCTGCTGATGAGCTTCATAATACGCACCGGAGGCAATTCTGAAAGAGAAAGGGATCCATTAGAGTCTCATCATAGTTTGCAGCAATGAATCATCATGTAAAATAGTGATCTGCCCACTAACTTTTCTTGCTGCCGAGCAATAGTTTTTTCAATGCGTGAGGTCATCTTCAGAGATCTGTCCCCTCAGCAAGGCTGGTAGGAATTATGGATTATGCAATAAAAGCTAGATCACGCCTTTCTTTTATAACCTTAAGGCCTAACGACGAAGGTTCTTCTTTGATCAAGACAAAGAAAATGGGTTTGTCCAGCCAGGGGGGTTGATAGTGGAAACAAAGATGGTGGGGGAAGCGCGACAGCTTGGGTGGATTATTTGATCTGGTTGCGGCGGCCTTCTTTCTATCATAACAACAGGGTCAAGAACAAGCAAAGCTAAAGTCTATGGACCAAGAATTTATTCTGTGTCTTTACTCAGATAATTATCCCTAATCATTGTTGCTAACTGTATTATATGCATAGGAGTTGGCTCTTCTACGTCGGTCTAGGCATCCCTGCAGTTTATGCGATACATTAATTATTCTAGAAAGAAGCCAAGACAGGGTAGTGAGCATATGAATTATTATATGCTTTGAAAGAACGGACGCGTCTTCTTTACATTCAGAGATAAAAGGACTACTTATAAAAGATATGAGTCGATGCGCTTTTGATATTCAACCAATCGGCCGGTTTGAAGGCTCAAACACGTCGATTCGACGCCCCAAGGTATGCGCGATCAGGTCAATGTTTTCTTATGGCTGACGTCGAAGATCTACTTATGGGGGTAGCTAATATGTCTCCAAGGAAATCGCGTGCTTTTCTTACGATGATCAGCATCAATTTCGTCTCGATGACTCGTCTCTGCGGTACTATTATCCGCCGCACCTGCCAGTAGATCTGAATCAAGGCTTCGAGACATTCCAGAAATTAGACGACACTGGAGATGACCATCTAGATGCACTACTGGAAACTATCATTGCTCATGAGAAGGAGACGGGAAAGAAATGCGAGGTCGATATAATCACCTGGAGAGGGATGATGACCAAAGTCGGTGTTCTACTTGGGTGATTGAGCTTTCATATCCTCTGATGCTAATGCCCTATAGATCCTTACTGCTCCATTCGAGAATATGAATGGGTGAGTCAAGCAGTCTGCGCTAGTTAGAAATCACAGTCGCTCATGTCTTTATAGATTTGAAATGAATGCCACATTTTTCCAGGTAAGAAATGTCGAAATGGTCATGAATATATCCATGGACTAATTATGAACAAATTATAGGGAACCATGTAATTTCACTTTCAAGCTCAAAGAGTACTAATTCGTCGTGAAGTCCTGACTAGTATGATTTCAGATTCATCGAGGAAAATAATGCATATAAAAATATGCAGAAGCAAATGCAGAGGAATCAACGGATGCCACCAGGAATGCCTCCACAGGACGTTATGGCATATTGGGGTAAGGCTTTCCATTTTGACCTTCCCCTCATGAAGGGCCCATGTATATTGACACTGTACCCAGGCTACAAGTTTGAGACACTTTCTGTCTTGCAGCAACCATGGGACCCGACGCCACGTACAGAAATCGAGGATCGTGAAAACGAAATTGTCAACAACCATAGCCAGTACTGCTCCGTGGTCCGAACCGGAATGGGCAACGTCAAGATGATCCTTGGCGGCGAGGTAGATGCAGGTAAGCCTTTTTTCACAACGCCAATTGCACTCTGGCGTGGAACATATAGGTAACGAGGCATTGGCATTTAGTGTGGGACTGTAAGCCTGAGCGCAAGGAAGATGCCATTCACTGGGTCGAGTTAAAGACATCAGCTGAAATACGGAACGACCGTGACATGCTGAAATTCGAACGCAAACTCTTGAAATTCTGGGCACAGTCGTTTCTCCTAGGAGTTCCAAAGATCATTGTTGGTTTTCGTACTCCACAAGGCATCCTGACCTCGTTGGAGGAGATCGAGACTGCCACTATTCCCAACCAAGTCAAAAAGGGGAGAAACACATGGGACGGAAACGTTTGCATAAATTTTGCTGCTAAATTCCTCGAGTGTATGTTACCAGCATGTTCTTTGGCCGGTTATGATATTCGATTACTGACTACTTCCAGGGCTCAAGGGCGTCATTCACGAGGAGGGAACATGGAGGATCCGAAAGCATGAGAAATCGTCGAAGATCGAAGTCTTCAAAGTGGAAGACAGTGGTAATGGCGATATCCTCTCCCAATCGTTCATCGCATGGCGCTCACATGCCTGACCTTTTCAATTTCAAACGTTTGGCTACCAGGCAGTATGGACCGCGGAATAAGATCACAAATTGAGTCAACGACCCTGTAACTAATGGTGGCGTGCGCCATCCCGCGTACTGCTAGTGAGGTGAAGGTATGACTGGTCTAGCAACTCGGTTCCCGGTGGGAACTGCTAATTGTATGGAAATTCTCGAGAAGGTCCAGGTGCCGTGGGGTGCTCGGTAGACTGGTTGTTTATGTGTGATATACGAAGCACACATTGTACTATATAAGATCCCGGCGAGATATTTTTAGCAGGAAGACGGTGTATATTAATAATTGAATGAGATTTCATGATTGAAGACCAGATTAATTTGATATAGACGCTATATCATGACATAGTAGGCTGATCTTTTTTCTTGAGCAACTCCTGCTGCCGGAAGTATTCATCGCGTTCGGCCTTCCTGGCTGCTGTTCTCAATGCCCGCTTGTGAGGAGCACTCGTCATGTGAACCTTCCACTGCTCTTCATTTGTCATGGTCTTTTGGCAAACATCACAAGTAATGCATTTTGTGATTCCGTCTTCCGTCTTTCTTGATGACTGCGCTTCCAAAGTTTCGTACATCTTCTTTGCCAGTTCTGAGAACGATCTGGGATCTGGGAGAGATTCTTCTCGAAGAAACGCATTGACCACAAGCTCGGACGGTTGGGCTATACTGTTCCCCCAATCTTCCACGTAGGTGCTATCGAGGAGGTAGAGGCGATTCTTCATATTGGCCTCTGCAAGGGCCCTCCACAGCTTGTTTCGGATCCATTTGACCTGCTGTACAGCGTATTGACGAGTACCTGTCTTGATGGATTCAACACAGGTTCTCTTGAGCGATTCCAATTCTTCTTCAGTCAATGATCCCTCGCGCACTGCTTCAAAATAGGGTGCAAGCTCTTTGAACCCGATAGAGACCCATACGCCTTTGTCTTTTTCAATATTTATACCTTGAGATATGCTCTCTTGAAGATAATTTGACATCCTCTCTGCTTCCAACAATAGACCCTGATCGATCATTGATTCGACACGCGTATTCAACCTAGAATTTAGGACCTCTTTTCCCGAGTGGACCCAGAAAACGACCGTGGGAAAACGAAGTAGCCCCGAAGATGATTCTAAATCATTACCACTCCTTTTTTGACGCTTTTGTTCCTCGTAAATCTCGGAAGCCGGCCTTCCTGTCTGTAAAAATATCTCCAAAGACCGTCGTATTTTACGGGTCTCATTTGGATGCCACCGATCGGCCATGACGGGATCTACTTCTCTAAGCTTCTGTAGAACCTGGTCTGATGGTGCATTGAGAATCGGCCATTTGTCTGACAGCGATTCCAAACTTAGAGATTCCTCTGCCAAAAGGTCGTCTTGGCCTGAACTCTCAGTCTCGTTTGCAACAGTCTGGTCCTTGAATAGAACCGCTTGCGTGTAGTAATGTGTTCCCCCCACAAGGATTGGCAGTTTTCCCCGCGAGCGGATCTCGTTGATCAGGCGCAGACATTCCTTTTTGAATATACCAATGCGCCATGGCTCCTCTTTCAAATCAACACAACCGATCAAGTGATGGGGTATACCATTCCGTTCATCTTCGGGAATCTGGTTGGTGATGATGGGAAGGCCGCGATACATTTGCATCGCATCCCCATTGATGATTTCTCCATTGAAGCGGGAAGCCAAGTCAACTGCGAGCTATCTGCAATGGTTAGAAAAGGTCAACAGAAAAAATTAATATACGCAAAGAGAAGCCAAAATCACCTTTGATTTCCCCGTGCCAGTGGCACCAACAACAGCTATGAGGGGCTCCATTGAGATTCTGCGAAAAGTGGCATAAGATCGAACCCAGCTAAGCATGACGAGTACCTCATTCCAAGGCCGAGCATCCTGCGATCATCAAACCAGACGCGAGGAAAAACGGCAAGGGCACATTATGGTCAAGGTTGGTTGGTGGAAGGGAGGGACGGAGGGGAAACAACTTCCAGAGCCCAAGAAAATTGAATTACCTCATCGGAGCCGGCCAATCGGCGGAGGTGATGAACAAAATTATTACTACTAGGTAGTTAGTTATCAGACAACTGTTATCTCGGTTTTGAAGTAGAATTGGTTAAATCTTCCAATTAAGCAAAAAAAATATTGGTTATCCGAGCAGCCAAGCGAGTTACAAGCCACTGTGAGTAATACTAGGAATACTGTATATTGAAATCGACGTTAACTGTTGTAGAATTGCCCGATTTACTGCTGCCACGACTGCTATATAGATAATCGAAGATGTCCGCATCAGAAAGGCTGCCAACCATTGATGTACAAGGCTTGTCGTACAAATTCCAGGATGGGTCTGACGGTCTGAGAGATGTCACCCTGAGTCTTCCATCTGGAAGCCGAACTCTCCTTATTGGCGGTATTTTTCCGACATTCCTGTCCATCAGAGTAAATGGTGTTGCATTGACTGACGCACCATGAAAAGCAAATGGGGCTGGCAAGACGACTCTTCTCCGTCTACTGTCTGGCAAGCGGCTTGCACCCACCAACACGATCTCTGTTGGTGGACTCGACCCGTTCAAACACGGTCTGGAGGGCGTGACGTATCTCGGCGTCGAATGGGTTCTGCACAACATCGTCCGGACTGACATCGACGTTCCGACGCTCCTTGCCTCAGTGGGGGGAGACGCCTATCCTGAACGAAGGGACAAGCTGGTCGAAATCCTCGACATCGACCTGAAGTGGCGAATGCACGCGGTCTCGGATGGTGAACGTCGCCGCGTACAGCTTGCTATGGGACTCATCCGTCCCTGGCAGGTACTTCTCCTGGACGAAATCACCGTAGACTTGGATTTACTGTCTCGAAGCAACTTCCTGTCGTTTCTGAAGCGCGAAACAGAAACTAGGCCCTGCACAATCGTCTATGCAACTCATATCCTCGACAACCTGGCCCAGTGGCCGACCCACCTAGTGCACATGCATCTAGGCCAGGTGAGACAACGGGGCCCCGTCGAAAAGTTCAAGGATGAAGTGCCTGCAACATCGGAAAATAGTCAGCTCGGGGAACTTGTGCTCAAGTGGTTAAAAGAAGATTTGAAGGCTCGCGGGCCCAGGAACGGCCGTTCAAGTGAAGGGAAAACATATGAGTCACTTGAAGGAAAGGGAGGCTACGGACTGGAGAAAACCGCTTAGTCTAGGTTGAACAATCTTTCTCCTTTATTGATTCTTTCTCTTTTTGCTCTGTCATGCCTGGATTGATCAGGAAAATCAGGCATCTATTGGAGGCATTTAACAAGGTGGTATTCAACCATTTTAACATGATTGTGGTGTCTGGCATGGTTAGTCTAGATGGATAGAGGGGTGCAGTTCTACGGCACATTCATCATCATGGAAGCGTTCAACATGCATATATCAGGTTCTCTTTTCATTATTTATTCTGAAAATAATATCTCACTTTTTTCTATGAAAGCATATTTGAAATCTCATAGATCCGTATCGCACTATCCTCGCTAGCCACTGCCAGCTCGAAGCTAGGATCTCTCGGAGAGCAACAAGGCCTCCATGACAGCTCTGTGATTGATTTTGATGGCGAGATTTTCCTATCGATAGTCGCAATTTCTTGCACTTCAAGTGTGTCATTCGCAACTTTGTGGATTGACAATTCCCCAGTATCCTCGCCTACTGCAAGATACAGATAGCCATTCTGTTCGTGAGTCATAAAAGAGATGGCAGTAACGGGACTCTTGAGAGAGACGGTCGACTTGCAGAAGAAGTTGCTTTCCTCCATCTGCCATATTTTGACACTCTTGTCACGGCCGGCCGTTGCAAAGACCGGTTTGCCAGATAACGGCGCCCATGCTGCATCGAGAATCATTCGCGAATGCCCCTTGGGATTTGATGCCAACATGGAGAATGTTGACGGATCTTTCGCGCTCCGCTCAAAGACCACCCATTGGCGATCTCTTCCTACACTGAGAAGGAAACGGTCATCCTCAGAGAAAGAAAGGCTTGTGATGGTTAGAGAATGGGCTGCAAGCGATGGCTTGATCTCATGCCAGTCGCTCGTATCATACAAACGGATGACAGCATGTTCCAAAGAACTTGCCTTACAGGCTGTGGCTATGAGTCTCCCATCATGGCTTACTGCTACCGTGGAAATTTCGTAGCCGTGACCATACAACTTCTCATGCTCTGGCCATAACGTGTAACGAGCCAATTGGTCCTCATATGGTGGGTGATTTAATTCCAATTGGGAGGAATGACTGGCTGACGGTGGCGCAGCTTCTATATCGTCCGTTTGGTCTTCTTGCTGAGGACCTTCATCGTCCATGGCTTTGTTGGATAAACCCAAGACAGGAATTTGTGCAGTCTCCGGCAAGGTCTCGTTTGAGGACTGTCGAAATCCCGCAAGCTTCTCTAACAAATCTGCAATGGAACGAGGCTCATTGAAGACTCGTAGTAGTTTTTCATCTGCTCCAGAGATGAAGCGCGCAGGCCCCAACGTCTCAACACAGTTGAGATCATAGCCGTGGATTTGAGGTCGTGAGAATTCATGCCATGAGGCCAGGCCATCACGCGACCATTTTGCGTGAAGACGAGTTGTCTGATCAGAGCTGGTAGAAAGAAGGTAGCCACCTGTAGCCTCCCAATTGATGCCATTGACAGATCGCACATGACCCGTAATACCCAGCGTCTGCACCCAGATATCTTGTTCAATATCATATTTCCAGGACCTCCAGCTACCAGTTCGTCCAAGGCTAACCACCTGCTTTCCATCCGGCGACCAAAGACCGATCCAAAAACCACCGGTGCTACCAGTAGCCGTCGTTGAACCTTTCAGTGCGCTGATGTCTCCCATACGTTCCACCGGATTCCAGACACCTGACACCGGGTCTGGTTCCCAGATAGTAAGTGAGTTGTCTGCAGAAGAAGACAAAAGTTGCTTCCGGTTCAGGTTGGGACTCCAAGAGGTCGTATATATCCAATCTTCATTACCAAAAAGAAGAGCCTCAAATGTTATAGAGTATTTCAATCCTCGGGTTTCAAACTGGTGGGCTTTGTTTGAAAGCGTCGACTCCACCCCAATAAACATGGAATCATCCTCATCCCCAATTTTAACAGAGTTCGTGATGCCTTGTTGTATCCTCCAGAGACGGATATACTTGTCTTGGCTTGCTGATGCGAGAAGAAGATCGCCCTTCTGGCTGTCAGTTGTAAAGGAGAGTGATCTTATCCATGCCTCGTGACCGGGAAGTACAGCACAAAGCTTGAGATCTGGGTCAGATGTCGAGCCGTCCGCAACATAAATCTGAATCTTGTTCATCGTGCCTGCCACTGCTAAAACCATTGCTTTCGCATCGTCGTTTGTCTGGAGATGTTTCATTGACAACGTCAACGGAAAAAACCGTGGCTTCAAGATTATAGTCTTCAACAAGTCTCCCTTCTTTGGTGCCTGTGGATTAATCCTCCATACCCTGACGGTTCCGTCTGCTCCTCCGGAGACAATAATATCTGACCCGTCAGTGACAGCGATCGCGTTGACTGATCCTTCGTGGCCTTCCAATGTATATATATGATTGAATTGGTGTGAATCTGGGCTTTCCATCTGCCATATGCGGATTGTTTGATCGACCGAACCGGTCAAGAGGAGTTTCGCTTTCGTTGACGGGCATGTGTAGAACCGAACCACACTCACTCTGTCGGTGTGTCCCACAAGCAGAGCGTAGGCCCCAGATCCGGATGCACCCTAGACAACTATTTAGTCCATGTAACATTACACTCGATATGAAATCGTTCGAAGTCCTAACGGTACCTGGGGCTCCCATAGAGCAACATTGTTGTCCGCGCCGAAGGCGAGCACGCCCGATTCAACATCCCAGTCTGCAGCTGATGGATGCCTATTGCCCCCGACACTAATGTAATTTGTTTTGATTGAAACCATGAATGTATACGTATTCAAGTCACTTTTATTAGCTGGTGCTCGTTGGCGGGGTGCTGTCGCGATATTCGCATTTTTGCGGTGGGCGGAACCGAGCCGGCAATTTTAAGCTTATCGATAACTAATTAAATAGAAGGCGAAGCGCCGATACGCATCTCTGAAAACCCCTCTGTGAGTGTTGTACCGATCTTGAATTCTATCTAGTGCTTTTAGCAATTGTTGGGACATCGCTTGGTCAAGCGTTTTACTTGTTGTCTCTGAAAAATGGCTTCAATCCAGAAAACCGATCCAAATACAATCTCGATAACTGTCGAGTTTACGTGAGAACATCCCCCGCTCGATCTCACGCACCCATACTGATCTCTCTTTGCGAGCAGAGGAGGTTTAGAGATGTTATTCTCTAATGAGAGAAAGCATCTGATTACTCTTCCTTCCCGAATAGAAGATGGGAATTCTCCGAATATCGCTTATCTACTCAAACACCTTGTCTCGGAGGTTATGAAGGATGAGAGAAAGGAACTATTCATTTTAGAAGACAACGTGTAAGCAGCTTGGAGAAATGACGATTTAGATCAATGCTGATAGAGGACTTCAGGCGACCGGGAATACTCGTTTTGATCAATGACGCCGATTGGGAGCTTGAAGGCGAAGAACTGTACGAGCTCCGCGAAGGAGACAATATCGTATTCGTGTCTACATTGCACGGGGGCTAGAGATATCCGGGGTCCTTCCCCGGGATCATATACCAATAAAAAGCAATAATAATTACACGGCCCATTGTGAATGAGATATTTTCTCTTACAAATGCCTATGTTCTTGTGCATGAGGGTAGCTCGTTCAAACGACATCCTCTACATGCTGCTGCGATATTCTTTCCGGCTCGCGAGGGGTTCGATGCCCACTCTGTGGAGTCCCTGATCCATCTACCGGACTACCCAAGCCTCCTAGCAGCGGAGTAGTCATCCCGCTTGGGGGAACAGGGATCTTGATATCCTCAGGAGAAGCAGGAATGATATCCGGGGGCAAGTCAGGTATATGGATCCTCCTTGCCTCGTTCTGGTAGCTTTCTGGGATGATCTGGAAGATCGTGAGCCAATTGTTCCATGTACATACAACAAGAATTTTGCCTACCTCGATGATTTCATTGCGGGGAAATTGGAGAAATGGAATATCCGCAGCATTGCATGCCATAAGGTAGCCATACAGAACTCTAAGAACACTTTCATGCGCGATGATGAGCAAATCATTTTGTTCTCGCTCCAGCTCCAGGATTATCGGCTCAAGTCGTACTGCGAGGTCGTGATATGACTATGAACATATTGTAAGCAGTCTCTCATATGCCGAACAGGGCATGTATCAAGGCTTACCTCAGCACGTGGGTATCGGTGATGGTACGGATCGAGTTCATGTTTTGTAACCTCATCTGGGTACTCTATCCGAATTCGCCTCTCTGACATCTTCTCGCAGACGCCAGGGTTCAGTTGGCTCATTTGAGATCTTTGTCGGACTTTGTAGCCTTTCTCATGAAGGTATTTGGCAGTCTCCACGGTTCGACGACGAGTAGATGTCCACACAGTTAAAGGCTTCAGCTCATGGTTTCTCTCACCGTGTTCAATCATTGCTTGCTTTTCGGATTCTCTGTGACGCAGAAGGCATTCTGTCATCTTTCTCGCGTAGTCTTCGCCTTTCTCGGATAACGAGACGTCCGCTTTGTAGGAGTCAGCGTCAACCGAGACACCGGCCTGATATATATTCATCAGTTTAGACGGCAACTACCGTAGTATGAATAGAGATAATTACCCGTGCAAAGTAAGTATGTCGGGACTTGATATGAAGATTGAGCAGGTAGAAGACGATGCGATTAGAGAGATAGCCGAAGCTACAATTGTTCACAATCAATTGTTCTCCAGCATTAATCATCTGAAAAATGATCAGTGACTTTCAAAAGGGGTATTTTGCTATAGGCAGACTAGACCTTGATATAATTGAGATCTTTTTCTTCCATCGTTTGAAATTGCGGGATTCTGGCGGCTATCCGTGTCAGGTAGTGTTTCACCGCATCATCTGGAGTCCAGCCGATGTACTGGGGATATCATTAGTATCATTAGACCCATGTGAGTTTTCATTCCCTTAAAATAACCTACATCCGGTGACGATATTTTCACGTTGCGGACGTTCTCTTCGATGATCCGTTCGTCATCACACCAAGACTCGATGAATAAAGTCTTGTGACAAAAACATATCAGCTTTTTTGTCATTCAATTGGAAAACTTATACATGGTTGGCTTACCTCAATGTCGTGCTTGGCGAATTCCTTTGCCAGAGAGCGGCGCCCAGATGCCAAAGGGTTGACTGCATCATATATCGCAATCTGGCCATTCTCATGGTTGAGAAACTGATAGATATCCTCACGGCATCTTTTTACAATCTTTTGTCTCAAGAGGACAGATGCCGCAGATGCTATGATGAACCGCATGAGTATACCAAGGTCCATGATAATATTGCAATGACGCAGACTTTTTCGTGGAAGGACATACCATTCACGAAGAAGTAATCATCCGGTATATCTTGACCGTACGGTATCGTCGCACGTCTATAATCCCCCAGGTGGAAAATTCTCGTCTTGACTCCAAGCCTGGAATATGTAAGAAACCCATTCATACGGTATTTTTGTGAATGTAGGTGTCAAGGCAACATACCAACGAAGGTATCGTGCCAGAGCCACCGAGATATGTCTAAGTAGATATGGCAATTATAGGTCAGTATCATCCACTGTGACAATTTCTACCAAGCCAAGAGCACCAACGTTTTGCCCCGCGCCGGCAATCCAACCGTCATAATAACGATTCTCCCTGAGTGGAAAAGCCGGCCAGATTCAGTGCTGTACAATTGAGCCGGCGCAAGCTCCGCTTTTTCAGGTAGATCATGGATTGCATCCACAAAGGTGGAAGACTTCCGGCGGAACCGTGGAGAGCTCGCAACGATATCGGCTGTTCTGAATCAATGTCAGTATAATAGCATTTCAATACACATCCGCAGCAGCAGGAGCATGGGATGATGGTCCCATAATCCGAAAACTGGTTTGAAAAGCAGAAACGCCTAGAGCATGATGCGAGACCTGCTGTATAGTATGTTTAGAGATGGACTTACAATAGAGTATCCATGATTTTTATTTCTTTTCATGCAGCAATATTCCTTAAGAGTAAGAATATAAAGCCTTCTGTTTGATTAATCACCACCAGTTTATAGGTTGTAGGTTATTAATGACGAAGGTAGAGAGAAAGGCGCCAACAAATAGATAAGATAAGGCCTAGGCGGTGGACTGAGCAAGCAGTGAAGGGCAATAACTAAACAAGACAGCATAGAAAGATGTTGTTGAGAGATATATACCTAGTAGGCTATAATAAATTATATCCCACAAACAGGACACCACGATGGCTGCAACCCACCTGCAGATCCAGCGGTAAGGCAGGAAAGTATGGCTATGCTGGCCTTCGAAGTTGGCCCAAAGTGGCTAGCGTCGACTCCCGCAGTCTACAGGCAACAAAGACGCAATTGCTTGCCAAGACCGAATAGCAACGGAAAAGCGAAAGCGACTTTTTTCGAGCTTCTGAAGCCTCCCGTCTCCACGCTGCCAACGTCCAAACCGACTCCAACAGAGAGGGCCAGAAATTACCCGCTTGATTTTGATATCATCGGCGGCGTGCTTTTTTTGTCCCAGGTGAACATTACGGGCTGGCCTCAATTGTTGTTTTCCCCTGCCTACTCCAAGTTGTGTCCAAGCCGAGCGTGACCAACGTGTTATTCAATCTGTCATCAAACATATTCCCCTCTAATTAGATACAATGTCGGATTCTCTATCACCGCTCTCGTTCCTTTCGGACAATGCTGTCGCTGCAGCTGTCAAGGATGCGTACAGTTCATTCTCCGACCGAAGGGCAGCTCTCGGCCTACCCAACCCCGGAACCGTGGACAACATTGCCAGGGAAGTGCAGAAGGATGTGCTGCTGTCCAACTTCATGTTCACAGGCTTGCGAGCGGACCTGACAAAGGTCTTCGGCATGTCTCCTCTGTTCCGCGTGTCCCATGCATTCTCCATGGGCTCGGCCGGAAATTTGCCTCCATATGCTTTCTCGGCCATGTATGGAACTCCCAAGGTAAGAAACTCCGCGCCCCCAGAGCTAGTTGTATAATTTTTCGTGGTTTCTAACTGGATGGTTTTCTTGATAGGTGTTCATGCAAGGAAATCTTGGAAGCGATGGCGCACTTGCTGCTGTCGGCAACTACCGCTGGAACAGCTCGTTGGTGACCAAGACGAACACTCAGATTATGGCAGGAGCTAGCCAAGGCTTGCTACAGATTGACAATGACTATACCGGCTCCGATTTCTCTGCCTCTCTCAAGGCGTTCAACCCATCCTTCCTCGAGGGTGGTCTTACTGGTATCTTTGTCGGTAGCTACCTCCAGTCCGTCACTCCCAGCCTGGCCCTCGGTTTCGAAGCGATCTGGCAGCGCCAGGGCCTCACCACTCGCCCCGAGACCGCTCTATCCTACTGCGCCAAGTACCGTGGAGAGGATTGGATTGCCAGCGCCCAGCTCCAGGCCCAGGGTATCTTGGCTACGTCTTACTGGAAGAAGATCTCTGAACGTGTCGAGGCTGGTGTTGATATGAACCTTCAATTCGCTCCCAACGCAGCCGCTGCCATGATGGGTGGCCCCAGCCGTGACGGAACGACCTCGATCGGTGCCAAGTATGACTTCCGTGCCTCTACCTTCCGTGCCCAGGTCGACAGTGCTGGCAAGGTCAGCTGTCTCCTTGAGAAGCGGATAGCGATGCCCATTTCCCTCACGTTCGCTGGTGAGATTGATCAGGCCAAGGTGAGCTAAATTCCCCCAATGTCTTCCGGTCCTCAACAAGCCTATGCTAACCGCAAATTTTCTGTGCCTTTAGCAAACTGCCAAACTCGGTCTTGCCGTGTCCTTGGAGATTGCCGGCGAGGAGCTGATGGAGCAGCAGGAGAAGGCTGAATCCCAAGGCATGGTTCCTCCTCCTTTCTAGGCTCTTGAGCATCTGTCACAGTGCGCCACAACAGCAGCTTGAATCAACATTTACAACGGGATTTTAAAAGCCATTGTGTGCCTCCCTTTCAAACCCCTTTGAATACCTCTTCACCCTTTGTTTTATTAGTCCCTCGGTCCTGGCATGTTTATTTGGAAACACAGTGGTGCATTATGTTCTTGTCTTGTTACCTCGGATGCGGTTTGCTGGTACAAGAGACAGTCATTCGGCGCCACGGAACCAACTCTTGTATAGATCTGTATTCTCATTTCCTTGGTTTCTTCCCTTTGGAACGCACATTTATAGGAGATCCATACCTTTTCTAGTTACTAATGTGCCATCTTTTTCTTTTGATCCATTCTTCTTCGGGATTTTAAGGGGGCGGAGCGCATAGGGAGCGCATCTTATCTCTTTCTCATCTCTTCTGCAATAGACGGGCCCATGTAGAACAGTGACGGTATTCATTTCAAAGTTGAAGCAAGGAAATATCAGTCACCATCTCGAGAATATCACTCAGAAGCAACTAGGCGAATTCGTATGATATCCCTTTCCACCCCAATGGACTTCGACGACCAATGATCATAAGGCTCTTCTCATTATTCTCTGCTGGCAGCCAGCAACAGCTCATACCGCAGGGTCTGACTACCGCACTGTATACCTGCCCTAGTACCCAGCATATCAAATCGACAGGTGATTCTTTCCCGGCTCATCTGGTCGTCTTCATCAGTGATACCGATACCGGCGACACTCGTTAGGTCAACACTCTGACTAGGTAGGGTAGGTACCCCTAGGTACTCTGCAGTCACGTACTTCGTGGCCCGTTATGACTCGACGGCGATGAAAAGTCGCCACTGTTCCCAGCACCTGCATAAGCGAGGTTGTCTTTATTCTATCACTCAGGCAAAAAAGGCGCAGGTGCGTTTACCAGGGTCACACGAGGGAAGAGGCGAGAATCCCTAATCCATGAGATAGTCTAACACCAGAGCACAGCACTCACTTGGGACTGAACAATTTACCTGTCTAAAGTAGTACTTAACTATGTAGTACGACGCACAGAGGATGCTAGAATTCGTCGGGTACCTGGTACTGCAGGTGCAGATGCCAGATACCTATAGATTAAGAGTCAGTGGTAGGTCAGTACCTACCTGGTAATATCTTTAGGTTTGCACCTCAGGTAAGGTGATTTGCCTCTGAAACCCTGGCTGATGTAGATATGATTGCTGGGGGTTAGCTTGATTGTATCAGATTATTCTATCATCTGAATTACTTGGACCCTGAACACCAAGCCATGAATAGTTATTGGTGGATCCAGACTTGAGTGAGAGAGGGAGAGAGGATATGAAGATATCTAGGTAGAACTTCAGGCGCCCAGGTAGGTAGTATATTATTCTGACCTAGATGCTACTTACTAAGTACAAAAAACGGAGTAGACATGTAGCTAGGCAGTTTCTTTCCCTATAGATATCGCCCCTCTCTATTTAGGCAGATATGTAGGTGCCTATTATGTGGTACTATGCTACAGCATACCTAACACCTTTTATGCATGTAGAATCCTGTAGACATCCTCATCTGATATCGATCTGACCACTGAGATAGATCCAAACCAGAAACAGTATCTTGATTTATATCTCTATTGAATGCTTTTTATTTTGAGACAATAATGATAACCTTACTACCTACTACGGTAGGTTAGGTAGGTACTCCTAACTGGTAGTCTGTATCCTTGCTATTTGTTTTTGTTGCGCCACCCCTTTGGGACCTTGCACTGCGGTACTACATAAACTTACAGTCACTCGAGTGTCTATCTTTCCGCTTAGAGGTTCGCGCAGATTAGCCTCAGACACCCCTGCCACGCCGTCATGATTGTATGGCTCGAAGGTGGGGGACTCGATTCTTGACACGCTTACTGTAAAGTCTGCAATTTGTGCTTTTTTTTTCTTTCCCTTTCTTCTTTTCTTTTTTTTTCCCTGATAGTGATGTGCAGCTGTGCATGGGGATTGTCGACCATACAGAGTAAGGTTGCTTGCTGCGTAACTTGGTAGGACTCCGTATTTACTTTTCTGTAAGCTCCCTGGGCAGATACTGGGTTTATGACGCATCAACCATCATCATCATCATCATCATCATCATCACCACCACCACCAGATGGTAGTCTGGCCTGGATTATCTGCAGTTAGGGTTATCTACTTGCTTACCTCAATTGAAGTGGTAACAAGTTCGTTAACTGGTTAGTTTATCAGGCACAAATGATGCTAATTTGGGGAGAAGGAGGGGGGGGGGGAGTTAAGACGCCGTCAGGTGCCTTATTTTGCGGGGTGAGGTCTAGCATAGGCCCGGTCTCGACTGGATCAAAAAAAGAGTTGACATGGTATGGTGTCTGTATCCTAGCAGATAGGATTTAAGGAGTACTCGGTTGCTTGCTATGTATGCTCTATCAAGTCAAATCATTGTTCATGCAAGTAACTAGTAGAATGTAAGGCACAGGGTAGGCAGAAACCAATTCTTTGAGTGGGTAGTTATATGATATAAAAGCCATATAATGAAGCATACTACCGAGTACCTAGGTATGAACAGGAGAAGGGCCTGAGGTACTTTAGGTAGGTAGGTACCAGGTAGTTAACTACCTAGGTAAGGTAGTTACTACTGGTAGCACGCCACTAAAAAGACATAATACCGTATGGTAAGGGCTGTAACAACCGAATACCGTAACGTTACCTATCAACCCTAGTCCGGCGCCGAGTATTTTTAATGGATCTGAATTCTTGACACGGACCAACACCACCTCCCAGTGCAGCCAATGGCACGAGGGAGCTGGCTCCAGTGGAAAATCAAAAATGGTCACCCGACAGGGCTTCAACTGGGTGAACCAGAGACACCCATGGCCAGATGAGACTCAGTACCTGGAAATTGATGGGTGTCAGCCATTGATAATGACTACTAATGCCGTGAGCAATAGTTATGTACAACTGTTGACTAATTATAGCTGTACAGGGCAGTTTACCTTGTAAGAAATCTATGGAGTAACTATAGTTAGAACGACCTAGGACCTATGTAGTAGTTTAAATACTTAGGTACATAGAGTGCTTGTGACTGACAATAACCACCGCATGAGACTATCTTACCTGAGGTACTCGGGCGTGGCAAGTTGTCAGACCCTCAGAAATACGGAGTAGCTGGAAGTGGCGCAGGGAAAGTATGCAGCGTGATGAAGACACTGCTCTGAGCTCTCTGTCATACCTTGTGGTTAGACCATGAGATTCCTCATCTTCATAGTCTTGACGAAGAGTGTAGCTACGGAGTAACTACCTAGTACTAACCTGCTAATCTAGGTACCTTCTAGGTAGGCAGGAAAACCCCCATTCAGGAGAGATGAAATGCCTACCTAAGTTTCCATGACGGACATTATTGGAAAGCAAGAGCCAGAAAGCGTGACTTGCACCCGGTCGCCGGGTCGCGACTCGCGACTTGCAAGTTGCCGGGGCCCTTTGGTCACCTGCCCTCAACCTGCCCGCTTGGAAGGTCATCTGGTCTATGAATGGGTACCTACCTACTATACTAAGTCCTAAACGGTCGGTACTAGAGTCAACCCTCTGTGGTTCCACCTGAGCCGCCGTCATCAGCGATCTGTCCCCCAAACCAAAAAAATTACCTACATATGATAGTATGGAAGGTTGCGTAGGAGGTAGGATCCCGAAAGACCACTGTGGTGTTGGCGGTTGATAAGCTGGGCTTACTGTACCTACCTAAGTCCATAGCTTGTTTAATTTTAATCCACTTGGACGTCAACTCTATGGAATAAGGCAGTGTCCCCCTGCCGGTGTCACTACCATATTTCTCCCAAGCGGGAGGTTCATCATCCATACCTACGGTAGTTGGTACCTTAGTTTACGGAGTACCTTACCTAACTACTAGGAGGTACCTACCTAACTACCTGTTAGTTAGTACCTAGTAGTTACCTAGGTAGGTACTTTGGTACTTGTGGGTTACATACGGTATTGTAACAAACCGTACATACACCCCTCTTCAGTTCGCCATACAGTGCAAATACCAACTTCTCCTCTAAAATCCTGTTGTGTACAGAGGGAGAATGGAGAGTTAGGCTGGCAAGGTAAATGCACTGAATAATGCCCATTATTGAGCTTGGGCCCAGATTCCTGTAGGAAGAGCGAGACGGGGTGCCGGCTATCCTATGCTAGACGCCAAAAGCAGTGGTTGTTCCCGCCGTGATGTTGAATCCATAGTTGGTTGATGGAACTTCAGCATCCTTTTTTCTATAGTCATACTCCCTCCGTACTCCGTAGCAGGTCCTGGCCTTCTCTCCACAAGCAAGCTTACCAGCCCTGGGCACTCCCGCCCCCCTCCCAAAAAACATTGCTTCCTACTCGCCCACACCAGTGCCTCTAACCCAGATCACCTGGGGACTGTCCTGGATTCGAACTTCTTTTTAACGCCCATTTAATTTCCTCTTTTTTAAAAAAAAAATTAAAGGGAAAATTCATTGCTCCATCACTTTGGCGACGTCTTGTCATCGAAAAAGTCTAGCTCTACAGAGTGTCCCCCTGTTTTCCTTTCTCTTGCCCTCTTCTCCCGGCGCTTCTTTCTCCCGTGTTCCTGCAGCCCTTCGCGTGTTCGGGCTTCGTCGCTCCCATCAACGTCACCTGCTCCCTCTTCTCTTCCCGTTAACTCCCTCTCCTCCCTGTCTTGGTTTCGGTGAACTGAATCGCTCTCCCACCACAACGCAACCATCTCCAAAGGCCTCCGCCACTGCAATTCATTCACTTCCTCAAGCAGTGACGTCTTCCCGTATCCCTAGCATTGTTTCGCCGGGTTCCACCAACTCCTTCTCAACGTCGTTTGCTAAGCCTGGAATCGCCTGGAGCACTTTCCACCTCGTGATCTCGTGGCTGAACGGCTTGGCACTCACCTCCTGTCAACTGCCTTCGCGCCCTCAAAAATCCGACTCTTCTTCTTCTTCACGACCCTTCCCGTGGGAAACGGCTGTTCTTGGATTGCTTTATCTTGCTCGACCATACCCACGTCCGATCCTCCGCCGATTAGCCAAATCCCTCCGCCCCTCTCTTCCCTTCTCTCCCTCCATCACTCCCTTCCTCTACACTCCAACTATTCCACTAGCCACAATCCGTCCAGAAACGGGTTCAACAGCTGGTATTCGTGTTTCCCTATAACTTCAACCTCCTGAATCACTATTTTTTTTTTTTTTTTCGCAAATCGTCCTAGCGCCGCCGCGTCTTCTCTCGCACTTCAATTTGCATGATGTCACAGAATAAACCAGGGGTATTCTCAAGTTTGCGCATGGGTGGTAAGGAACCGCAGCATTCGATCTAGTTGCCTTTTCTTTCCCCATTTGACCTCTTTTCCCGCTTCCCTGTGGGACGTTCCGCTAATCTGTTGGTATTTGGCCGAAACAGAAGTCGTTCGCGAGAAAGTCCAAGATGGACTGACTGGAGAGACTCGAGAAATCCAATATACCCAGTGCAAGATCGTCGGCAATGGCTCGTTTGGTGTCGTATTCCAGACCAAGATGGCCCCTAGTGGGGAAGACGCTGCAATCAAGCGAGTTCTGCAGGATAAACGTTTCAAGGTACAGCCCGGACCACCTTGATCGCTAATGTTCCCACTCGATTAATCTCTTTCCAGAACCGCGAACTCCAGATTATGCGCATTGTCCGCCATCCGAACGTTGTAGAGCTCAAGGCCTTTTACTACTCTAATGGTGAAAGAGTATGTGTTCTAACCTCTTCCATCTAAACTGATCTTCCGCAGAATCGACATCGTCTAACTCCTTTCTTTTTGAATGAATAGAAAGATGAGGTTTATCTCAATCTCATTCTGGAATATGTCCCCGAGACGGTTTACAGAGCATCCCGCTATTTCAACAAACTCAAGACCACCATGCCAATGCTTGAGGTGAAGCTCTACATCTATCAGCTCTTTCGCTCCCTGGCCTATATCCATTCCCAAGGAATCTGCCATCGTGACATCAAGCCGCAAAACCTTTTGCTTGATCCCAGCACCGGTATTCTGAAACTCTGTGATTTCGGTTCGGCCAAGATTCTCGTCGAGAATGAGCCAAATGTGTCTTACATTTGCTCCCGCTACTACCGCGCACCGGAGCTGATTTTCGGTGCCACCAACTATACCACCAAGATTGGTAAATCACTCCCTGGCCCGGACTGGAGCCTCTGCCCCTTTTTTCTTTTTTTTTCTTTGGGGATAACTAACGTGCCTTAGATGTCTGGTCCACCGGTTGCGTGATGGCCGAACTAATGCTGGGACAACCACTCTTCCCTGGCGAGTCCGGAATCGATCAGCTAGTGGAAATCATCAAGGTTCTGGGTACTCCGACCCGTGAGCAGATTCGGACAATGAATCCCAACTATATGGAACACAAGTTTCCTCAAATCAAGCCACATCCGTTCAACAAGGTATGTTACTCGTTGGCGATTCCACAGTGGTAGAATGTACTAAATACCATGCTCAGGTCTTCCGTCGAGCCCCGCACGAAGCCATTGACTTGATTTCCGCTCTTGTTGAATACACACCGACACAACGTCTCACTGCCATTGAAGCAATGTGCCACCCCTTTTTTGATGAGCTCAGAGATCCCAACACTCGGTTACCCGATTCCCGCCATCCTAACAATCCCCCGAAGGATCTTCCCAATCTCTTCGATTTCAGCCGACACGGTATTTCTCATCTTGGCGATAGCCTCTTCATTTAAAATTTTATTTTTGAAAAAAAATACGTGACTAACATTTTTCTGGTAGAACTCTCGATTGCGCCCGCGATGAACAGCCGGCTGATTCCTCCTCATGCACGGAAAGCCCTCGAAGCTCGCGGCCTTGACATCGAAAACTTCGTCCCTCTCACGAAGGACGAAATGATGGCACGCCTTGACTGAGTTAAGGTCTGCCGTTTTGACAGATGCCCGCGACTCTATGGTTGTCCTTTTCGACACCATAGCACGGATATCTGACGATCTTTTTTTTCGGACGAGTTTCCTTTGTGCACTGGGCAGTCTTCGAACTGAAGAGAAAGATTACAGGTTGTTAGATCTCGCCTACCGGCGAGGCGTTGGGAGCTTGGTTTTCCTCTGCACGTTAAAGAGGAAGGGGGGGGATTGAGAGGAAAAGTTTATCTATGTCATAACAGGGGCAAGAAAAATATTCTTTTTCTTTTATGAGGGTGATATATGACAGTTTCACGCATGGGGGCTGGAATGTCATAGCCTGGAGTCATGGAGATGCCTGAGACAGCTCTAGGAAGGGAAAAGTGATACCCTTTCTGTATGAGTCTGCCGTCAGGAATTTGAGCCTGGATAGCTTCACATCTCGAATGAAGGGGGGTCATGGAAGGAATATACGGCAAGCTGGTGGGAAAAGGATTCGGGAAATGCTCGTCCCATGGGTTTGTCCGGACGAGTTGTTGACGATCTCAAATTGGATGCACACAGGGTTCGAGTGTGCTTGGAATATAGGTGTTGGTGGTTCATCCCTCATGTAGCGCGAAACGCACATCCCCCTTGTTTCTCATTTTATTCACTCTTCTTTTTTTTTACCCTTCTTCACCTAAATGATTTACCTTGACCTTCTTCTCTCGTTCTTCTGTTGTCTTACATCTCCAAATCGCCTGAAGCGCTTCGACCCCACCGCTATTGTCTAATTTGGGTTCGATCACTACTTCACTTCATCGACATGACCGACGAATGCTGAAGCTACACGTCTTTTGTTTTCCAGAGCAGACAGACGACGTAATCTGTTTCCCCCCCTGTTTTTTTGCAGATCTAGAAATTTCCATGGCTCAACTAGAGTTGATTCACTGCTACCTATTACACCGTGTAGTCAGTATGAACTATGTTAAGCCTTGCCGTATCTCATGCACCATCGGCATCTTCCATACCATATAAATTTCGGTATCTAAGTAGGTTGTTGGTGGGCTCTCTATGGGCGGATCGAAAGCAACCCAGCTATCCATAACTATCCAAACCCCACGGGCGCCAATCAAATATCACTTATACTCCTTAATCAATGTTAATATGCACATGATATGTAATAGGTAGTTCTGCCTCCTGCTGTCTCTCTGATCGATATGAAAAAAGCTGTCAGGTTGATGACGGGTAGTTTCATGTTTCCTAAGATGCCAGCCGTCACTTTCTTGTCTATTAACATCTTCTTGATATTCTTGGCTGATGGTCTTTTTTTTCAAGCCAATTCTTAATCAAACCAGATACAATCTATGTACTTTCTATTGTCAATGCTTAGTTACTCTGTAGTTGCAGAGCGTCTCGGAATGGATGATCTTATTATCCGAGGGTTGTAGATCACTGGTGTTTAGGAGCGATCCAGTGATGCATGTTCCGCAGAGCTCTAACTTACTAGCTGCTTCTCTTTGCTTGTTGGCCCGGTGGATCCAACCTTCTGGACAGCTAGAAGACCATCGCAACCATTTAATTGTTCCCACGCGACAAACCTACGGTCCATTTCTTTTGAAAAAAAAAGAAAGAAACCACGAAGGGTTCCAGGCTGCAAATGGCCGACTTTGAACGTCGCTCTAATGGTCCTAGGGGCGGCGGAGGGGTGCGCAAGAAACGTTACAGAGGTTTGATTGATCCCAGCCTTTTTTCCCCCTTATACAGAAGTTTCGTGTTGGTGACTGGTCGGATTGAATTCCAGATGACGATGACTTCGATCGTCGCCCGCAGAGACGTCGGTACGAGGAACCCTTGGTGGTGAAGGTTCGGAGACAGCTGCTCACGATTGCTGAGTCGGTAAGCACATTTGGTTCTTTTGGGGGGGGGGAGGTGGTAGAAAAGGGGGACCTATTTAACTTGGTATTTGACAGGCTGCCCGTCGGCCGGAGGATGATGCCAAAAGCATCGCGAAGACGGTTGCCGAACACTACGACGACGAGGAGATCAAAAAGACATTTATCGACTTGACGCTTGACCTGTACGTTTTAACTCTTGGTTACACTTATATTCAAGATACTGGGTTGATAACGCTCTCTTTATAGCATCGTCGAGCAGCCGCTGAAGATCCCTTTCCTCGCGACGATTGCCCTGGTCGCCAATGGCTACAAACCCGAGCTAGTCGCCGAATTGCTCAAAGAGACGGGCGAGAATCTGCAGCGGTACATCGATCTCGGGGGCTGGCGCGAGGTGAAGCTCCTTCTGCGGTTCCTGGGTTGTTTACAATCCATTTTCGAGGGCGAGGGCGTCTTCGCCATCTTGGAGGAGCTCTTTGCGCGTGCTGTCGATCTTCAGACCACCTCTTCCGAGGATGTAAGTTTGCAATACTGACCATGAGTCTGAAAATAGCTGACGGTTGGGGGGGTTTTTCTCTTAGTTACTTGGTCTCGAATTGGTGAAAGTTATCCTTTTCACCATCCCCTATATCATGGCTTCTTCCGTGACCGGCTTTGAACCCCAAGCCTCCGCTCTCCTAGAGAAGACCGACATCATCGCTTCAACACCCCACACCCTAGTTGATCTGGTGAATCCCTTTGCCATCAAGAATAGCAGCGAACAGACTGTTGAAAGTGTGATCGGCTTGCTGCAAAGGCAGCTTCAGGATGAATCCACTCGCGGCTGGGAACTCACATGCATTCCTCGTCCTTGGAAAGTTATGCAAGAGGAAACGGCGGCTGACGAGCCTGCTCCGGCAGGCCCAGGGCCAAAATATTCCTTTCCTGACATCAAAGTCCCGAGTCCTGTGCCAAATGGACCTCGAGCACTCTTCCCGGAAGTCTACCTTTCGGTTTATGCCAACCAGGAGATGGAGACAGTTCCTCCAACGTCCGACATCTCGTCATCTCTGCTCAGGGATGCTCTAGTTGACACGATTAATATTCTTGATTACAATCGTATCGCTGCAGCCAAGTTCCTGATCGATGTTGATTGCTACTTTTCGCATAATATCTTTGTCAAACGTGCCACGCCTTTTGACAAATTGCGTGACATTGCTGGTGATCGTTCAACGTGGAAACCCGAAGATGTGGCTGTGGACGCTGTCTTTTCCCAGTTGTTCCAGCTCCCTACACCCCATCACAAGCTTGTTTATCATCACTCGGTTCTTACTGAATGCTGTAAGATCGCACCAGCAGCAATTGCCCCTAGCTTGGGCCGCGCCATCCGTTTCCTGTATGGTAGTCTCGAGACGATCGATCTGGATTTGGGCCATCGGTTTTTGGATTGGTTTGCTCACCATCTGAGCAACTTTGGCTTCACCTGGAAATGGAGTGAATGGTGCGTTTTTTTTATTTGGCAGGTGATTCAGGGAGTCTCGAGAACTAACCACTGCGCAGGATCGGCGATCTTGATCTGCCAGAGGTGCATCCGAAGATGGCTTTCATCATTGGGGCGCTTGACAAGGAGATTCGTCTGAGCTTCGCTCAACGTATCAGAGGGACTCTGCCGGATCCTTACCACCATTTAATCACAGAAGGCAAGGAAAAGGACACACCTGACTTCAAATACGCTTCTGATGGTGAGTTGTCATTCTTTTTCATGGCCTGAATCACTAAAAAACTAACGTCCATCAGCTACGCCTTACTCGAAGGAAGGAAAAGAAATCATGCAATTGATTCGTAAGAAAGCAATTGATGAGGAGATACAGCCGTTGATCGATGCCATCGAGGAGCAGGCGAAGAGCTTGGGTGTTGAAGACCCGATGCTGCCTTCCACAGACGCCTTTGTGACATCTATCTGCTTTGTGGGGTCTAAATCGCTTTCCCACGTCTTGTCGTGCATTGAGCGGAACAAGGAACGATTGCTCGCCATTGGACCTAAGTCTGCCAGTGCTCGCCGCCAAATCATCACCTCAACCATGGAGTACTGGGCGGATCAACCGGGCATTGCGATCAACATCATCGACAAGTTGCTGAACTACACCATCCTCACACCGCTCTCGGTGATCGAATGGGCTCTCATCGACAATTTGGCGGCTGGTACAATTCTCGCCAAGACGCACATTTACGAGATGGTCTCTGCCACCGTCGGCAAGGTGACCAACCGACTGCGCCAGATCGTCGCCGCGCGCACACAGCCGGGCCTGTACGAGCCTCAGCTGAGCGTTCTGAATGAGACCCTCACGCGGGAACAGGCCGACATGCGGAGTCTCTTCAAGCTAATCGAGGACACCATCATCTCCGTCGCCAGCGGCAGCAACGACGGGATGATGGAGAGAGGGGACAGTAGTGGCACCCTGCCCGAAGACGAAGTCATCCGCCAGTGGGGGCAGCGCTGGCTCCGCACCTTCAGACGCAAAGCCGCCGTCGAGGAGTCCTTTATCGCCGAGGCCATGGCGACGGCGGCCCCCATCGGCACCATGGCCCCTGCCGTGTCGGAGGACCCGTCCGCCTCAACAACAACAATGACAGATGCCCCTGACGCACCGGCCGATGGAGATCTCGATGTTGCTGACGTCGATGGCACCCTTTGATAATTGGCCTGACGAAATCACTGTGGAGCCATGCCTTTGTATCTTCAAAAGAAAATCTTCTTGTCTGTCTGTATACTGAGTCAAAACCCGTGTCAAATTTATATGCTATCTCATTTCATGTATCCATAGCCATCAAAACAAAGAGCGATCCATTTAAAGGTTTTTTGCTTTCTATTCTATTCTATGAGCGTGTATGCGCAAAATATACTCTGTACAGGTCCTGGAACAGGGCTTGCATTCAGCCTGTAAGAAAGATGTTATTATATACAAATAGGGCACAAAGGCGACAGGATTCTTCAACAGTCAATGACTTGACTGTTCAACAGAGCAGGAAAAGTAATGGTACAAAAAAAAATCAAGAGTGCTGATTAGTAAAACTAAGTATAGTGGGCGGTATTACAAGAATGATATTCAAGGGTAAGGGGGAAGAAAAAGCATAACCTCATCAAGTCACACGTAAGAAGCAGCAGCAGCAGCAGCAGCCAAGAGTCCCAACGCCACTTTGGAATACTGCGCAAAAGGATACGTGATAGTTGATGCGGCGACATGCCGGGATCCTCAGGATCCCTTGTGTGGAAGGCATTGAAACCTGGTCAAAAGCAGAAACATTCGCAGAACATTCGTCCTGACCGAGGAAAAGACAATGAAACTTCGAAACGTTTCTCGGTTTTCATCTTTTTTTCTGGCAAAATGAAATTGCCGGATCTCTCCTTATCCATCATTTCTTCGTTATTTGTACTGGAAGTCATACTCTCGCTGACATCCTGTTCTTATTTATAGGTTCTTCTTCGCATCCTTTTCAAGATAAGTCCGGTCATCTTTGCCTTCGACGTCCTTGAGGATGGTCTCCATCTCCTTGGACTGTCTTTCCCACTCCTGCTTGCCCATCTTGGTCTCGCGACGGAACAGTTCCTCGTTTGGCTTGCGATAACTGCCACCGAGGCGGTCCCAAAGGGTAGTGAACTGGCCATAGTTGTAGTTGAAATAGAGATGGTGCATTGTGTGGCACGCGGCGCCGTTGATCACAGGGCTGTTGGCAACGTATTCTCCATCGTGGATCAGAACCGTCCAGAGATTGATGAACCCGAACAGGAAAACATAGGCTAGCTTCTGGAGAGGGAAGATGAAGGGGAAGACGTGATATGGGACACTCTGCGACCACCCGTCCAGGGGGTGGAAGGCGTGCGACGCGAAAGGACTCGGCATGATCCACTTGTGGTGAGGTTTGTGCAGGTGCTTGTAAATTCTGGGGTGATGCAGGCCTCGGTGAATCCAGTAGATGAAGAAGTCGGTGAAGAGGATGAAAAGAGGGAATTGCAGGATGCTGTAATAGGCAAAGGGCTCCTCCGCAACCGTATCATAGAGTTTGGCGTAGCCTCGAACTTCGGCGACCAGGAAAGGTGCAGTCAACAGGGACATGATGGGCATCGACTGCATGGTCTGGGTAATTTCCATTGGAATCTGGTTCTTCAGGTATTTGGGGTGATTCACTGTCGTCTTGTCCCAGATGAAGATGTAGGAGAGGGTGGCGCAAATAAAGTAGACGATGATACCAAAGATCCTGCAGAAACACAGAATGGTTAGTCACAATGGCTTATTACAGACTGAGAATGTTAAAATAACATACCAGACAATCAGGAAGAAGCTTAAGAACTGGCGATAGATGTTGTTGCGGGGCCAAGCGCTCATGTACGCATATTGACTTGGTTCCAGCGAGAACAGCGCGGTAGCCGGCTCATAGACGAAGGGAGACGAGGCGCCAAACAGGGCTAAAGTGCTGTTGCTGAGGTTCACCAGTCCAGGGGATGATACTGATGACTGAAGAGAGAGTGGGAGTAGTGTAGAGTAGAGGCGATCCCCTAGAAAGGTATCCCAGATTTCCAAGACAATATCCATGGTGTTGCGATGCGCACGGCAAAGAATGAATCAATTGCAGGTAGAGAAGAGGGAAAGACGATGCTTTTATGACGCTCTCACTCAGGACATACACCGAGGAGTCGAAGACTAGGGATGGTTGAACAGGAAAAACAAACACCGTGGTCGTACCTGGGATTTAATAATAATTAGGGAATAATTCTGGAACCAGAATCACACCAGGGCGGAAGGACGGAATAACCACAGCCGCCCCCGTTGAGCGTGGGCCGAGTGGGATCATTGGTCTACGGTGAACCATACAGACAACCTATTGCACATCATAACCCTTTTTCCCTTCATCTTCCAATTGATAGGAGCTAGAGTTTAAAGCTGACTAACCATAAGACAGAGTTCTTCTCTTATTCTTTCTGGTCAGTTTGTGCCCTTGATCGACCCGCGCAGGCCTCCTTCCTTATGTAACCTGCCATAGTTCTCTACTCCTGAGCGGCTCGCTGGCTTGGCGGCTAGCCGGCTCCTCCCATGGGTCACATGACTCGGACCCGCTTAGCGGCTAGCCTTTAGCCTTGCACTGTTACTCCGTAGTCTGTTACTGTTGCAGTGTGCAACCTTTGAGGTTCCACCGTAACCGCTTAGCGCTTGTCGCCTATCGCCGTCTGTGCCTTGGGACTTCTTGCGCCAACTTCAGCCGCCGTCCTCCCCCAGCCCTGAGCTCCATACCCAGTGCGTAGCAGTTCAACAAGCCTGCTCTACTCGAAAATACTCCGTACTGTGGCCCTCCTGCAACACCTTGGCTCGATCGACCGTCCTTTTTCAACGTAAGTATTGGGCTATTGGGCTACTTGACAGACTGTGCTCAACCTGTCTTCTACTACTCCACCATTCTACTCCCTCCCCACCCCTCTTCTTCACTTCTCTTGGTCAGCCTTTTCCGTCTCAGTCAATCTTCTCTCTCGGCGTCCAGCGTCCAGCGACCCCAAGAATTGGGGTCGGTCTTTGCTCTCATGCGCGCGCATTGCATGACTGACTGATATATATAGAGATCTGTGAACAAGCTCTGTCACCGCTTGCTCTCCTCGATCTAGGCTGCTGTTCGTCACGAGCCGTCGCCTGTGTCCTAACCGGAGTTCCGGTCGCAGAACACGTCCCTGGAGGCAAGCCTTCTAAAATAAGGCAACTACGAGATATAAAGCACCATGTACAATACACATCGCGGGATGGTTCCCGCTCCCAACTCTCGCTTGACAGAGTTGCTGGACCAATTGCGACAGGAGTTCGAGAACCAGTCTAGAAGCACCGGCGAGTTTGAGCATCAGTGTGCGTTGCTCTTGTCACCCAGTTATCGCAACCGAGCTTGATCTTTTTGAGCGATTTAGCTATCACTACAGGAAAGCTAACTGTGCTACAGTGACCGGGCAACTTCAGGAGATGGAAATGATTCGGCAGAAGGTTTATCAGCTTGAACAGGCCCAGATTAAGATGAAGCAGGAGTAGGTGCTTTCAATCAATGCTCTGGAATTTATCGAGATCTTCGGTGACTAATTGGCTTTTCTCCCTCTGTGATCAACAGCTATGAGGCTGAGATTAGAATGCTGCGGCATGAGCTTGAATCACGAGGCGTTCAGCCTATCTCGTCTCACATCGGTGGCCCTGCGCAACATACAGGTCCTTCACAGGCACCTCCGCCCACCCTGGGTCACGGTCCTAGCAACTTGTTCGGTGGAATTATGACCAATCCAGGAGGTAGTGGCCCCGGCCTTGCCCCTCCCCCTCCCCAGGATCAGCAGCCTCCGCAGCATACACTCCAGCAGCCTGCACCTGCTGCTCAGCAAGGAGCGCCGCAACCACCGCAGAGCTCCTTTGGAGGTTATCAGCCCGGCACTGCTGTGAACAGTACGTCTGGCTTCTAGGTTCAAACAGTTCAGTCAAGGCTAACCACGGGAATCTCTTGCCCGTTCACAGGTTATGGACCGCCGCCGCCGCCAACCGCCTCCCCTGGCCCTGGCAAGGGTCGCCCCAGGGCCCCTCCTGGCCCTGCAACCCCCCAACAAACCCACAATCTCGCCTATCCCACCGACCCGAGAGCATCTCCTCAGATTGCCCGCCCGACGCCTCCCAACCCGGCCCTTGTTCGCGAGCGCCCTGGGAATATGCTCGCAAACTGGAACCCCGAAGACCTGCCGCCATCGCAGAAGCGCGAGGGTTCTGACTGGTATGCTGTCTTCAACCCTGAAGTTCAGCGAGTGCTCGATGTGGATCTGGTCCACCATCTCATGCACGACAGCGTTGTCTGCTGTGTGCGCTTCAGTCGTGACGGCAAGTACCTTGCGACCGGTTGCAACCGTTCCGCTCAGATCTTCGACGTGAATACCGGTCACATCGTTGCCACTCTTCAAGACGAGAGCGTTGACAAAGACGGCGACCTTTACATCCGCAGTGTCTGCTTCAGTCCGGATGGAAAGTATCTGGCTACTGGTGCCGAGGATAAACAAATCAGGGTACGTTGGGGTTTTCTGGCTTTTCAAACCGAGAGACTAGATAGTATTGACTTTTGTTCTTGCTGTAGGTTTGGGATATTGCTGCTCGATCCATTAAACACGTCTTCAGTGGTCACGAGCAAGATATTTACTCTCTTGATTTTGCTGGCAATGGACGCTATATCGCTTCTGGAAGTGGTGATAAGACCGTCCGTCTTTGGGATGTTCTCGATGGCAAGATGGTGTACACACTCAGCATCGAAGACGGTGTGACCACCGTTGCCATGTCGCCGGACGGCCATTATGTTGCTGCCGGTTCTTTGGATAAGAGCGTTCGCGTCTGGGACACTACCACCGGTTATCTTGTGGAGCGCCTGGAGAATCCCGATGGTCACAAGGATAGCGTATACTCTGTCGCTTTTGCGCCCAATGGTCGTGACCTTGTCAGCGGCAGTCTCGACAAGACCATCAAGCTCTGGGAGCTCACTGCTCCCCGTGGCCTCCCTCCGGGAAACGCTGTCAAGGGCGGCAAGTGTGTCAGGACCTTTGAGGGCCACAAGGTGAGCCAGATAATGTATGTCCAGATTTTACAAACAATGACTAATTCCTCATATGTAGGACTTTGTTCTCAGCGTCTGTCTGACCCCCGATGGACAGTGGGTCATGAGTGGTTCCAAGGACAGAGGCGTTCAGTTCTGGGACCCTGTCACCGGCAATGCGCAGATGATGCTTCAAGGCCACAAGAACTCTGGTAAGAAAAGATCTGTACGTTTGTATTGGAGTGAGCGCTTTTCTAATGCAGAATTCCAGTCATTTCGGTCGCCCCCAGCCCTATGGGCCAGCTGTTCGCCACCGGAAGTGGTGATATGCGCGCAAGAATCTGGAAGTGAGTATTCCTTGTGGCTCTCAAGAGTTTCATTTGAACAGATGCTAACTATAATGCTTTATAGATACTCGACCTATACCGGACGGTAATGTACTTGGTTCTAGGAAGTTTCGGCGCAAACGTGAATTTTGTTTTGTTCACCCCGTAATGGCTGGTTCGAGTTGGCTCTAAGCTTGTTATGTATTTCAACGTCTTCCAAGGCTTCATCAAATGCAGTATTGGGGTTTTTTTTCCACTCTTCTTTTTGATCTTGGATTGCGAAGAGTCTCAAAATGAATGATGCATTGCTGGTTCTGGTAAGGCCGCGTGGGTGTTTTTCTTCGACTAGGTTACTATGACAGACCTAAAACAATACAGTGAGCTCAAGTTTGATGTCCAAATCCAAACCAATCTACGCAAGATATGGTATTCCAGATGCTCAACTCCTCCACGCGCAGGACGGGGAGGAACGGGGGGGGGGGGGGGGTTGACGCGCATTCAAGTGATGGATTGTTCTGCGGGTTGATGACGTATTGAAGAGGTACAACTTGTCGTAGGTGACTCGATGTTAGAGCCCAGAGCCCACTTGGTGCTCCGTACGGAGTACTCCGTAGTCCATAGGTGTTGCAAAGCAAAGCTGATCATTTTAGTTCATCTACCCCCTTTTTTTTTCTTTTTTTTCCCTAACAGCAATCTAATCCGTGCCTGATGTCCGTACATCAGTGCGATCCACACAGCATAGTACATACTCCGTATGGTGGAGGCGAGGACGGACTATAAAAGACTACGAAGGGACCTCCTTCCTACTTGGGTAGGTGTTGGATAAGTGGTCGAGGAGGAGGACTTAATAGACAAACTATTTGTTATTTATTTATGATTCATGTACGAAGTAAAAACAAGGCATCAAAATTGCTCTCGGAGAATAGCTAGCGTACGTAGTACGTACCCCCCCCCCCTATTCCTGTCACCTCGATTCTTATTTGTATGGCGCACATATAACTCACTAGTTAGGTGGTTAGCGAGTCAATCGATCTGAATGACAGATCAGCCGCAGTCTGGGTCCTGCTTTTGCATTGGTACAGTCATAAATCAATAATGCGATCGATCTATCGGCCTACGCCGTAGATGACAAACTGGCTATCACTATTACTTATAGGACTCCGTAATGCAAATTTGTCAAGCTTGAACGCAGTGTGACTAGGTAGATAGTAGGTACATTGACAAATTGGAGAGGTTGGCGTGGCCTATAGGTAAAAATACCGATTTACTACGTATACCGTATGGATACAGACATACGGCGTATTACGTATTGTGCTTGCCGTACCCAAATAATTACAAGCCCTGTCGATCTCGAGGCCAAAATAACGTGGCTTTCCCCATGGATCAGTCTGCTTTTCCCTTTTTTTTTCGGTGCCATTGGCGCTTAAGGGGAATTTTCTTACTGGGTATGTTGATCAGCAATCCCACTCCAAACCTGGACCAGGCCTGTTAGATTTCCGAGGACCCGAGCTACGATCGCTCTCCACCACTGCCCACGGAGTACTCCGTTGGGTTAGGTAGGAAAACCTTGCTCGCAGCCTTGTTGAGCAGTGTAACTAGTTTACCCACTAGTTACCTAGGTAGTTGAAAGAGTCTCTGTTTTTTCTTACCATTACCGAGTAGGTACCTAGGTAGGTGTGTTTGAATCCTGCCCTCGGACATCAGCGATGGGTGATTAACTCCTCCGTAAGGTAATGAATTGTCAACTAAAAGGCAATTGATTGCCATACATACACGTGGTATGACAGGATTAGGCATTGGCTAACCTAATCAATTAACGTGATGCTGTCAATAGGTAATAATGATCTCAAATCAAAGTAACGGAGGACTCCGTCCTCCGTGCCTTAGGTATACTCCGTACTATGTAGGTAGTATGTATCTTAATACATGAACAGGAAGAAACTAGAGCTCTCCAGTGTGGCCACCGACCTCCAAACTTCGCCTCCCCCCCCCCTCCAGCCCTGACAAATGCTCATTTGGAAAATTGTGATCGATCACCCATCGAGAAGTCGTCCAAGCCCCGTGGGCGTATGAATACGCGTCGGACGGAGACCTCTATACGGATACATCTTCCGGATACATCTTCCGGATGATAATCAGTCACTCTGTCTGGGTGTTCACAGTTCAGTAGTATAGTTACTCCGGAGTAGATGGGATTGTAGAGCACAGTCAGCGATGGCTAGCCTATTCAGTCATGTCCTGTCCTGACAGCGTCGTTTCAGGGGTTCTCTCCATGGAGATACCTTCCTCTTCAAACTCTGAGATTATAGGCATGTCTTGCAGCGGCGTCGTCGCCAATCGCGGATGTTGGAGGGATTGTTCCCCTCTGCCGCAAAATGCCACTATTGGTCGCCGCGCTTTTGTTCGGAGGGGTGGGGGTCGGCGTGGTGTTACGGAGTCCTCTGTAGGATGGGATAGAGACTTGTTCTGCACTATTCTTTCAGCCCGTCGTCGGTCGTCCAATTAGTGTGGATGGTGGTGTGCATACGAGTCGGGCGCTGAAATAGTGTCTGTACGGAGTGTTACAGAGAGGTACGGAGTACAGAGTTAGTAGGTACTTTGTATCGTCACACAGTCACATTTATCACCATCACAAATGATTACTCCGTATTCTGCCAATACATACTCTGTAAAACAGGGTTTCCTTGAGCCAGGGAGGAAAAATCATGATACATTCTACTATTTAGTATTTGATCGCCCACCACGGACCGTACCCTAATTACTACGTTGCCCTTTCTATGCCGTGGGTGTGTCATCTACCCGTCAGCCGCAAATGCTGGACCCATACCCGAACAGCAACGCTGATCAAGCCCAAATTATTGCCCTTTCTCCCAGTCTCCACTGCTGAGCAGTGCCGTATATGATCCATACACAGCTTGCATAAAGCGACCTAGCCCCCTTCGGAGTGCTCGGCCGTTCTGCATTGATTGTCCTGCAGCCAGTCTGGACCTATCCATCCTCTCCGAAATGCATGCTTGGATCCGAAACAGCTGATGCAAATCATCCCCACTGTGTTGGTTCTGGATCAGCAGATCTCGAGATACCTTCCCAATCTCGGTGACGTTTCGAGGTTATCAGTCCGCGGACGCAGCGGCTGTCAAACCCATGGTCTTCTCCCGCTGGAACGGGCTTGCGTTGACGTTGCGGAGCAATCTATAGGGTTTTTTACCCTCTCCCTTTTCTTTTCCCGTATCTTCAATCTATAGATGGCTACCTTTTGTCTCGAAGAAAACGTGGTAGTGGCCATGGTGATGGCTATGACAATAATATTCCGTAAGAGAGACAACGGGGATCTACACTTCGACGATCAGGTTTGGCGCCAGGGCAAGTTATCTTCCCTCACGGTGGACGAGTCGTACTTCGGCGGTCGAGATTTCACCGCTGGTGCCTGCATGGTCAGCCGGGATATCCTGGTTTAGTTGTCTTTAACGAAGTAATACACTAGTCATAACTATGACAGGGTTGATTGACCTTGAGAACTACACCCTTTTAATAGCTATACCAAGTATATGGTAATATAAGTATATTTATTGTGATGATGATGATTATGATGAAAATCAAAGAGGATCATGGCAATGGCAAATGATACGTTTTCATTCTCGAAGCTGAAGTAGCTTGACTGAGTCAGCCTCAATTGGAGCTGAATGGGCGTGGGTGGACATTGACATTCATAATTTGGTCAGCTGACGGTACGAGTACCTTACTACGGAGTACATACTGAGCAGTAAGGTGGTAGGAAGGTACCTTCGCACTCAACAGATTCTTCTGTTGTGGTGGCTGATCTGCAATCAAGCAAGAAGTCAACCCTGTATCAACTCCGTATGTACCGGTGAGATCATTCCTTCATAGCGAGATCATTCAAAAGTCCCGTCCCTAACTAGACCCAGGTGATCGGGATGTCATAATCCTTCCACGATTGGCCTTTGGACGTATTCCATCCTTCGTCGTTGGGTAAGATAGGCGGTAAGACTCCAGAGTACTCCGTACCTAGCAACCTACCTGCTTAGTTAACTGACTTGGTAACTACCTGCAACCTACACAGGGAGGTACTCTGTAGGCATGGAGTAGTTAGTTATATAACTAGTTAGTTATGAGGTTAGGTACGTAAGGTACCTACCTAGGTAATGATAGTCGGGAACCATATCGGTACTGTATGGTATCGTATTGTCATGTAATTTCCTGCTGGACGTCATCGTCTTAGGCCGAGATCTTCGAGCAAGCCAACTGACCAGAATTCTCTTCCTTCGCTCTAACTTCGTCTAGGTTGTTTTTTTTTTTTTTTTGTTAACCGCGCCTGTCCGGGAGTTATTCAGTATGGAATACTCCAGATCTCTCTTCACTCCCCTAGTTTTGATAAGTATTTCCACTTGTAGCAAGTCGCACAGTCTTTTTTCTTGATTACTATGTGTATTTTCTCTGCTCCCCATATCAGCATGCAGTTCCCCTTTCTGGTTAATTTTTTTTTAAATATATATATATATATATAAATATATTCTATCGATTTCTTGTCTCATGCATGAACAGGCCAAATCCCTGTCACTTTTCCACCCCCGCTAATTCCACTCTACTGGGCCGGTTGGTGCGGTATAGATGAGCGTATTGTATAGTCAGTTGCTGTATTCTGCTATATATCTAGTTCTGAATCACCACCCTCCGCTTGCTGCGAGTTACTATCTACCCTTGACGCAGATCCTTGGCCCTGTCGAAAACCACGACCAGGTCGTCTTAGCCTATCTACTACTCCGTACGCGGATCTCCCCTCCTATATCTTCTTCGATCCTTGCTGGGACAACCAACAGCCTACATCATCTGCCATCTTTTTGACAGTCTGGCTAGTCCCTTCTTCAGACAATAGGCCGGTCCCCGGCGTGTGTTTCTACATAGATTACGGATTCGGCTTCATTGTCATTTTCTTACTTCTTTGTCCTATACGGCACTTTTCCACCCAAGCGTCAATTCAAAGGAAAGGGAAAGGCAGCAAACATATACATCCGCAATCAAACCATCTCCTTGTCATTTGTATCGGTTCATTGACAGTATATGTTCAAGGAGTAATTGGACGTCAAGGCCTGCAAAAGCCTTTTTGGTCTGCGCAATCCGGACCCTTCTACCGTCGCTATATTTCTGGAGGAAGAGGCTGGGTCTCAACAGCCTCCTTCGCCATGGAAGCACCAGAACCTGTCAATTGCGAGTTCTCTGGCCATGCAATGGGTGGTGTTCCCACACGGCGGATGGTGAATCCTGCCCTAAGTCACAGCTATCCTTTCTACACCAATCCCGCAGTACCATATACAATGTCGTTTCAACAACAGTCTGCGTCAACAACATACAGCTTCGAGAACATCTTAAACCACCATCACAGTCACAGCCCATACCCACATTTCTTTGTCACGAATCAGCCGCCGCCGCCGCTCAATGCTCAACATGTCCGTCTGTCTACAGAGGCACCCCAGGTACAGCCTGTCCCCAGCGTTCGGCCGGCCAAAAATGCAATATTCAGGATCCCTAGAGATGCTATGCCCAAGGTCGAGGTGCCGCCCGATACCCCCCAGTTCTGCACCAGCCATGGAGCAGCTTATCTCCCATCCCATATCAGAATCCCAGGCCCGACGGAAGTTGAATTCTCGACGGAGGTGGATGTTTTGATGAAAGCTATTCAGTCTAGAGTCGGGTCGCCTAAGGATTCTTCGCCCTCCCTGCCCCCGCTCCAGCAGTTTACCAGTGAGAACTACAGCTCTACTCCCCCACCTCACCCGGCGAGCCCCCCGACAAGCCGCAGCTCGAGCGGTCCTGAAGATAACTCGCCTCCAAAGCTGAAGAAACCACGGAAGTACATCTGCACACATCCACAGTGCGGTAAAGGCTTTGCTCAGAAGACACACTTGGATATTCATATGAGGGCGCACACGGGTGATAAGCCCTTTGTAAGTCTAGCCCTAAGAGATGTCCATATTACGTCAAGTGACTGACGTTTGGGTCAATCAACAGGTGTGCAAAGAGCCAAAATGTGGCCAAAGGTTCTCACAGCTAGGTAACCTAAAGGTAGGGCCATTATTGATCTCCATTTCTGCAGCATAAGGCGCGGCTGACAACGCATATATAGACGCATCAGCGACGTCACACCGGCGAGAAACCCTATTCCTGTGATGTCTGTCAGAAGAGATTTGCCCAGCTCGGAAATGTACGAGCCCATAAAAATATCCACTTCAAAAAGAAACCATTTGTTTGTCTATTGGATGACTGTGGGAAACCATTCACTCAACTTGGTAACCTCAAGGTATGGCGACTGCAGCCTATCTTCGTATTTCTCCGCCAATATCTGACAATGAAACACAGTCCCACCAAAACAAATTCCATGCCTCGACCTTGCGACAGCTCACTTTGAAATTCTCTGCGATGACAGAGGGCGAGCCAATGTCTCAGCCTGACCGTCAGTTATGGGAGTACTTCGCCGACCTCTACAAAAACAGCAATAAAGGCATCAAGGGACGAGGGAAGAATCGAGTCATTTCTCCCACAAAGTCAGACCTCGGTAGCGAACACCGGGGGGGCAGCTTTCTTTTCCTCGGCAGGGACGAGGATGTGAAGCTCCGGAGAGACAGCTACGAGGACTCGTCGTCCTACACCGGTAGTAGTGACGAGGACGAGATTGATGGCTACTATACGGCTCGGCGGGCTCAATGATGCTTCTGCTGGTCTGACCTAACTATTTTGTTTATTTTGAATATATAATTTACATACATGTATAGCGCAAGATACCAATTTCTTTGTTTGTGATATTAGAATACAAAAATAAAGTTTATACATCGAAGCAGAGGTAGATACTTGGTCGATAAAAAGACTCCTGTCAATTATGAGTGCCTTGAGTAGAGCACTTCTTTTAGATACAGTATTATATTCTCCTGTAACTTAAGACTATGCTCATGGACCACAGGAATACATATCTGTTTACCCAAGAAACTTAAGTAGTATAGATAATGGGTAAATAATGTACATAGGAGGACAATAGGAATACAGCAGACAGAATCACATCTCTGATGCTCCATAAGAAAAACAGAACCATTATATGCATCTCCTTTTTAGGCCGCTCTCTTTCCTGCCAGCTGTGGCAGGTATGCCTTGGTATTTTCATACACTAAGAATGTCACCCAAGTGCTTGGCAAGACTCTGATGATATTCGGGCCGAGGCCCTTGTAAAACCCCGTGATACCCTCTTGCGCCCAGATTTGTCGGACAGCGTCCGTGACGCCGCGGTAGATGAGATGTGCATCGTGCATCTGTAACCTAGACCGGAGCACTTGGTACGGATAAGTGACGCACCCGGCAAACACTTTTGCGACACTCGACACCACAAACAGGTCAAGATTACCCAGTTTCCTGTGCTGATCGGGTCGGTTTCTTAGATCCGGCCCCTGAGGCGTCGACAGGGGATTCCTCTGTGCCCAAAAGACTTTCAGCTTTTCATACGCCATGAATTGCAATGCCCCGTGGCTGACGCCAAAAAGGGCAGGGAAAAGCCCTCGATAGAAACCAAGCACGCCATCTGAACGATAGATCTGCTGTATCCCCGCAGTCAAGGACCGGTATGCCCCTGGCGTGTGGGAGCTGGTAGAGAGCATTCGAGTCTTGATGACCCATATCGGATTCGTGAGAATCGATGTGAGGACCCCTGGGTGACGCTCAGGACCACAGACTTAATTAAAACGTCGTAGTTGGGGGGGGGGGGGGGGGGGTACCTGCTGTTCCTGATGCTAAGAAATAATTCAAAGACGAAAGCTCTCGATTTTGAGAACCGTGTAATTTTCGCAAATAATCTTTGGTGTTGCTATAGCAGAGAAAATATAGGGCCCAGCTGGTGGAATTCCCAACAAGGTTCGGAGCCAGTCCTCGATAAAATGCTGCAATGCCACCTTCATTATGCCATATTCTACGGATCACAAGGTACGAGCCACCGAGTCGAGAAGAAGAAGTCCGGTCAACTGTATCGTGGTGTTAGCATCAAAGGGTTCTTAGGTAGAAAGGGGAGATTCGGGAAGGCCGGTCATGTATGTCTCGAGTTAGGTTATCTCACGCACCTTGAAGTCTGGTCTTGACAAGATCAAGCGGGTGAAGACAGAGTGTAGAGACAACTCCGGCAGTGAACCCTGCTACAGTCTCCACAAAGGATAGCGACAAAGCATCTTTGTCGGTCATGAACCTTGAGGGTCGCGATTCTGATGCGACGGGTAAAGTGAGGAGTAGATAAATAATAGATAGAGCTAAGTAAAAAAAGGTACGGCAAATTTGTTCACTCGGCCGAGGCCCAGAAAGGGTTTGGAGTTCCAGAGGCAAGTGTGGTAATTCGATCAGCCTCGTTAGTGAAAGAATTAAGTGCTTTGTACATTTTCGAACCTGCGAGATAAATAAAAATAGCTTCAGTTGTCGATTTATCTATTGCAACGCGCTATGCTTTCGAGATGAGTTTGCTAGGGACATAAATCCAAAATGGAGTCGTTTCTTTCTATTTTAACACCGCGACTTGAATTAACCAATTTATAATTACACAGACACCTCTCCAGTTTTTGGATGCCAGCATGTACAGCCCGAGTGATATCAAACCCCTCTCCTGGCCTCACTGTTTCCAAACCCGGACGAAGGAGGAAAAGCAAAAACGTAGTTGCCCATCAGGTCCTCAGTTCATTCTTAACCTGTTATTATCGTGTCGTAGGGTCAATCAAGCCAATGGCGAGAACAGCCTGTTTCAATGGTCAGCTGGCAGGTCAAGATGGATTGCGTAGGAGAGATTCTGTACTTGAAGAGCGAAGGTTTCGGTTCACTGTAGGTATATCCTAGGATATATTAGCATCCTCCTATTCAAATGAACAAAGCCCAGTCAACCAATAGCTCGTACCGAGATAAATAATCAGAGGCAAGTATCCGCTGTTCGGAATTATTGTTAGAAGTCGAGCCGGGATAGACAATGAGATCCAAGGTGAAAAGTGCATGGCTCACTAGTGAATAGCGACCCTCGAAACATCAATAACCTTGGAAATGCGCTCCTATTATATAGAAAAGAGACACCATCAGTATTGTTGTAGAAGGAAATGTAAACCGGGGTGTTCAACCTTTGTTTCTTCGGAAAACTGGACCATCTTGACGGAGATTCTGACTTGTTAAGGTATGATATGATTATAGATGTCAAGTTGTTTCAGATGCGGAGATATTTGACCACGAAAAAACACGGCAGTGACTCTGTGGTTATACTGTATTTTGTGGCAGTCGTGCCTTTGTCGTGTTGGGACTGCTTTTGCTGGTGACGAAGGACTAATCCGTAGGAAGTTTTCCTCCGTACGATAAGCTTGGACATTATTTGCTCCGAAGCTTGAACCAACCCCCTTCAGAATTGTCACGCTTGCCGAACGAGTCACCAGCAAACATCCAGGCATGGAAAATAGCACCTCGACGATCTAGAAATAAAATATCTATTGCAACTCGATTTCCTGTTTCTCTTGCTTGGTGGTATCTCTGATTGACAACAGGCGCTATGTCCGGCGCAAGGCATTGGTACGGCAACTCTGTAGAGAAGAAAACGAACTTTACAAGCTTACATGAAAGCAGGGAACAAGATAAAGAGGCCACTGTCTACGTCGGCAATCTTGACGAACGGATTACGGACAGTCTAGTATGGGAGCTAATGCTACAAGCTGGGCGCATCGTCAACGTTCACCTACCCAAAGATCGAGTGACACAATCACACCAGGGCTATGGGTTCGTGGAATTTATAAGCGAAGAAGATGCGGAATACGCATCTCGGATAATGAACGGAATTCGTCTATATGGCAAACCGATACGGGTTAACAAAGCCTCCGCCGATAAACAGAAAGCCGTCGAGATCGGCGCCGAACTATTTGTTGGAAACTTGGATCCCATGGTCACAGAACAGGTGATATTCGATACATTTAGCCGGTTTGGCAACTTGGTGTCGCCTCCGAAGGTAGGCTTTCTCGAGATATGTGAACTATTTGACTTTTCGCGCTGACTTGGTCAAGATTGCTCGCGACGATAGTAACCTATCCAAGGGCTATGGATTTGTATCATTTGCCGACTTTGAGTCTTCGGATGCTGCTATAGCCAATATGAACGGCCAGTATCTCATGAACAAGCAAGTTTCTGTACAATACGCCTATAAGAAGGACGGCAAAGGCGAACGACACGGCGACGAAGCTGAACGAATGCTCGCTGCGCAAGCTCGCAAACATAATGTGCAACCGCAAATCCAACCAATACCACCACAATTCGGAGGGCCAGGTGCAACGCCTATCGTGCCATCTGGGGCTCCAAATGGGGATGTCTCTCGTCCAATCAGTGCTGTGCCGCCTGATATGGGTTTGAACAGAAATGGCCCACCAAATGTTGGCTACCAACCCTCTGCACCACAACACCGACCGGGCCCTTCCCCAAATACGCTCGTCACGCCGCCGCCGGGTCTCCCTGCGCGCCCGCCGCCTTCGCAGGTAGGCTATGGAGGCCCCCAGGGACTTATGCCACCGGGATTCAACCAGCCCGGTCAACAAGCACCTTTTCTACCTCAAGGAGCGCCGCCTCCAGGATTTGGACCGCCAGCTAGCTTTGGAGCCCCTACGGGTCATTCTAGCGTGCCACCACCTCTTCCACAGGGCTTCCAGCAGTCCAATTATGGAAGAAATCGCTGATACTACAAATTGCCGGTTTACTAGCTGAAGTATCACCGTCGAGGCATATCTTATGCTAGGTTACCTAGGTTGAAGTATGTCAGCATCAGGCTAGCTTATATTATCATGTGCCAGTGTTACCCGGTGGTTCCGAGCTGTTAGCCCCAAGCGAGGGCTAGTGGTTAAGGGAAATGAGAGGATTAATGGACGAAGGATTGACTGTGCCTCTACAAAATAATGATTGACACGAGCCTTGAATTGATATCATCTAATATTGATAGGAGTGTTCAAGACAGGCACGTATGTATAGCTCCAACACTGACCATGAGCTATCAAAACTATTCTGAATCAAAATTATGAAAGCATGGTCCGAGAAAAGGACTGTATAAAATGAGCGTGGTGAGAGAACAGAGGGTCGCTTAAATCATTTACTTCGAAAACAGTAAGACCATAGGCAGGGAGGGACATTTAAGGGGAAACCAGGTTATTGATATGATATTACGAAAATGACACAAATTTTGGGTCCCTGGGCCTGCCATCAGGGCCAATGTTGTTCTTGGCAAACCTGTGCTCTGTATAAAGCCGACGAGCTTCATCGAATGTAACCTTTTGGCTCTTCATTATTCTCTTCACCTCTTCTTTGGCATTTTGGTCCAATCCCGCTCTCGAATCCCCGTTAGCAATATTTGCGGAGAGGTTGAAGTGAGAGGAGCTTAAGCCAGCCTCTAGATCGGCGGCGAAACTAGACGGAAGGCGGTGATAGAGGTATCCGGGCACAGGTACATGAGGTAACCATCGAGATCGAGTGACGTAGAGCGCTGCAGTCATGTTAGCCTGTGTATACTGTTGAACTAACGTAAGAAAAAAAAAATATACCTGTACCAAAGACAATAACAGAAAGGACTAATAGGGAAGGGTAAAAGTAGCTCATGACGGCCACCTTAGGGAGTGAGTGGATAGGGGAGTTTAACGGGCGAAGAAGGTGCTCTTGGCAAAAGGAAAGTATACTCTTAATTAAGATAGAACAAAGAGAGATGTAGATGATAGAGAGGGACCAGTATAGATGAAGTATTAGGCAGATGGCTGCCACGAGGAGCCGAAGTAGTTATGGCATTGAATACGTAAATGAAGTGCCATTGTTCTAAGAGGCGCAAACATAAGATTGTGGCGCAGCATCATTGATATTTCTATGCCTTATATATAAGGCACAGATTCTCCAGCCTATCCCCAAAGAGGCCTCCTTAGCGAGGCTTGTGGCTGTTGAGCATCTGCAACTCTTGGCATTAGGCGCACACAATTATTCAAGGCCATTGGGATAACCTCACTTTCGAAATTCTTTTGGCTTTTCTGAACCTGCAATCTGTCCCTGCAAGATATTCCCACAATGGCTGCCCAAAGACCCAACGTTTCTAGCGACCTCATCTGGCAGGTCACCCGTACGTGATTTTTTCCCTCTATTCCACAACAGTCCAAGATCTTTACGTCTTTGATACTTGGATGATCTTTCTTACCCTAATTCTATCAGTGAGGCAGCGCTGATCATGTTTTTATATAAACAGGCACCCAGAATGCTTTCCACGTCAAGCGCAACTCCGCTGGTGGTTCCCAGTTCTCCCGGGACCCTCTGAATGTCCTCGGCAAGCACTCTTTCAAGGTACCATAATAGTCGAAGTTTGATTGTTGGACAATTTATACTAAATCAAATCTTCCGTCTAGTACTCTGGATATGCCAATGAGAAGGTATAGATTTCGATATCAAGGAACTCCAACAGCTTACGCTAATTAATTGAAGGCCATTGGTGTTCAGGCTACCGAGAACGGAGGTGTCGCCATCATCACTAAGAAGCCTAGCAGCGAGCAGAAGCCCGCTCAGAGCTTTGTGACTGTCACCTTCGGCCCCAATGCTTCTACCCGCAAGTAAGAGTGATCGTTGGTTTTTTTGAATTGAAGAGCCATTCTGACATGCTTTGTGCAGGATCTACAAGAACATCGCCGATAAGACTGCTAAGAACGGTTACCGTGCCGACATTCGCGAGCAGGCCATTTCCCGCGCCAGTGCCATCCGTCGCTCTCAGAGATCTAAGAAGGATACTGCTCCTCAGAAGCTCCGCGGAGCTGCGGCCAAGAAGGCTGCTGAGAAGGAGTCCGCGTAAACAGGAAAATTGAGGGACATGCCAGGAAAGATATAATTCATGAATGGGGTGTATTGGGAACAGCATGAGAGTCAAATAGAATAAAATCCAAGCGCTCTGTAAACAAAGAGCTCGCCGTTCAGTTACCAGCTGTCTTCTGTAAGAGGGAATGACCCATATGAAACTCGGTTAATAGGTTAAAGGCAACATTTGATCTTCTCCGCCAAACATCACTTCTGCTCCACTCTGTTGAGTACGGAGTAGTTGTCTGCGAAGCCACTGGTTCCCTGCCAAGGAGTCTTTTCCCAACAGTGATGCAAGATAAATACACCGAATACTTGTAAAAGTAACCAGGTTGCTAAATAAGAGTTCATATAGAGGAGCAATAGGCGTAATGATGGCAGCATTAGAATTACTAAAACTGCTCTTTTTATTGACTCCTGATGCACCCCGGCTTTATGAAGCACTAAAGCAACCCCGCAAGTACTGTGGTGATATGCAGATTTCTTGGACCCTCTTGAAAAAGCATCTTCACCAGCAAGAAAAGAAAAGAGAATGATAATTTTAGCTTTCATGGTATATTTTTTTACTAAAGTATCCTCTAGTGCTTTATTAGTTACTTAATAATGGTTTGATTATTCATTTATGCCTCAACTATTATCCCTCCCTCCTTCCTTCCTCTACCCCTCTTTCTGCAGTGACACTTACCCCACCCCTCCTTAGATCTTCAAAACCTCTCCTCTACTTAACATCAATATCATCACATTACCTCTAAACCCAAAGTTCCTGGTCTACAGAAGGTCTTTAAACCTCAAAAATCGTCTTACACTATGGTTAAAGCAGGTCAGTTGCTTCTCCATAAGCTCTTACACAGATCTCCAAGAGCTGACCAGATCTCCAACAGCTGTCCTCGGAGCTTCTGGCGGCATCGGCCAGGTAAGAATCCCTGCTGCATATTTTTAGAATTGATGGTTTTTGAATGCTCTGGATCTAATGATAATATCTCAACAGCCTCTCTCCCTCCTGCTGAAGGCGTGCCCACTTGTTGATGAGCTTGCTCTCTATGATGTTGTCAACACTCCTGGTGTGACTGCCGACCTTTCTCATATTTCTTCAGTTGCTGTGGGTTCACAATGATATTGTTCCTTTATCCTAAGGCCTATTTCTTACATTATGCATTCTAATATTATACTAGAAAATCTCTGGCTATCTTCCCAAGGACGATGGGTTGAAGCATGCTTTGACTGGTACTGACATTGTTGTCATTCCCGCTGGCATCCCTCGTTCGTTTCCCTTTTCCTAGTTCTCTATTCTTTTGAAGGGGTTTATCTTACCTTTCCAACAGGCAAGCCCGGCATGACTCGTGATGACCTTTTCAAGATCAATGCTGGGATTGTTCGAGACTTGGTCGAGGGTATTGCCAAGCATTGCCCCAAGGCCTTTGTTTTGATCATCTCAAACCCGGTCAATTCTACTGTCCCGATTGCCGCAGAAGTCCTGAAGGCTGCAGGTGTCTTTGATGCTAAGCGTCTTTTTGGGGTCACCACCCTCGATGTCGTTCGCGCCGAGACCTTCACCCAGAAATACACTGGTCAGAAGAATCCCGCCCATACCAAGATTCCTGTCATTGGTGGTCACTCTGGAGAGACCATTGTCCCGATCTTCAGCAAAGCGTCTCCATCTTTTACAATCCCTGACGATAAGTACGACGACCTTATCAAGCGTGAGTTCTCTACAAGGGGGTGCTGGGTTTGGTTGCTCGCTCTCTAATACCTCTCAGGCGTCCAATTTGGTGGCGATGAGGTCGTCCAGGCCAAGGATGGTGCTGGTTCCGCTACTCTTTCCATGGCTTATGCCGGCTACAGGTCTGGCCCTCTTGTGCGATAAAAATATTTATGCTAACAAAGTCCAGGTTTGCCGAGAGCGTTATTAAGGCTGCTAAGGGCGAGAAAGGCATTATTGAGCCAACTTTCATCTACTTGCCTGGTGTTGTTGGTGGCGAGGAGATCGCAGAAGCAACCGGCGTTCAATTCTTCTCAACTCCTGTTGAGCTCGGAGTAAGCTTTCCACCCATCGAAAACTGTCCCCTAGATAAACATCCAGCTAACAAACTGCGTAGCCTAATGGCGCGGAAAAAGCCATCAACATCCTGGATGGCATCACCGACAAGGAGAGCAGGCTTCTCGAAGCCTGCAAGGCTGGCCTGCAGGGTAACATTTTGAAGGGTGTTGATTTCATCAAGAGCCCTGTACCAACAAAGTAAAATATCCCGCCCATCACTGACAAGGCTTTCCTACCCTATCAGTGAACTTCATGAATACTGTATTCCATGGCCATCCGGTATCATATATCGATGGTACTACTCAAAGAAACGGGTATTGAAGAGCCTCGCTAATCAGAAAATGACTGAGGTGGACAGGCTTTAGGGAAAAACTTGTCTGGACAGACAGTGAAGACTATGCTACCCTTGTTCCATAAAGATTCCTTTCGGATCGATCCATAGAATTAAGCCAGTAGGCGGATTAGAAATGAGAAAGTTCACATTTCATATATGAGGGTCAGAAGTCCAGTAATAAACACAGAGATGCGGGTGCTGCATGTTTCTGCAGCTCTAGTTGGCCTTCTTGGGGGCTGGTTACGGGCTACAGGAACATGCATTATCTAACCCGCCAAAGCCCGACATCAGACCTCTCCTTCAGCTTTATTCAAAATTCGACACAATTTTCTCTCAGAAACCCTCAGGGCGTGGGCTGGATAGTTTTGATCTGAAAGGTTGCACACGGAAGCTCAGATCCCTCCGCTTGTACAGTTGTATGAATTCCCATATTAGCCAAGGCCCCCCGAATAACACCACAAGGGAACCACAAGTGCTGCGTTCATTATCAGATGTCAACGCTAAAGATGTACCATCCACTTTGGGTCTTACCGCTTGCGCCCTAGACACGGCCTCGCTTCGGACAGACATGCTCATCCTGGTGAATGGACGAAAGGCATTATCTGTCAACACGTAGACACCCTGCCGGGATTTTGTGTCAATTTCATCTCCTGTGTATTTCTCAAAGTATAGCAGCATGCTCTCTATCGCTTCATGAAATTGTGGATGACACTAACCCGATGGTTTGTTTTGAGGTTGTCGATTTGTTTTCGGAAGAGAATGGTCCATAAATCTTTGCAAAGAAACTTGATGGCATCGAGGTTATCAGAAAAACGGGGGCGATCCCGAGAAAACCTACCTAGCATCAAAGAACAGGGCATTAGCGGTTGCAACACTCAAGCCAGAATTGTTCTATAAACGCCATATTGATGGTCGCCACACTTCGGCTGGTATCCATAGCCTACTGGAAATGGCATGACTCAAGTACCTTTCTGTAAGTCCTTGCCCAACTCTGTAGCCTAGTGTTTCGAGGCGGAAGAAAGTTGATTCTCGAATCTCCTCGTCGTCCTGTCGTTTGTCGTCAACACTGAACTCTTTTGCTAATCTTTCCGCCATAGGCACAATCTCTATAAGGAGGAAATCGAGACATGATGCGCTCAGAAAGCGGGCGTGCGGGTCAGATGGTAGAGACGATGCATCGAATGACATTGTGGTAGAGGATGGCAGCGCTATTTGAGCTTGATTCGAAGTGTCAAAGTGCAATGCCAATTCGAGGATTGAGCCTCTTGTGCAATAAAAGGATAGTTATTAAATATGCTTTGTTTCAACTAGATGTGGTGAGTATGAAGTACGGAGTACTTAATTCCATATTCAGCGGTGCATATGAGATGCGTAGGCTCCGACCTTAGTTACTCCTACCTAGGTATGAGAGACGTCGCTCGTAACTATTAGGTCGGGTAGGGGGTGTACTCCATATTACCTGGTACAAACCAGCCCGACACTAGGTTGGTTATGAGCCAATAGGAGACTTTTTCTCATAAATTAGGCTTTGTGTCTAGGTAGTAGGTAGCTAGCAATTTTCTAGCATTGTTTAGTCTTTACTCTCTTTTTAATAATGTCTTATTAAATGTTATAAATGAATTTATCCTAATGTAACCATAATATTCATGATGATGAATGGGATAAAGATATACAGGGTTCTTTGGCTAATTAAGGCGTCGTTCAGAAATACTTCCATGTCTAATTTATGCACGCTGTTTTCTTCAAACGACTATTTCCATACTCCGGGAGATATGTTACAACCAAAGTTCCTACTTCAAAAGGAGAGTATTTGTTGCATCAAGGAAGATGATGCAGAAAAACTTCTCTTGAATAATATTCCTATCAAATAGGCCAGTAGATATCCACCCAATGCCGAGGTTATCATGAAAGCCAGCCTATAAACACCCAAACGCCACGTATCTATGAATCGTTGAAGTCATGCCTCATGGCCACCAGACGGGCTCTGCGGTTGAAAATGATTCAGGCCCATGAACTCATAATGACCTCCATTGATTGAAGTGAAAGGATCGAAGTTTTCTGGCTGAAGTGAGTCCCTTCCTACCCCGCCGAGAGCAGGTCGCTTCATAGGCCTCACGGGTAACTCATCATCATCATCATCACTCCCAGTAAGATCTATGACTTGTGATATGGGCCGCTTGTTGGTCATCAAGCGTGCAGCAGATGACGTTGCTGATGGTTCTCTAGACTGTGAAGGTGTTCTCTGTATATTAATTTTTATTGACGATGGTTCTTGTTTCACGAGGGGAGTCACAGGCTGGTTTATCTCGATCAACTCGTCATCGTCATCTGTTGTAGGAGTAATTCCCCCGACTCCTGATCCTAGGCCTTTAGGACTTAACCACCTACCATCCGGCTCTATGATGACCTGATCCACGTCATTTGGCGTGGAAACAAGAATATCGTCCACATACCTAGATGGTCAGAAAAGGAATAAGGATCAAAACAAATTAAGCTTACTGATCAATTTGCAGAGACTCGAAGCTTGTCGCCTTGGAGCAAACGGGACATGTCCACGTCGGTGCCTGTTGCTGAAGCTGTAAAAAAGACGACGCATCAAAACACTGATTGTGAGTGCAGACAGTGGAACGACATGGGTTTTCAATACGAAGTGTAGACAGCGGGCATTTCAGCGACATAACACTCGAGGTAGTAATGATTTCAGAATCGTTAGCTTTATTTTGCACTGCAGATTTGTCAGTGCTAGTAATTCCAGAGACATCATATGGCTGATCATACTCTCCCGAAGAACCTGTTCTTTTGAAATCGTTTTTCTCGCCTTCAGTTGATTGACCAGCTCCTCTACTGGATGCTGCTGAACGAGATTCACAAGCACAAAAAATCTCTAGAAATAGATCAATAAACTTACAGATAGGCATGACACGTGTTAGACAAAGCCCAGTACATACCTTCTGTGTGAGGGCATAGGTCATAACAACATCATTCGTATACCCTGGCTTCTTACGGATGTAGTTCGTTATATCCGCCGGCTGTGTCGTGCCCGCCTTATTTTTTAATCCCCTTAAATTGGCCTTGACGTCATCGAGATTTGCTTTGAGTTCAACTTGGTTGGGAAAGGCAATATCAGATTTGGTGTACTGGTTGAGGCCTGTTTCTGAAGTGCAATAGAACATTATCCGAATGTTTTGGTTCTTCTGTAGATCTGCGGTTATATCCGGCGTAAGGATTACGCGAAGATGCACGCTGTCTCTGGTTTGTTCGCGTACTTCAGCAACTTTAGCTTTCGTACAGAGCAAATGAAGTATGGGAATACTAGAGAACAGCTCACCTTTACATTCGACAGTTGACGTCAAAGGTTGTATGATTGTATAGAAAGGACTGTCTTTGAACATCAAGCGGCCTACTATCTGTAAGTGCCTCGATCAATCAAAGAAAGGGCTCTCAAAACCATACCACCTGCAAATGAATGAGCTGCTGTTTGTAGGTGGAACGAATGTTGTTTATTTTGAGCATTCATGACTGCATGTGATTGGTACTGAGGATGACTTGGTGGTTGTAACTGTGTCGAAGGTATCAAGCGCTGCGCAGTGCTGTAGATGAATCGTCTTAGTGCATCATAGCGCTCAGACTTTCCTGCTCGAATAAGGCCTTCAATGTCTAAATCATGGAGAAAGTGTTAGTCCCACGTTGGTTGAACTAAGAGAATCCAGAGATGAAGATGGATAGGTAAAGCGAACATTCAATAATTCGGAGCTGTAACGAGGCCTTGACGCCAGAGACAGCTAGCCCTTCATTTCGCAGTATATCTTTGAGCTGTGCATTAGTCAGAGTTTTCACTAAAGCAACAACACTTTGAACTTCAGGCAGCTGGCTGGTAGAGGATGCCATCGTGACTCTTGAGAGAATAGCAGCAGTCTGGCATAGAGCCCCGAAACTTCTCCAGATTAATTAAGCATGCCACTTGCAGAGATTTCGCAGATCAACATTTCAAGACATGGCCTAAAGAAAAAGACTCTTTGGTATGAATGGAACGTAACTGGATTCTGTCTGTCTGACTTGGACAATGCGATCGGATCTTGAGGAGAATTGGCATGTCCGAAGTGATGACATAAGACCAACCAGCCAACTAAAAAAGAGTGGAGGCGATAAACTAACTAGTGGAAAATGAATTTAATACACTTTATCCTCCTCCGTGCCAGCATACAACTACAATTCACACTTTCAAATCTCTCTTCTCCTCTAGCCTTGTTTTTTCCCCGGTTATATCCTCTCATTTCTCAGGCATAATGGCGAAAAGTACTCGGTCAAGCATCACTAAGCGTAATCGTGCGAAGCTTCGATCAACCGTCTTCGGCCCAGTCTCCGATGCAAGAACAGCAAGACTTTCTGCGAAGTTAGAAGAGATTGCAGCACAACCCCGTCCAGAGGTCGACCAAAAGAAATCACCCATTGAATCTGCAGCTACTGAGACAGGTATGTACATATAGATACAGTCAACAATTTCTATCCTGATACTGTATGACTTGAATCTTCCAAATTGAAGTGTATTCTTTCATGAGCAGCCGACCCTTCACCCTGCGCATATCGCTACTAAAGAAGGGAGAGGAAATCTGACATTTTAATAGAAAATATGGATATTGATACAAAGACCAGTGGGAAGCTCACCAACGCCAATTCTCAAAAGTCTCGGCGTGTTCAAAAACGAAACAAAAAGGCCCGTAATTCCATCGTTTTTCAGCAGCACCCCTCGAAGGCCAAGCGAATTTCAAAGAAAAAATGATCCTTTTCCAATAACTACCAGAAGAGAAGAAACCCGATGCTACGCCACGTCTTACGAAGGCCAGCTCTTTTCATGATGACGGATGTGTACATTCCATTGAGACCGCTGGCAGATCTACTTTGCTATCAACGACAAATCGTAGATCTGCCAGTATCAATATATTTTAACTCGCAAATAGAAGACACAAAAGGGATACGAGGGAACTATATGGATTACAGGAGTTCTCGGTCTTTAAAAAGTTTTGATATTTTTAATACAATATAATACTCCTTATTTTGTTGTTATTTGTTTCGATACCATGCCCATGCGTTATCTAACCGCTGCCAAGTTCTTGATGTTTTTCATGGCTATTGTATTCATAAAACCAATTTTAGAATTAATAATTTATATATAACAGCGGAAATAGAATTAGCACCAAGCGTATGCTGTGGTCGCCGAGTTAAGGGGTCCTTGCCAAGAATTCGGAGTATATCAATCCCCTTGTTGGCATGCTGATAAGAGAGGTACGTACCCAGGCCTACCTAGGTAGGTTACCTGACCGAGGTACCTTTCATGCTTTCAGGGATACTATGGGGGAAGGCACTAACTCATTCAGCCATGGAAAATACCAGGATAACTAGCTAGTAATGTAGCTTTAATAGAGCATTTAATCCCCGATACATTTAGAAGCTCCCTCCACTGTCTTGGCTGACAACCACTGACGAATAACCTTCATCCACGTGATCTAGGAATAGGTGAGGAGTGAATAATACTCTGTGTACTCCGTACCTCTTAAGTACTGAATGCTTAGATGCCTACCAAAAGCCTAACTAAACCCCCTACGTTCATTCTACTAGTGATATCCCAGTCATCTAAACACCTATAAAGGTGAAAACTGAGCTAATTTGTTGCTTGTGGAGCTGTCCAACTTTCGTTCTTCTACAGGATTAATGTTATGCTGCTGCAAACTCCTTATTTAAAGTAATATGCAATTTCCAATGCATACCTGGGCGCTTGCGCTTGCCAATATACTACTGCCCATTTCTATCATTGTCTTTGCGACAGGGTTCTTTCCATATAAACCTTTGCTTCCTGGCCTGGCTACTTTTCCTGAAACCGGGAATATTAATGCACCACCACCAGTCTTCGATAAAATTATATTCATGGTGGTTGATGCTTTGCGGAGGTAAGACACTCAATGTACTGAGTGATATTCAATATATGAGTAACTAACATTCTCAGTGATTTTGTATTTGACCATGGATCAGGTTTCCTCTTCACACAAAGGTTGGCCTTTTATTTGGATTTTTAGTGATATCAATTATTTTTTTCTGACATTTCTCACCAGCTTGATCCAGTCGGGGTCTGCACTTCCATTTACTGCTTATGCTGGTTCCCCAACGGTCACAATGCCTCGTCTCAAGGCGATTACCACTGGATCAGTACCATCATTTCTTGATGTGATCTTGAACATTGCCGAATCCAGCAGTGTATCAACGCTCAGTAATCAAGACACATGGTTGGCTCAACTGAAAGCAAGAGGTGGCCGGCTTGTCATGTATGGAGACGATACTTGGCTCAATCTTTTCCCGGACATGTTTGACAGAGCTGATGGAACCACGAGCTTTTTTGTTTCGGTTAGTCAACCGCGGAAACAACAAAACACACCATGGTAAACTGATTCTTTAACTCTTAGGACTTTGTCGAGGTTGATAACAATGTGACTCGGCATATCCCATTTGAGCTTTCAAATAGCGATTGGACAGCTCTTATCATGCATTACCTTGGCCTTGATCATATTGGACACAAGGCAGGCCCTAATAGGTAGGTAAACATCTATTGGCTGTCTATCTGATTAGATTTTCTAATAGAACTTCAAGCCCCTACATGAAGGGGAAGCAGAATGAGATGGACTCTATTGTCAAACAAATATATACAGCTATGGAAGAGAATGAACATCTCCAGTCAACACTCTTTGTGCTTTGTGGGGACCACGGCATGAATGAAGCTGGGAATCATGGTGGGTCGTCGGCTGGTGAAACCTCACCTGCACTTGTTTTCATCTCTCCTAGGTTCCAGGGGAGAAGTTACCCAAAAGAAAGCCCTATCGAGGCATCCCAACCTTTTCAATATTACCGCACCGTTGAACAATCAGACATTACACCAACAATCGCGGGGTTACTTGGGTTACCGATTCCTTTAAACAATCTGGGGGTATTTATACCGGAGCTCCTCATGATGTGGGATGAAGGTATGGTTCTCCCCCGATATGTCGGAGATTGGTCAAGAATTAACATTTGCAGATCCATTAAGAGTTAGCATTTTATTGGAGAATGCTAAGCAATTACTAAGGGTACTGGAGGCAACATACCCTGACCAATTATTTGATCCATCTCTGCGTCCAGTGGGCTGCGGTGCTGATACGATGACTGAACTCGAGAAAATCCACTGTGCGTGGGCAGAAATCTCGTCTGTCACTAATAGGCTCTGGGAAGATGCTTCCGAGATTGAGCCCATCTTATTGCATTTCTTGAAGTCGGCACAGAAAACTATGAGCTTCACTGCAAGTAATTACAATGTCAGCAGGCTCTATCTGGGAATCATTATATCTAGCACGGCTACTTTGCTCTCCTTTCTGTCAACATACAGACAGTTTTCGCGACAAAATTGTTCAGGAGCATATTTTACGTTCTGTGGACTGATCTTCACATGCATGATGTTTGCAAGTAGCTATGTCGAGGAAGAACATCAATTCTGGTATTGGGCTTTATCAGGGTGGACGTTATATTTGCACACCAAATCGAATGCTCTACCAGGTCAACTCACATCATTGCCAATAGAAAACAAAACCATCTGTCTAGCAATTGGCGCCTTGCTTTACAAATTTGGTGCTATTGGGCTTATCATTATGCAGCGTTTCATGAGGCGCTGGAACCAAACTGGGCAAAAATTTGCAGCTGAGCCAGACATCTCGCGCAATTTTTTTCCTTTCCATGTCAACATGCTTTGGACATTGATCATAATCACCTACGCCGATTCATGCAGACATTTGATTTATTATCTGCCTTCTAAATTGATTTTCAAATTAGCCGCCATCATCACTACTTGCATCGCTCTTCTGTTCAAGTTAGCATTCGTGGCACTAGACTCCCCGGAGCTTCTTTACGACTGCTACCTGGCCAGGCAATTGATGGATAAAATCCAGTATTTTTCTCCTCTTTGGTTGGCTCGATTTGTTTTCTGCAGCATCGGTCTTCTTACGATAGTTTCGTTTCAAAAGAAAACGCAACAGGAAAATCGTAAGTTGGCCATTATCCATCACATTCGTTTATACTAACTATTGGGACAATAGTATCAAATAGGATTCTCCACGAGGCTCTGAACCTTTTTTTATTGACACAATCTCGCGCGACAAATATCCCACTTTTTCTTCTCTTCAGGCTTCAACTTTCGATTCTTTGTGCAATGGACTTGACTGGTGTTGAAACGTCTATCACGTTACTTCTCTATCAGTACATGACCTTCTTTGCATTTGGTGGATCAAATGCTATATCATCCGTTGATCTTTCTAGTGCGTACAACGGTATAGGCAGCTATGCAGCCTCGTTAGTGGGGCTGTTGACATTTGTGGGCAATTGGGCAGGTCCCATATGGTGGTCTTCAGCATTCTGGCTCCTGCTGGCTGCTCAGGCGCCAAATAAAATGAAAGCCCATATTGCAGTGTCAACATGCTATGCTGCAGTGGCTTTATTATCTGTGATGGCTGCATGTACACTGCTGCGAACACATCTTTTCATATGGACTGTGTTTTCACCCAAATTCCTCTATAGCATGGCATGGACTTTGGGAAGTCATATCGGAGTGAACCTGTTGTTTTATTCGGGTTGGAGATTCTTCTGAAAGAATTTCTGCTGAAGACTTCGGACATACAATTATTTTGGTGTACAGTATAGAATAGACTAAATCAAGGCGCCGAAAAGATCGTCTATCGCATTCTTCGCTCGCTTACTCTTTTTTATAACCTTTGCTTTTTCGCGGGATACCCTTTTTAGAGGTATAGTGCCATTTTCCGAACGAGCCACAACTTCTCCAATGTCTTCTTGTCCTGTTTTCCGGGCGAGCGGACGCCTGGTGGCCTCCAAATTATTCAACACCTGGATTTTGGCATTCTGACTGAATCTTACTGCTCTAGCAAGGCGACTTAACAGGGCCAACAAGACAGTGCCTAGGGTCGAGAATTGATTATCACATATAACTGTCGAGAAAGCTCTATTATAAAATTAGCATCGAGAACCTTCCATAGCTTGTAAGCTTTGCGTAGGTCAAAGCTATCGAATGACTTACATAAAAGAATTGGGTATAACATTTTCCACGAGATACTTTCTATACATGTTGGCAGAAATGCTAGGCAGTGGTTTCTGGGTAGCATGCGCCATGACGTGGAATGAGGTGCGTATCAGGATGGATAGCCATTTCCACCATTTTGATTTTCCATGTTGATTTTTGTTACGATGAGCAATCAGCTGAAGCATTGCATGTGCAGAATAAATCTGCTCGATATCCATGTCAGAATTGGGAGCCAGCATTTCAATGGCTAAGTCGATTTTCCTTCTTGTTTCTTCTCAGCCTAATTTTAGCGCCCGATAGCTGTACAGAACTGAGTGAGAGTTTAATAGAAATTATAGAAATATAAAGCTAGCATAACTTGATCTCTTAAATTCAACGAGAATCCAAGATCATGAAAATCTTGATGTTAAAATAAAGTTGTGAGGCAGGTGGAGCCAGCCCTGCTTAGGTAGTTAACTAGTGCAGAGTACAGAGTACTCTGTACTAAACTACGTGGTTGATAATTACAATGTATGAATTCCCGTGATACAATTCTGGACATGACTAGAAACCCCCAGTCTTTAGAAAATGCTACCTATTATTACTGGAATTCAGGCTTTATTGTCCGGCTTACAAATGTCGATTCCAAAATCTCCCAGAGGCAATCGCAAGATAACGGTAGGTTTAGAACACTCTGGACAATCGGCCAATGTTGCTTTGAATTGAATCAAGCTCCTCTCGCTCCATGTGACACATTGGCTCACTAGAGTATACTGATGCCAGGACTAGAATAGGTATAGAACTCAGAGTGGGAAGCTGGAGATACTCTAGCTCACGTGCCAAGAGGGTCGATATAGTACTGTGACATCCCATGTGCTGGGTGAATTCCTGGTTCTGAGTTGTATCTTGCTGCGCAGTCAAGGAGCGGTCACCTTTTCTAGAGAAAACTGACCATTGTCCTGGACCCCCTAGTTACATTACTCCCCTAACTTTATCTGGCAGTAGTATTTAAATTAAATACAACTGCAACCGGTGTCCAGCGGCTCTAATCGAACCTGGTTGTCCCACAACTCCATTTTTGAAATCTCGAGACCAGGCTACTACGATCTACACTTCAATACCTCGGAACTAGCAATAGCAGCAGGGGATAGAAAAAAGTTCTCATCCATTAGAAGCCTTCTCATAGTAATGATAGTCTTCCAGAGATATCATCACAAACAAAGCTAGATTTCCACAGCAGAAGAACTACCAACTGGAGATGAAAACCAACATTCAGACTCAACTGAAGATCCCATATCTCAGCCATCCAGGGCGTAGAATAGGTTCTTACATATGCCCAAACATTGGTCATCACTCGAGGTACTCCATAACCGAGCGGAATTGGATAAAGGACAGAAGCAAATCGCATCACCTTGCAGGCAAGATGTACATCATCCAGAGAAATCAGTAACGTCTAGATCTCGGTTTTGTGTTCCACTTCAGGGTTTCTCACGCCGGGAACACTCTTAGGCGCACTTAAGAGGTCTTCGGGCCGCGATCGACAATAGTTGCATCATCGTACCAGATATTCATAGACGGGTAGGTGGACGGGGCGCTCCTAAGACCTTCACTGACCCCAGAGGGGCGTCGAGGCGCGTAAGTGCGAACAAGCACAATGTCGCGGTCCGAAGCAGTTGTTCCACGGTCAAACTGTGAGCGGCGGCGGCGTTGGTCGTCACGATACTGCTGATTGATTCGGGGTGCAAATAAACCTTTTCGGGGTTATCAGAAAGATTATGGAGGTTGAGAACAAGAAATATGGATACATACCGACATGCTCAGCGTTTTCAATACTGCGACGCATTTTGGATGGGTTGTCCGGTCCCGGAAAGCGGTCTTCGGTGCCTGCCAGAGGCCCAGTGCCGGTGTGGAAGATCTACATGCACACCAATAAGCTCTTTCCATGCAATGTCCAATCAGTGCCACATACCTTGGGGCGAAAAGATGGGTGTTCTAGCATGACAGAGCTATTCCGAAACTTCTGTACCAGACAGTCTTTCCCTTGAATAGCTAGGCGTCATGTTTAGACTGGCCCGATGTGGAATGCATTTCAAAGAGGCAACACTTACTAGCATAGGATACTTCGGCAACTTTGTCACTGTTGAAGCAGTTCCTGGGAATAATGCATCAGCAATATACACGGACTTCAGGGGGAAGCTTTACCATGAATTTCCAGCCCGAGTATTGACAAACTAAAAGATGGTGAGCACGTCAAAATCCGGATACTCAAGAAACTATATTAACCCACATCAATTATATCAATTGGCTAGTACATTTTGTCAGCAGCTCATTATAAATATGGCATTTTTATTTAAACTTACGTCCTCAAAATTGATAAAGGCATAGCCAACACTAGTCCCTCGCATTAAATACCATTGTAAGGCATTTTTGATAACCTGGCCAAAAAAACTTACTTGCAATTGTTGGCAAAATCTACTCTCGGATGATCAGCAAAGAATCTAAGAGAATGATTCAAGCGAATAACTTACCAATACGAAGATACATGAAGTCATATTTTCCCTTGCTTGTTTCATCAACAATCGCCTTTAGCATAGCCTGCAATTTGATTAGAGACAGAACTATCATTAATTGAATTTATTACCTGATCAATTTTGTTTGGGATGTTTCGAAGCATGATCTTAAAGTCAAAGGTTAATTTCTTGCCATTGGTCCAATGATGAGAAATGATACCACCTACTGTGGTACGAACATCCAACCCAAGTCGGATACGCTCTGTATCGACACAATTCTGGTTATTGAGACGCATATCAGAGAAGCGATCGAGCTCGTAGCCTGTCTCACGGCGCGGCGGTAACGCAAGTCTCTCTTCACTCCTCGACATCCAATCCATGAGGTTAGCATTCTCGTTTGCAGGAACGGTTGAGCGCCCAGTGGGGCTCAGTTCCATGTAAGGATTATGATGACCAAATCTGGTTAAAGGTCGAGAGATGTGGCGACGGCGTACGGTGTCATAGCGGGGTCTTTCTTTCGCCGGAGAGGTAACTATACTGCGAGGTTGGGATGTCTCGTTTATATCGGGCTTGAAAGAGGCCACCTCAAAAATGCAATTCTTTGTGTCTCTGGTTAACAAGAGAAGCTTGGGCGAAAGAACATAGAGGTATTATAGATTAATATTCAACTTACGTCAACAGAGACCCCATTCAAGATTGCCAGAGCATGCTCAGCATCACGAGTATCAAAGAATTCAAGAAGAAACTCGCAAATGTTCTCCTGGCCTGTGATGAGGGGTTTCAGGTTTTTTACATCGCCAAATGTAATTGCCAGGGATTCGAGACAACGGGCCACACTGTGTGAGTTGAGATTTTGGTTGCGGCTGTCGTAAAAGGCAGTAACAAGCAACTGGCCTTCGAAATCGCTTGTCTGATATATGTTTGCCATCTCGGTATGCTGCAAAAATTCTCTGGAAGTGAGGGGGGTAACGCGCCATTCGGGTCGAAGGAGATGTATCTTCTGTATAGCACGTTTTGCCTCACGACTATCTGTGAATGCAACGTACACTTTGCCCATTGCTTCCAGATCTGTGAGGACGAGGCTCTTCAATGTGCCAAACTCTCGACGCTTCGAAATGTTAGCAAACTGTCAAAACACCATAGTCTCAAAGTTGAAACTCAAATATAAAATAGCCAGTTGAAAAAACAGAACCATAACTCTCGTATCAGAGGGTGATATAGTGGTTCGAGACAAGGCCAACCAGAGCAAGAAAGGTAGCAGGGAGATTCTTACATTGAAAAAGCCAGCTAGGCATAAGTGTGAAAGACCGGTCTGGACGTTTTCGATGGCAAATCCGCGGCTGCGTCTCTCAGAGCTGCTTTGATCGATAACTCCGGTGATCGAATTGGATCTCTTAGCCAAGGGAGAATTGCCAATCAGTCCAAAGGCAGGCCCCTGTCTTTCGGATCTTTTGTAGCCACTGGCAGAGCCGTAGTTATCAGGGTCAGAATTGGCAGCTAGATAACCAACCCCAAGTCGATCATGCATTTGGCTCTGAGATGGGGTTCCTTCAAATGAAGGACCAGCTGTATCTCCAGGTATGAAGCTTTTTGCAGTTGGGGAAAGCTGCATTCTACCCAAGCTACCGCCTGGGATCAGAAAAGGATCGGTAACGGGCCTGTGTAGGTTAGCAGGAATATGCTTTCTATCCAACGAAAAAGCTTGCTTACATGGAACACACATTGCGTAGTGTGGTTTGCTTCGATAGAGCGCCGATGCTAGATCCAGGGCAATCTTTTGATTTCGTGTCCTCGGGGGAGAACGCTGTGAGCTTGGTATCTGGAGACCCATGCAATGATATAGCGCCGTTCGAAGAGCAAGGACTGCTCGTTAAACGCGAAGAGTCGTTAGCTCTCATTGTGCAGACTCTCTTCAGTCCCAGTTTCCTGAGGAGCGAGGGAGGGAAAGGCTTTGAGGAAGAGGAACAATAATGGTTTGGTAGTTTTTGCGATATCTTGGAGTCAAATATGTGCTTATGCTGATAACTAAGGTGAAGGGGAAAAGGGAGTTAATCTTTTAAGAGATTCTTTAAGAAAGAGAGAGTAAGAGTTTGGCATATAGTGTTGACAAGACATATTTAGTGCAATATTTAGGTCACATCACCTATACCGATGAAGAAAGTGGCATTATGTTTATATGCATAAGGTATATTCTGATTAGCAATAAAAGTGAAATAATAACCTACCAGCAAGCTGGTTGTAGGATAATCTAAGTTAATAAATAAATAAAATGCATGAACCTCATGATGTAGCTATCATGTTAAAAAGGGGACCTCTTTCTAACGTGTAGAAGTGACTCGGAAGGGTACAGCTGTAAGAATTACAAAAAGCACCTAGGTAGGTATTTAGGTGGCCTGTACATAAACAGAAGAGAAAATTTGAGAATGAAACCCAGCAGGTAAGACTAAAATATAATCCCAGGTGTGTCGGCTGATAGTTGGTAGTTATCCTGAGGCTTCCAAGATTGGTAGTAGCCTCCCGTCCTGTCAAGCCGTTCATCTGTGTCCACGGCCCCCGCCAGGAGAATGAGCCCTCCAAGACAATGAGCATCAGTCTTCCTATACCAAATCAGAGTCACCAGGGACATGTATCTCTTCAGACCTTTCATAATTTAGGGAATTATCAACAAGATGGATTAATAGTATAAAGTTACAAACGTATAACACATACATATATATACATGTATATTGTTAAAAACCTTATTATAAAACTCCAGTACTCGGGGATACAACCCACTAGGCCAAAGGTCAACATAGAAATACATGTCACTGGCGACCCTGGTTTATTTAAGATGAAAAAATCGATGCTCATTGCCCTGGAGGTACTCCAACGGAGCCGTGGAATGCATGGACCTGAATCCGACGGCTTGACTGGAGGGGCCGGTTAGATACCTGATCAATTAAAGGTAGTTATTATCTACCGAGGTAGATACAGAGTAATTTCCAGTTACCTCAAATCTAAGGTAAGATCAAGTACTCCGTAGCTACTAGATAGTTATGGAGTACAAGAAAGGTATGTTAGTTCAGCTTTATAGGTATTGGGTGGTTATTCAACCGGCCCTTCCTATCAAGCCATCCATGATCCCGCACGACCCCCGTCACGTCACATCACAACGTCCAACAATTTTTCTATATTACTAAATCAGGGTCGCCCAGCAACATGTATCTCTACCAGACATTAGAATAATATCAAAGGTAAAATATCCTGGTAGACACCATTAAGACCCCTCTCTCTCAAATCACGTAATCAAGTCGTGGTGATATAACTAGAGCAGGTCATGGACCTTCCTTTGTTGCTTAAATCTACATCGTAAAATGCACGGACTCGTTCACGCACTCGGCGTGGTTAGCTCTTTAATTATACAACCTTTTCAAAATCCCTGATGTAACCTATCATTTATCTCCTCGCATACCTAGTACTTCATCCTGATCTTTATTTGGGGAACCACTGCCCAGGATGCCATCCATGAATCCTCGAAACGAGCCATCACACGTCTTGAACCAGGTAAGCCATCCAGGACCGATATTCCGTATAGACCCCCTGGCTCACTAGACAAATGCCACTGCCTCTGATGCAGATCATTATATCCCCTTCCGACACAGACTACCTTGACCAATTGATTCCTTCCATCCGAGAATACAGCTTTGGAAACCGCACTTCATTGCTTCTGCAGTGCCTGACTACATTCGCCGGTGATAAGGAGGCTGAGATAGAACGAATCTGCAGCACCAACCATCAAGATTTCGTCACATCTGTCAATCAACTATTACGCATCAGGGAAGGTACCGTGAGCGTTACAGCAGAGATATTGGATCTCAACCAGTCTATTCAAGCGAGCACTGAGCGATTGGCCGAGCAAAAGCGAGCTTTGGTCGAGTCGCGAAGCCATCGACAGAACATTGATGAGACCTTCCGCGCTTTACAAGACTGCCTAGAAGTCTTGCGCCTTGCAAATCAAGTCCATGATTTGCTTGCCAAGCGCAACCATTATTCTGCGCTGCGTGCCCTTGAAGAGCTTCAGAATGTCCACCTCAAAGGCGTTACACAATACAAGATTGCGGAAATGATCCAACGCTCCGTTCCGGCTACACAAAAAGCCATTGCTGAAGCTGTTATGTCTGATCTGAATACATGGTTATACCGAATCCGCGAAATGTCACAGTATCTCGGAGAGATAGCCCTCTACCACACAGATTTACGGAAAACAAGACACAAAGAAAGAATAGAGAAGGTCCCCTTTCTCGAAAATTTTAGGCTGAACTCTGCCATTGAGCTTGTCTCTGATGAACATGAAGAGTATGACTTACTTGAGAATGATGAGCTTCAGGTGGACTTCACCCCTTTGCTTGAATGCTTGCATATTCACCAATCCCTTGGTCACGTGGACAAGTTCAAGGCTGAGTATGCAAACACTCGTCGTCGACAGAAAGAACTACTGATCCCTGCTTCCGTAACCCTGATTGATGAAGATGGCGCTAGCCTACACAATTTGCTGGAAGAAATGGCGGGATTTGCTATTGTTGAACGGTCTACAATGAAAAGAATTCCCGACCTTAGGTCGCCGGTTGATGTAAGCCAAACCATTCAATACATTCACGGGTGGGATAATTTCTAAAAGAAATTAGGTTGATGAGCTCTGGGACTCGATGTGTCAAACTGCAGTCGGCTTGATATCTAAAGCTCTCGGCGAAGTTGATACCGCGGAAAGCATCCTCAAGATTAAAAATCTTATTGCACTGTTTATGCAAACAATGGACGTTTGTGAACCCTATTCCTAGCTAAACATATCACAACAAACAACTAAGGTTTTCACCTCAGACATGGAATTTCTCCGTGATAGCGTTCGATGAGGTTCTCTTGATCTTGTTCAAGAAATATGCCGAGCTACTCAAGAAGAGATTTAGCGATGACTTCCAAGAGGTTAGACGTTCTCAGCCATTTGGTATTCGGATCGGCTGATTTTATAGATCGTCACCACAGATGACTACATGCCTATGCCTATCCAGACTCTTGAGGAGTATGAGAAAGTACTCAATGTTAGTTGGTACAATCCGACTAAACAACATGAACAACAAGTGTATGTACTTTCTCTATTCCTCCTTTCTTGGTACAGATTTAATGATCTAGGTTTCCATGTGTCTTGCCATTTTCGCAAATGTACCCTCTGTGCTGTATTGATATTCGGAACTTTTTAAATCAGTTTTATTTTTTTGCTAACAATGAGTTCTCGCATCCCGATGTTATTGATCAAACGTTACAAAACGTATGTCACCCTGTTTGAGGAGATTACATGATTCTAGTACTGATTATCTAAGGCACTGGATGAATTGCTTTCAAACAAGGTCTGCGATACTCTTGTCGAGCGTCTTTCCTCTCAATATCTCGGCCAGATTGTTCAGATTCTCATCAATCTGGAACACTTTGAACTTGCCTGTCATGAACTAGAGCATCTCTTGGCTGCGGCTCGATCATCGAATGCAACAGGTGGCCCGATATCTTTGAAAGCCACCGAGAAATTCAGAAACAACAAAAAGGCCGCTGAAAAGCGCATTTTTGAAGTTGTAAATTCAAAGATCGATGATCTTGTTGAGACAGCAGAATACGAATGGATGGCACCCGTTCCGCCTAGCGAGCCAAGCAATTACATGCAGACATTAACTCGGTTTCTATCTAACATCATGAATTCAACCTTACTCGGCCTTCCCACAGAGATAAAAGAGCTTATATATTTCGACGCTCTTAGTCATGCTGCGAATATGATCCTGGTCTGTCCATTCATATACTGCTGTTACTCCAGTGCTGATAGTTAGCATAGGCCCAGCCTCTTTTCCCTGAGGTCAAGAAAATTAACCCCAATGGAGTCGCAGCCCTCGCAAAAGATGTTCAATATCTCACAGAATTTGTTGATAGTCTGGGTGTACCCATTTTACGAGAGAACCTGGACGAGTTACAGCAGACTGTGCAGTTAATGCAAGCCGAAAACACGGACGAATTCTATGATATCGCGACTAGGAATAAGAAATATGGACGAGTCGATGCTCTCAATGGCCCCATTCTTTTAGAAAAGTAAGTAATTCGCTATTCTTTTCCGATCTTGCCTACTCAAAAATGCTAGGATCACCCATACGTTGCAAAGCCCGACTAAAGCCGACAAATTTTCTACTCTCTCCTCGAGGTTTGGAAAAAGAACATAGTAGGGGTTCTCTTTGATATATTTCGTGGTATTGTCCGTAGTATAATGGAAATGTTCAATATTGCACTATGCCAACAGACTACGTACATTCCACAGAAACCATATGGAGAAAAGAAAGGAGTATTCAAGGATGTTACTTATGCCTGTGCGATCCGGCCGTGGAAACAAAAATACTCCTCTTACACTAGACAACTTAGAGAGGCTAGCCTGTATTGCAGTTTACTATATAATGAAGTTTAGTGAGTCAGCGGGGAAATTTGAACTTAAGATAGATGTGGTGAGGGTATTACAAACCTGCTGGGGTGGCAAATGGGGATAAGCAGCGTACATGCCCTCAAACATTTGCGGCTGCGCCTGGGCGTATGCTGCAGTCGGGTCTGATTGCACTGGACCTGCATACAGAGGTGGCTGGGCTCTGTATTCTTGGTCTTGTGGAAGACTATGCTGGCCCAACGCACCATAGTCAGGAGGGGGCATATGATGCTGAACACTGTGCTGAGGGGGCATTTGACCAGCTGGCGCCCCTCCGGTAGAGGCAGTGACTGCAGCACCGGCTGCTTGATTCGACCGCTTCGCATGCGAGGTGGCCTCCTCTCGTGGGACTATGTCAATCAAAAAATCAAACATATCTGACTTGGACAGGGCTGCAGCAATGTCTGATCTTTGCAGTGTACGTCGCTTATTGTCTTCAGCATGAATCCAGGCTCGCATAGTCAATTCCGTGATGAAAATGTCACAGCCTTTTGCAAATAAGATAGGTGCTTCAGCTGAGATCATCTTAACTTCCGGGTCTGCTTTCATAACCTTTTTTATCCTTGCCAAGGGTAACTGATGTATTTTATAGTCATGGTTGTCGGATTCGAGATGGTTAATGACATGTTGCCAGTATGTTGTCAAAATGTCGCGAGCTGTTCCCTGTAATCCTTGATTGACCTAAAGGTGGATTAACATGGCGAAAGAACATTCGTTCAGCCTGTCAATCTTACATTTGCCCAAGTGCCAGTATAAAGTTCTGCTACTGGAGCATATCCTTGTGCTGAAAGCTATAGCATGACAAAGGTTAGAATTTCCATTCGTAGAAGCGAAGCTCCGAGCACGCGAACGAGTTAAGAATGGTTCAATATCGGAAAATGTAGGTTCTTTTTCGCGTACCGCTGCACTTGCACCTGTAAGATGAATATGATCAGCTGCTGTCAAAACTCGCGGTAACTCTGTGGTACAATAGGAGAGCCATGTAGAGACCTAGAGGGAATACAATGGAGAGCTATTACCATAGTGACCACCATTTCTGATATCATAGACTGGGGGTTGTCTGCCTTGCTGCTGCCCAGAGCCTTGGGTCACTTGATCCATCATAGAAATCTTGAACGTCTTTGTATGTCGGCCTGAATTATAGGTGAATTAATGAGCCCAATAATGCAGACTATTCTGAAAGTGCTGTAGTCTTTTTTGGCGCAGAGAAGCGACTAGAGATCCTTTGAAAGATTAACTTCAAGTGTAGGGTTAATTAGGAAAGGATATGGTTCTTTAATAGGTCTGTATTGTATAGTTAGTTAAGGCGATGTCGACTCGTTCGACGTTGAGGTTCAGATACCACGTGATCCAACTGCATTGCGTTAGACTACAGATTACAGATTACAGAGTGTTCAAGTTTCAAGAAATTGTTATTGAATAAAGGTTTATGGACATTTTTTACTAAGTACTGGATAATTCAAAATACTACTTTAAAATATAGGTAAATTTGTATGTGTCTATATGTATGTATGGCAGCAGAGTTCCTGGAAGCATCTAGTTAACGGATAACTAGGTAACTACCTGGTAGCTAACTAGGTACCTGACCCCATGCCAGGCATGCGTTCGCGAGGTCAGCTGACATAGCGCCAAACTTACTCGCAGGCATCCACTGGTTACCTTGGCTAATAACAAGTAGGTACCTTATTGGGTCCCACCCACAAATAAAAATTCTCTCTAACATATAAATTCAAAGCACATCCCAGTCAACCCTCAATCCTAGCTTCAACTTCCATTGTCTCTTGTCATCTTGGGACATGAAGAATTCGACATGCTTTGAGAAGACCGCCGCTCAACGTCATGAGGAAGTTGATCTCACAGATGATGAGGTTCAACGCCTTCTACATGATGCCGAGAGCCGGCTACGTGTGAATCAACGGAATATTCAACCAAGTCTGACCGTTGAAATTCCCGATGGCCAGCTTGTGACTGGCTCCCCATTGCCAAGGTTAGAGTGAAAACAGGAAAGATATGTTCGCTCCTACTGACGGATCAGCTCCTCCACTCCCCATTTAGAAGTCAATCATTCTGTCAAATCATACCTCTCTCAGAAAAATGATGTAACTTCAATCGATTCATCACGAATCGTGGATCACAAATCTATGGATGTTTTTCATCCTACTAATTGTGTAATGGCTACGGGGTCAAAGAGACCAGGTGGGAATGTAAGTTGCTTCTCCAATAGTCTCCTTCGCTTCGGTCTTGCTGCTATGATGAGAACATTCCCAATTTTCTATTCTTGACATGGCTTCCACAACTCGTTTTGGGTTGCGCTATGACAGTGAGAGTTTTAATTTTTCATAGTTACTCTGAGCATCTAATTTTTTCACTCTGCCACATACACCATATTTTTAGATATGCTAACAATTTTGGTTCCAAAAAGACTCGAGCTACAGCAGGAAGTGATTGGTTTGATATGCCAAAAACAGAGCTCACTCCCGAACTCAGACGCGATCTACAATTAATACGAATGCGTTCAGTGCTAGACCCAAAAAGACACTATAAGAAAGATAATGCCAAAGCAAAGGCGCCGGAATTTTCACAGGTTGGAACAGTCATTGAAGGCTCTACTGAGTTTTTTGGGGCTCGGATTTCGAAAAGGGATCGGAAGAGAACGTTCGTTGAGGAGGCCCTGGCCATCGAAAAAGATAGCAAACGCCTGGCCTCAAGGTACACGAATGTTCAAACAAGCAAAAGAAGTGGAAAGCGGTCTTTCTACCACAACTTGCGGACAAAAAGAGACCGGTCCAAACAATGATCTGGAGCTTGATGCGAAGTAACAACCGTGTCAATTTTCGATTCTTCTCTTACCCGGCGAGCAAGTTTAGTCACAAATAAGCGCGATCAACGTCACAGCAGTTCGGCGATGAACGCCATGACACCATAGGAATTTTTTTTCAACTCTCTGCGGCCCACATATTCAAAACGACAGCCTGTACCAACATCTGGACCCAGTGTTACTACGCAGTTATCGAACCAAGGTCATCATAACGTACCTGCATGTCAAATGCCGCTGCGCGTCCTGCCTCGATCACTTCCTCGTGATTCGCTTTGCCTTCGGTCATAATTGCGCCTAACTCGTCTGCATCCCTGGTATGTAAAAAGCTGTCATCACCTCGAGGCACAGGTGATAGAACCGCCTTATTTGTCACAAGGCTCAGAGCAGCTACTCGTATTCCACAGTGTCTAGCCACCACGATCTCCGGGACCGTTGACATGCCTACGACATCGGCTCCCAATAAATGAAGCATGCGGCACTCGGCTCTCGTCTCATAGCTATGAGCGTAAGCCAAATTTTGGCGGATAATCATAGTTTGGTTGGGATACGCACCTTGGGCCTCCTACAAAAGCATACACGCCTTCGTGGAGGCGTCTGCTAGTTTCGGATGCCTTTGACTTCCAAGCATTATGTACGGAACAGCGAAGTTCTAAGTCATATGCATCGGATAAAGCAGGGAATCTAACTCCAAACTCCGGTTCATTGGGTCCTCGAAGTGGGTGGATACCTGCTAGCCCGGCAAGGAATATATGCTGGATGACCCATGTGAGAATGATTTCATGGGGGAGTGGGAAATAGCGAAGGAAAGGAAAGCACACTGACATCGTTCAATACCACAATATCGCCGACTGCGTACTCAGGGTTCAGCCCCCCCGCCGCATTGGTAACTGGATCGTGTAAGTAATGAATTCTCCGAGGTACATTCATTCCCTCCGATCAAGTTGGAGGTGATATTAGAGCAAAAGAGTTGTATTACATACGGAAAATTGTCTCAATTCCCATCAGCTTAAACACTCGAATAGGAAATGTCACTTGATCAATGGAGTGGCCTTCATAAAAGCTTAATATTTTAGTACGTAGAGCATCAAAAGTGCAAGCCACAGGAAGCTTTATCTTACTGTGCACGGCCAACCATCAATACTGCTGGGACTTTACCAGCAAGGAGCCCGAAGACTAGCTTTCCGGAATGTCCAGTTACTATAAGTATAAGCGGAGTGCTGTATTCAAACCCATGGAATAAGCCAGTTGGGGTTACCAGTCAATTGGGGGAAATGGGGTATATCCGAATAGTCATATTCCGCCTTCGGTGAAGAATGAACCGTATCTGCGAGCCCTCCGAGGCCTGATCCACAAACAATAGCAACACGAGGAGCAAGTAAAGGCGAGGGTAGGCGTGATTTTAAGAATTCTATTGTGTCTTTTGCCTTATCAAACAATGATGCTTCAGTTTGTAGTTGGGACATTTTGAAGATGAGAGAAAAATGAATATATGGGCGATCAACAGACAGAAATAATATTGATAATAAGAAATATGTAGATTAGCAGTAGTATGGAGCAACTAATATTATAATTTTTAAAAATGATTGAGGGGTGAAGAACAAATATAGACTAGTCTATCCCCCCACTTGAAAACCTTGTAACTTGCTCCAGCTCTCAGAGACATGAAAAATCTTATACCGTTCAAATAGAGTAGTACCCCGGAGTAGATAAAGTATATCAAAAGGCCCCTGGAAAGTTTTTCAGTTTAATGCAAGGAAAATTCGCCAGCAAATGGAAAATTACTGGCGAACCAGAAGCTTTTCTACTCAGTAGGGATAATATGGAAGTTTAGACCCTATAGTTGGTTATACGAGTGCTCCATACCTAGTAAACCTTTTGCCTACGGAGTATATTGAAAGTAAGTTAGTTTTTGATGGGCAAGGAGCCCGTTACGGAAGAGAATAATGATAGATGGTGATGATGAATGAAGCTTTCTACTAAATATTCTGTACTACATAATAACCTGATCTACTCAGTAGGATGCACTCGAGGCGACGCTTAGACTAGCTAGGCTGAGCTCTCCAACTGGAATTTGAGATAGGTAGTAGGTCCAAGGTAATGGAGAGTGATACGCGTACAGCCCCTAGCTATACGGGTACAGCCTCTAGCCATAGGCGTACAGCCCTTAGCTTCCATTTATAGTTAGACTACCTATACTTAATTGTCATAATTAATTCTACTATTAATTCTTATATTGATGCTAAGGTGATCCTTATATTAATCTCTAAGTGATTTCTATATCAATTTCTATGCTAATTCCTAGGTTAATTACTGGAGTAATTCCTATATTAATTTACAGTAATTATATAAGCCTATAATAATTATTAATATATAACTAAGTATAGAGTAGGGCTAGAGGCCTAATAGATAAGATATTCTTATCTAGAGCTACTCTATATATCTACTCTATTAATCTATATCTATACATATAAGTCTTTGTTCTATTACTATTATTATTAGCTCTCTTATATTTATAATAGTTATACTTAATATTATTAATATTATTAGACTCTAGTGCTAAATTTATAGGTAGGCTATAGTTAATCTTTATAGAGTATAAAGTATAGTATAGAGTAACTATATGCTAGGCCGTCTATATATTAATACTAACTATAAATAGAAGGTAAGGGCTGTACGCCTATAGCTGGGGGCTGTACCCATATCACTTCCCCAAGGTAACTAACTAACTAATCAATCACTTTAGGTAGGTAGTTAAGTGTACAGAGTACGGCGTATAAGTTAATTATAGAAGGCGGTGTGCATGTGCCCACCAGGGCAACTACTAAGTTAACTATGGAAGGCGGTGAGAGTGGTTGGCTTGAATCCTTTTCTACATCTTGCCTGCGAAACGGAGGAAGCCGACTTAAAAGCCCATCCGAGGAGTCTTGTAGGCTCATTATTATATTTTCATGAAATATGTCCTTCCACTTGACGATGCGCTCGCCTTTCAGGGCGGCCCAGTCATTTAGGGTAAGGCTGCTCCTTTAAATCAATATATTACAAGCATACTAAAGAATTTTAATCAAGTTCACAACACCATGTCATTCTTTGGTGAGCCAGGCGCAAGGGATGTCTAGTATATCTACCAAGCCTACACCATCTCCAAGCCATAAAGAGATAGAGTCGGGGATGTAAGTATTCATTTTTTACTGTCTATTCTAGACCTTTCCCATCAAAAAACGAAAATTATAGTTGAACTAAGAAATACTACTACCCACAGTGCAGCCAGTGAACCACAAGATATTAACATAAAAGAATGGTTTGTTTGTCCTTGAGGTATATAATAAAATGCTATGATGGCCTAATCATACATGATAGGGCTAATCGGTTGGACTGGGTGAACGAAGAACTTCGTCTACCTCGAAATGTGCAAGCGATCTACCTGCGACCTCTGCGGAGAAAAGCCCAATATGGCCTGCCAGTCTGCGATCTTCAATTGAGGTCGTACAACGTTCAGAATCTAGAATTCTTCGCGGATTTTGCTCTACGCGCTGCCTACTATCTGAAGCTTCCCGTGTCCGGCCCAGTCCCTTTACCACGCATCGTTGAACGTTGGACGGTCCCTCGAAGCAACTTTGTACACAAGAAAAGCCAAGAAAACTTCGAGCGAATTACACTGCGTCGATTGATACAGATCAAAGATGGGAGCCCCCAGGCAGTGCAAGCATGGCTAGCTTTTCTTCGCAAACATGCATTTTATGGAGTTGGGATGAAGGCAAATGTGTGGGAACATGAAAGCATTGGTATCATACTCCTCGTTTCTTAATCAAGGTTTTGTACAATTTACTAATTATTCTAAACTTACAGATGTTATCAAAGCAATGGATGCAGCGATTGCACCGGCCGAGAAGTCTCTTCAGCATCGTTTCGCGCAGTTCAACCAACAAGATTTGGAACCAGGGATTCCGTTATCAAAATTGGTGGATACCATACAACCCAATAGCTCGAGGGCCCCCCTGACAGGGGTTCGTGGTCATTGACCAAAATCAATTCTTATTTGAGTGTACCATTGTCGAGTTTCTTCAATATCTATGGAAAATTTCATGTGACAGAACGAATTCTTGGCGGATTTATCAGTACTTTAGTACTTTAGGTTATGTTTCCATGTGGTTTCCTTACGGCTATTAGAGGCTTGAGATAGGCTTGTATGGTTAGAGTAGCTTTGTCAAACAATAAAGAGAACTAAACTGACTACATATGCAGTATTATGGTCTATAATTCTCTATAGGGTGGGGTTGGTTATAGTTAGATAAAACCCTTACTAGTGATTGTACAAAAGAATTCCCGTCCACTTAAACCCCTTCACCTTATGCTAGTAATTACATCTGTGGGTGGACATGGTAATTTCTATACTATAGTTATAGTAGGTGATATGCTGGATAGAGGTGAATACAGGAAGGAAACTTAAACTTGAAGATAGACTACAGCTATTTGATGAAACAAAATACCATTTTCATTTTCAAACTTTATTGAACCTGCACATGAATACAATGATGGTTATGCATTATCACATCCATATGCCTCCCCTCTGGACACTCTATGAAAGTCGAAAGGTAAGACCTACTTGCTGAAATCAAGGTCTAAATCCTTACCACTATCCGGCAAGATAGCAACCAGAGAATAGAGATAACAGCTTTTTTAATGTTCAGGGCTTAAACGCTCTCAAGGACCTGCTCCTTGAATTCGCGTTCAACCTTGTGGCCTTTGTCATCTGTCGTGGACTCTCCGTGCAAGTTCAGCAACGCACCAAGATCGAACTTGGGGGATTTGAGGAGCTTGACTTTACGAATGTGAACCTATACCACTGGTCAGTACATAAAGTTGACGGGGAGATGAATAAACACGAACATTCTGCAGAGGATAGATTCCTTGGGTAGCCTTCTCAATCTCGCGACCGATCACCTCCGGGATGAGCTTAGTGGTGAGCTGCGCAAGAGTGCAGCTGCTGGCCTCACGTTGCATAATCTCGGTCATCTTCTTGCGAATGGCACGGATCTGGGAAGACCGCGCATAGGTAGTCTTCTTGATCTGGTTGGGGCGTCTCTTGGTGAAGGCAATGGTGAAGAGGCGGAGAAGATAGTCGTCGGTGGTCTTCACCGTCACATTGGCCTCAATTAGAGACTGCCACTTGCGGACAAGAGATCGCAGCTTGTCGGTAGTGAAATCCAAACCGTGGAAGTTGGTCAGACAGTTCTTTCCCTGGATCTCATCCACGCGAAGTTTGATCTTGCGGAAGGCGTGGTCCTCGTCGTTTTGCAGGTCAGCGAGGGAAACTTCGAAGATACGGCCCTTGAGGGAGTCATTTGCGTTCTTGAGGCCGCTGGTACGGTTGACAAGGGTCTTTCCGACGCTTTAATCATGAGTTAGCCTTCAATCTCATTGATTCGTCAACCATTCGGTACATACTCCCTGATTTGGAAGGTCGAGGGCGCCTGGTGAGTGTTAGCACTGTGTCCTGAGTAAGTTGACTCACAAAAACTAACCTTAACAGAGTATTCGTCCTTCCTTGAAAAGGGATCAACAGTCCTCTTCTTCACACCCTTCTTCCCCTTGGACAAGCGCTTGTTCCTGCAGAATCAGTATATTGACGTTCTTCGACCCGAGATGACCATGAGCAGATAGAGCCAAGGGAGATCAATTTACTTACTTTCCAACAGCCATGATTGCGACTTGGGTCTATCTGTGCAGTTGGCGGAAGACAGACGGATTGTATCGCACCGCGCTTGGGTGGAGGAAAACGGTCGACTTTGCGCTGGCGGTCGGCTGGTAGCGTTGAAAACCAAAAACCCACACACAGAAAATTCGGCTAAGCGAGGCGTTGACCCTATGTATTACATAATCACAACTATCACGTGTGAACTGCCTAATCTTAAATCTATTATCTAAGTCCCTGGAACATCCAGGCTTAAGAAGTAGTTAGTAGAGTACTCCATACGCCAAGTGAACTAGCTACTAACTAGTTATTTACTAGTTGACTATACTCTAATCCAGTCGAATGCCTGTGTAGGTTAGTGCTCCTAGGCTAGAGCAAGTTGCATCATCATTGAAATTACTACCCTGCTGTTTTTTAGGAAACCCAGTATAAGGTAATCAACCATATTCTTGGATATGTAGACAAGATTTAACAATCTCCTATTTATCAACACCAGGATCAATTTGAATCATCATTAACATTTTGAATCGAGTTTGTTCTGTCGGATTTTTAGATACCTTCCTACATTGGAGTACCCTACTGTGACATATTCTGTCTTGCTGGGTAGGTTAAGGTGGATGAATAGGCTGCAGGTTCTGGTCTTTGAATAATTACACTAATTATGGAAAGGAATCAAATACCAGATTACTATTGTACACTACAGTACAATAAATATGGTAAATCGACTTGCATCTTGATTAATATGGTCTTTATTTTACCTTCTCTCTAATTCTATCCTTCCTTTTCGGTGGGCAGGGGAAAAGAAAGAAGTCAAGCAGACAGCCCCAAGGTCCGAAAAAGGTAACTAAGTAATAATGCTATAGTTGATTTATACTGACTGGAGAAGAGGGAGCCCTTGGCTACCACCTTTTCATGTTTGTTTTGCAATCATGAGAATTCAATTATCGTGAAGCTCGATAAGAAGTTAGGCTTGGGCAACCTTTCTTGCAAGGTGTGCGGCCAACGCTTCCAGACAGGGATAAATTGTAAGTTCCAGCTCTTTATCCAAGTTAAGGCATAACGTGACTTATATACTGTAGATCTCTCTGCCCCCGTTGATGTATATTCGGACTGGGTTGATGCTTGCGATGCCGTCGCTAAAGATACCGCTAATTATTACGGAACTCATGATACCAAAGGGGCACGGTTGCAAAACGCGTCTACGTCTCCCGATCCTCCAAGAGAACACGATGAAAGATTGGGCGAGGATTATTGATTTCAGCACTGGTGATTCAAGATATATAGATATAATGAATCACGGTGTTATTAGCGATCGGTCTTGATATTTTTAACGCGGAATGTGTTAGATGTTTGTTAAGTAATTGCCGATAAATATAAATTTGCAAAAGCAGTTGCCATGAGCGCAGTAGCCAGAGAGGAAAGTCATGTATCCATGGGACCATGGGAGCCATCATCCAGAGCCATTTCGGCCCAATAGTTAGGTAAATAGGCATTCCCTCGCAATCGAACATTAATCTGGGGGAAAAATATTGACCTAGCGCGAGGGCGTCTTGTTTCTAAAATCAAAACCGCGTGCCCTTGGAAGAACGTTGAGAGCCTATAATGTATAATATCTGTCGCCAAAATCACCCAGGCCAGGAATTATGTACCTGGGACTGTTAGCATAGAGGTGGTGTGGAATTACGGTCTTGACTAACTTTTTTTCATCGAGGCCTTGATCGATGAATGCAGAAACAACCCTGAGGCTCGGGAAACGCTCTGCAAAATCTGCAACTCCAGAGGGGCTGGCTATCAGATTTAAGAAAAGTATATGCTCTTCAGGAACGCCTTTTGCTTTCAACACCTCGACGGCAAGCGTGGCCGAGCCTCCTACTGGGAGATTAGTGTTCTGACGATGTATAAAGAAAATGAAGAGCTCTTACCAGTCGCAAACATCGGGTCCAGGAGTAGAACCCATCTCTGAGCAATGTCACTAGGGAGCTTCTCATAGAAAAGCTTAGGCTTGCAAGTTTCTTCATCTCTTTGTATCAATATTTTCCCAATGCGAACTGAGCGGCAACAGTCCCTTAAGCCTTGTTCCATAGCTTCACCTGCCCTCATTATAGAAACACCACATATCTTTCCTTGGAATTTCACGCCTAGGTATGTCCTGCCAACAGGCGTCGTGACTGGATGTTCTATGACTGGAAGATGGTTTAAACCCTCTTCTACTAGCAAACGTATTATGCGGTTTGAATAAAAGATAAAGTCGGCGCGAGTCGTCTTTTTATCCCTTATCATTCTATTAAGCCATCAATGAGGTCTCATGTCAACTATGCAACGACCTATCATTAGAAGCTTTTCAAGTCCAGGAAGAATCTTACGTTAAGAGTGCAATCAACTGAGGAGTTTGAGGGAGGACGTGAACATTATCATATGAGACAGCTTTTGACACAGTCGCAGCAGGTTTCTCAGCCTCTGGCCTATATATAGGCCCAACACCTTGGACGGGCGAAGGGACAGGTTCTAGCTGATCCATGATGATAAGTGGAAGGGTATTTGAAAGAAGGAGGATGTGAGGCAAGTTTTGATAGGTTTGTGTGAAGATGGAGGAGGTAAGGTATCCTTTATATAGAGGTGAGATGAGGCTTCACATAAAAAAAGAAAAAACCCCATGTTATTGGTAAACTAAAATTATGAAGAAAGTTATGAAAGATTATGAAAGATTATAAAAAGTTTATTAGATATTATAAAAAATATTCTAAAATGGTTTAAGATAATGAATAGTTTCTAAGGATATATTAGTGTTAGGAGTAAAATAAGAATATTGATGATAAGGAAAGAAGCACCTAATATCAACACCTCAAAGGACTGTCCTATGATGGCCCTGATAATATCAAGTCAATTATATTAGTTGTGTTATAACCCTAGGATCTCTGGATATCACTAACCAGCTTAAATAAGATTAAGGACCTAGTCTATTAATATCTACTAGACTTAAGTATACTTTATTTAGGTGAGAGTAGCTATATACTAGTCCTCTTAATACTAAATGAAGATAGTGTGATATTCAAAAGCTAAGTGTCTAAAAGAAAATCTCTATTCTATCACTACTATAGGTTAGAGGGGAGGTATCTATATATCTCCCTTTAGCTTATTTAATTTAATAGGTTTTATAGAGATATTATAATAAGTGCTATAATAGAAAGACTATATAAAAATACTTATTTCTTAATATATTTAGTTCTCTATAATTCTTAAGAATAATAATTACTTAAGTATTAATTAATTTAAATAGACTTATTAACTTATCTCTATATATAAAGATAAAGACCTTACTTCTCTTTTACTTAATTAACCTTATTTAGTATTAAGAGGTTTAGTATATAGCTATTTCTATCTAGGTAAAGTATACCTAGTTAAGTAGTAGCTAATAGACTAAGCTACTAATCTTATTTAAGCTGGTTAGTGATATATAGGGATCCTAGGGTTAGTAATATAATATGCTTTTTGATTTTAAGTTCTTGTAGACTGCTTGTACTGATTTATATAATTATTTGATACTTTAATCCATAATATTTGCTTGATTGAGTGCTAATATGAATATTATTATTATTATTATTTATATTGAATGGTTTTTTAAAAATGCAAGAGGAAATTTATTCTATCAGCTTTATAAAGTTACAATTAATAATTTTAATAATTTTAATAACTTTAATAATTTTATAATTATTACTATAGCCTAAGGCACACCTCTCTCAGCTATAGAGGGTTCTAGCCCTACTTAATTAGCACTAACTAAATAATTATATAATTAAGATTATATTGGCCTAATCTAATATTATAATATTAAAACAATAATTCTATATTTTGTAGCAGCGATAGTGAAGGTGTTTAGGAGAGGTGTTTAGGAGAGGTGTTTAGGAGAGGTGTTTAGGAGAGGTGTTTAGGAGAGGTGTTTAGGAGAGGTGCTTGGGAGATGCCTTAGGCTCATTATAGTAAATAAATAGATTATTATTTTTTTAGCTTAATATTAATAAAAGAGAGAGATATCAAATATGTTTTATATTGGAGGTGCATGCCTAATTAGGCTTAATATTATCTTATTAAATATAGTTATACTATATAACTATCTACTTTATATTTAAGTTATAATAATAATAATAATTATTAGCTATCTCTTCCCTTTTTAGGCCTACTTAGTTAATATAGTGGTATATTATTTAAAAAGATAGAGTATACTATATTTAATAAATTTTTATTTATTAAAGATTTTATTAAATATTATTATTATTTATAAAGTAATAAATGATATAAGTAAGATAAATAATTGCTTTAAGGCTAAATATATTTAAAAGGTTAATAATAATTAAATTTAAATCTTTATATATTTAATTATTAAATGTAAATATTTAAGCCTGTATAATAAGGATAGAGCCAATTAAAGATTTACTTAATATAGAATAATTATATTAATTAAAAATAATGATTAAATAATTAATCTATTCTAAGTATTATTAAGAAGCTTTGAAATAAGGAAAATACTAGATATTCAAAAGATTATATTTAAGAAGTTTTTAAAATTAATAACCTAAAGAATATTATTTATAAAAATATATCTAGATTAATAGTGAATTTCTATAAATTTAATAAATAAGATTATATATTATAATATGTTGGCCCAGCAGGCCTGAAAAAAGGGAAGAGATGGCTAATAATTACTATTACTGCTACAGCTTAGACATAAAGTAGGTGGTTATATAATATAGCCACACTAAATAAGGTGACATTAAGCCTAATCAGGTATATACCTCTAATATATCCTTTATTATTAAGCACCTATCTAGACTAGCTAACCTCTTATTTAATATTAATTAAAGTATATAATAGCAGAAAAAGGGGGATTATTTACTTATTAATTATTAATTATTTCTTATTTAATTTATTTTTAATATAGGTTAGTATTACTACTTTCTAAAGATTAACTAGTTCTTTAAATATAATATATTTTACTTAATCTAGAGGCTTTATTAGGCTATTAATAAGGGTTATATAATTATTTATTTATTTAACCTTAATTAGCCCCTTATTAATTATATTATAAATAAAAAAGTAATAATTATTAATTTATTTAGTTATTATATTAAAATTATTCTTTTTAAGAATATCTATAATATTAAATAAGTTAATATAAATAAGAATAAGGCCTTCCTTTTTAATCTCTATAATAATAGTTAATTCCTTTAGCTATATAGCATCTTTAATTACTTATAATAGGATATAGAATTTAATAATAGTATTTAATATAATAATAAATATTTATTTATATAAAGTCTAT